TTGGACAATACGACAGGTTAAACGTGACAATTGCTATTAAATAAAAATAATTATGTGGATGGCCCCCATTGTGTAGCTTTACAATAACTGTTAACTATTGCTCAGTAGTGGTCAACTAATGTTTCAGTCATTCTATATTTACGAAATATAGCTGCTGATGGAGTATCTCCGGAACGAAGCTGAAAGAAAACAATAATTTTTTTTATGATAGAGGGGGCAGATGTTTGGGCTATCGACGATTCGAGTCGCTATTCGTAGGATGCGGTCCAGAGGGAGAAGCTGGTACTGATGTGCGGTGTGATGAGAACAGTATTCCATATGCGGCCGGACTTGCGCCTTATAGAGCTGAAGGCGGTGGGCCGGAGTGAATACTGCCTCGATCTGTTCAGGACACCGAGCTTCTTCGAGGCCAATTTGACCTTACCCTCTAAGTGACCCCGAAACTGGACTTCGCTCGATATGTCGATGACTAGGATTCCGATGCTGGCTGAGGCAGTTAGGGAGGTGCTTTCAAACTGAGGTGATACGACAAATGGTATCTTTTTTGCGGTGAACGCACATACCTCTTTATCTTTCTTGTCTGTGTCAATTATTTTGTAAACCTAATTTTGATAAAAGTAATAGCATTCTCGCTCTCTCCCCTTCTCGGCTTCTTGGCTAAGCCCTCGCTAAATAAATAAAGAGAAAAAAAATATAGCTGCTGCTGGCAGAGATAGTGCTAAGATAAAACTGTTAATAGTCAACTGGCAACTGTAAAAAAATGCTACGGAGAGGCAACATTTTGATAGACATTTTAGGGTAAATCCTCGGATCGGTAATATAACCACGACCGTTAACGCCCAACAAAGATTGTCGTTATAACACATAATGCATCGGTGCTGTATGTGTGTTACATAGAGGTATTAGGTAATAATAAAAACAACTTTACACATCTCACACACGGCCGTCGGATCGCACACTAGGCAAAGCCTATACTTTGGAAACTAGACTGCTGATAAACATACTTAAATATGTCTAATATATACACGCTATAGATAAATTACACTCAAACACAGAACAAATGATCATACTCATCACACAATTATTTGTTGTGGGTGGGAATCGAACCTACTACCTCTGGCATTGAGAGTCACTAACCACTAGCCTGACCAACTGGCCAATGACTAATATTTTAGTCACATAAATAAATATGTTACATATAACAAAAATATAGCACATACAAATATTTGTTTAATTTATAATATGCACAAACACCGGCAATCCAAAAAGTAAAAAGAAGAGGATGCGTTGCAAAGCGGCATTCGTTTGCGCTTAATGCCTTGCAAATTTAACATACATTTGTGCTAAAAATGATAACCAATATGTTGTTCACCGTCTGAATGAAGCCTGGTTGACTCACCATCGACGTGTAAGAAAAAGGCACCACACAGGCCCACCGACAAGTGAACTTATATTTTTGTGAGTTTTTTAAGTAATTTAGCTCAAACACTGCAGAGTGGGGCGCCAAATGTTAAAACCGGGGCTGACAGGCGGTGGCACTGAATTTCTGTCACCAGCCTGCTCGTTTTCACTCTTTAAAAAGTCATGGTGTGCCCTGATCTAGATCCATCCAATACAAATATTGGCCTACAACATACAAAAATGTATTATGTTTAAACTTTTCCATTTGTCTTTCCTTTTAGTGTACGAAACGGTATGAGCAGACAAATGCTTAACCTATAAGCATAAAGTTCCCAGGGATACAGAAATTTCAAAAATGTACTGTATTTTTGTTTTATAAATTTAATAATCAGGCTAACGAAGGCGCGTGTAAAATTTAGTTCTAAATGTGTCACCTATTCATCCCGTTGGTGTCGTTAGAGTCGACTAAGGGAGTAAAACGACGCAGGAAAACAGCACTGCAAAGAGAAGTCAAAACTTTATAAAATCCCTATACCAACCCGTCTGGCTCGCGTGGTATACCTAGTAGGCCAAAACCTCCTTTATAAGGAGAGGCCTATGTCCAGCAGTGGACTATTAAAGGCTGTTGATGATGATGATGAAACTACAGAATGCGACAACAGCCTTGATATTTTAAGGTCAATGTGGCATTCTCTCCTCTATTATTTTCAATATTTATCATTCTCATCACTCCGAACCTTCAATGTGCGTACCATCTTTATGCCGATGACTTGCAGCTCTATTGTCAAGCCTCGATAGACGACATAGACGGGGCCATCCTGAGGGTAAACAATGACCTGGGTGCTATCAATGATTGGGCTAATAGGTTTGATTTGACTGTGATTATGGTGGATGTATGGAAATGTGATTATGGTGATGTATCCTATTATGACCTGGATGCAGATCTACTCAATAAGTATGACCGCCTTCTGATTGCATTCGATTCGTCTTCAACCTTCCCAAATATGACCATGTTTCCTCCTTTCATCGCGAATTGAACTGGCTCTCTGTTCGTCAGCGCCGTCAGCTGTGCGCCCTAACCACCCTCTGTTCTATTCTCAACTCGCACATTTCCCCCTCCTACCTGACATCTTCCAATATCTGTGTTCCAACCACGATAGAGCTCTCCGTTCATCCAACAATCCTCTTCTGCTATGCCCCACTCGTACTTCCGCTTGTATCCACTCCTCGTTCCTAATCCAATCCTCTGGAAATCAGGATAGCACCCAGCCGCCTCTCATTCAAGATGAAAGTTCGAGCTCGCATTCTGGACTCCCTAGCAGATTCATAACAACTTTAAAGTTTTAAATATAATCAATATGTAGGTTTATGTAGGTATGTATGTAACTAGGTAAGTATTTATGTATGTGTATGTTTTTGGTACGTTTGTATGTATGTATTTATCTCAGTGTTTTCTCTAACTTCTTCTACTAGTCTAACTTCTCAGTAATTTTCCCTTACTTTAATTATAAATCTCTAGTGCACCTAGTCACACACTGTGGCATTAAATTCGCCATTGTACAACCCACACTTATGCATAAAGTATTAAAATAAAATAAATAAAATTGTAAATTTAAATTAACACAGATTAAATTTTGCTATTATATTTTTACTACTTCTACTGTTAGTGATGCATTACGTCAACTTCACATATGTATTTCCTGCAGGCCTGGTTTGGTATGAATTAGGAGATTTATTATTTAGTAATTGTAAGGTCGCATAAGACGTCACACGATTATAAAGATAATTATTATTATCACCTGTGCTTACGGTTATGACTAATTTTAAGTAGGCATACTTGAAATTAATATTTCTTTAACCATTGTGTATATGTGTATTACTTAATCCGAAATACAGTACCTACATCGAAGTTGTCATTTTTTATTACGCATCTTCCATTTTTCCCAGGAATGGACTATCGACGAGTTTTGAAAATACATTAGTGGAAACTAATGCCGATTTACGCAGTTTGTTTTATTATAATTAGATAGTAAAAACGGCAATCAATTGTATAGTCAAAGTAGGTAAAGGTGTTAAGAAGAATGTTATTATGAGAATAAAATGCAGGTAAAGGAAAAAAAATAACGCTAAAGATACAAAGAACCATCTGTGATAAAACAGTAAAGACGACGAGCTAGTAGCGAGCCAGTACATTGACTGTCTAGTACTAGTTCGGTTGTAGCCATACAAGAACCCCACACAAGACACGAGACGCGTCGCCGTCGGCCTCAGCCTACTGTCGCTCGCCAATTCGTGTGGTAGCTTGTCTCGGCTGGTCGACTCGTTTAGTTCGACCAGCATAGCTCCGAGTGCGGAGCGACACAAACAACCAGTCGTGGATGTAGTAACCTGCGGTTATCACGCGCCCGCTCGTGCCTCGGTATTAACGCAATGAAAATCCACACAACTGATCAAATGATCACTGTAACGTCTTAGCCCGGCCTAACAATTCCGATAACAAATAACAGTGAACATGTGTAAAATTGCTTATCAAGTGCCGCTTAAATTTTGAATTTCTGTCTGATTGAGTAGTTATAGTGAAAATAAATATATTTTGGAGGTGAGTTAGGTACCTATGTTGTGAATTGTGGAACGAGGTGGAATGACGCTCGTGTGACGTTGTGCATTTACAAAATATTCATCCTCTTAAAACAATATCACTACTCCGATTGTATGTACTTTATAAACATTATTTGCTCGACCCTTGAGTGTCAATCTTTTTCGATTATTATCAACAGTATGATTTTTTTTACTAGTAAATTACTTTGGGTGTAGCATTTTTTGTAGCCATTAGCCATAAATTTGAAAAAGGTTACTATTAGGTACAACTGTACCTGAATCTAAAAAAAAATAGTAGTAGTAGGTACCTATCACTAAATAAGCGTAGTAAGTTTTGGGTACTTTCAGTGAAAAATGCTCGTAAACCCAGATCGCTGATGTACAAACGCACGCTGCAAGCACAACATTCTAATGCATTGTAAACTAGTCCATAAATACAATTTTAAACTAATAGTTAGTTGTTCACTGGTTAAAATACACGTTGACATGGATAATGTGCCGTATTTAAATAACTTATCTCTAGAGAGAGTTTGCATTATAAAGATTTACCTAGGCAAATGATATCACAATTACGATATGATATTGTCCACCGTTTAGTAAAAATAGTCCTAATGGTAACTGATAATAAAAAATAAGCATCAATATCTAAAGTAACGACTGCCTAATCCCAATGTTTGGTGAGATAACAGTTTAATCAAACATTAAGGAAGTGGACCAAAATACTGTACAAACAATTTCTTTGCCAACGTTGAGGTAGATTCCAAGAAATGACTTAAATTATACTATAAATAATTTATATTATGACGTGATGAGTTTTAACTACGCCTATATCTCTGTTTGTTGACTGTAGTCCAATACTTCTAAAAATCTTTTCAAATTGAAAAAGTAAAAAAAGCGATATCTATGGATTTTTTTCAGTAAACGACTTAAAGATATTTGAGGTACTAATCACACATGGAACGTGTAGTAAGATAAGTTCAAAAAAATCTACAAGTATAAAAATGGAGGCGGTGTGCGTTCCTAACGACAGCGCGTGTGAAATGCGCGCACTGGCTGCGGCGTTGCACTCGCTGAACCTATACTGCGCTTCAATTACTGCCGCGCTGATGTGCTGCTGTGCTCCCATACATAAACACTACAGGTTCAAACATCATATTTCTTCAATATTCTAATACATACACAAGATGGGTGTAAATAAACTAACTCCGATCCAACCGTCATCCAATAACTCCATATTGTTCATGACACACGAGTTTCATGAGTTGTCCATTAATTTCAAAGTTTTAAAGAATAGACAAAAATTAAGATTAAGCTTTGAGTCTACGTTGAAAAGAAATAACTACAATAGGAAATGAATTATGCATTGATATCATTGCCATATTGCTATTCAGTACAATCACGCAACAATAATTTGGAGAACGCGAATTAATTAACGTATGCCTAAATTCATCTATGACGATTTAAAAATTTCTGTGGTAAAAGAGTAATCTCCTATTTCTCACTTGAGAACGAAATAATTTATTTTACATGGCGAGTGCCAAAAATATTTTAGTAACCGCATTTCAAAACAGAATGATCATTACGTCTATGTTGTATAATTCAAATTGATTCAGTGTACTTTGATTTATATGTAAACCCAGTATTCACATTACTTCGGTCGCTGTTATAAGTCAGCCTTAATTAATGTCACCGATGTTTATTTACACAGCCCGGAATGATATCAATGTTAAATATCGTAGGCACTCAAAGCGATGGCGTGGCCAAAACGTGCGTGGGGTGGCGAGCCTTGTACTGGGAGCAGCATGGTGTTGCGATGCAGCGGCTGCCTTACTAAGACCAGCGGACACCGTACGCATTGTTGCAGCGCTGATGGGTCCCTTATCCTGGCTAGCTGCTGCTGTATTTCACATTGCCCTGTGGACGAGACGCTCAGCAGCCCCCATCCTATACCTTGCTATCTACTGGATGCTCGCAGCAGCATCCTCGGCAACCATTTTATGGCAACACATCCTCGCTGGCGCATCATCAAACAACATTGAGATATACACTCAAGGAATTTCGTTGCTAATGATTGTGTTGATATCTGTGGTTGACTGCGTGTGCTTCTATGATGAGGTAATTTATTTGATGTTTTTATGTAAAAATACTTCTTGGCCTAATTTCCTGTTGTTGAAAAAAATGAGCCATTATGAATTTGCAATTAATTAACAACTATGAGATTTTCTTGCAATGTAAATAGTTTATTAAAAAGCTATATCATCACGTGAAACAATTACGATCACGTAGAAGAATGTTCTTCAATGAAGAGTTTAGTACAGAGTTCGTAGCAGTTTGGCATTAGGTAGAATAATATTTTTTGAATTGAATCCTCAGTTGCAGACGTTCATGGGCGGCGATAGTCACTTTCCATCAGGTGACCCATCTGCTCGTCTGCCCCCTCTAACATAAAAAAATGACCCGTTAAGCTATACCAGCCTTATACCGATATTTTTAAATTTAAATATTACTAAATCTAACTAGATTTATTTAAAAAATTAACCAAATATATATAAATTAGTAATTCATGCAAACTTTAGAATGTTATTACGGAGATCACAATTCAGTTTTCAGTAGTATTTTTTAACTCTCGTTTAGATATCAATTAATTATTATTATTAATTTTATTTAACAATATGTGTCAAATATAAATGAATGAACACATTAATAAATTTCGAAATACATATATAAATTACATCTAAACACATATCAAATTATCACAAAATAATTCTTCCTAGATGGGAATCAAATCCACAACATCTGCCGTCAGTATCATTACTAAACCAACAAGATATTTCAGTATAAATTTGTACATCAATAAATGGTGTGAATTCTCTTTGTAAACGGTTTTGTTTGCTATCATTTATCATTATCGCTGGTGGCACTGAATTTTATTAGGCTGAGAAAGACGCATACAGAGATCTTTTGACGGCTAACTAATATGTTCAGATGTTCGACCAGAGGCCCAAGTGTGAGTTTATTTCACATCTACTCGCTCTCGACGCTGAATGAAATCTTCACCATTTGCAAGTTGCCGTTGAGAGCAAGTCACCCTAGGACTAGGAGCTCAGATTGTTTATCAATGTCAACCACTGATCAACTCGGCATCATCCTTTTTCTCTGGCTCATTATCTTTAGGACTAGGTTTTTATTATCACCAGATGTGTTTTGTTTAAAATGCCGCCCATCAACCGCATTTGTATACGTAGTCTCATAAAGACGTGTGACCGATCTCATAATTTGCAAATGTTTATTAATAGGTCCACTTATGCTCTTCTATTGTACTTTGAATGTATAATTTTATTCATGTTACATATTGGCAAACAAACTATTGGTTCATTTTAATCCTTCCTCTTATTGACTTTAAACATAAAGTTATAATCTCTTTAAGGCTGTCATCGAAGTACGTCAGCACCTTTACTCTTTCCTTATTAAGGACATCGTACTCGGTAATTTCTTTAATAAATTGTATTTCATTATTTTTACCTAATGTTTCTATCGTAATGACACAATTTAAGATGCGCCCCATATTGACTGAAAAATACTATTTGCCATATATTCTTTTAAATTTAAACGATAGTCTGATCCCAAAGTAGACAGAGCCTGTGCTATGGTAACTACACTGCTGATAAACGTACTTAAATACTTCAAAACATTAAATATTTTAGTTTACCTACTTAATATTTTAGATAAATTACACCCAGACGTGGAACAAATGACTGTGCTCCTCTGTGTGCCCTTTATTTCAATCCGCTTCAATTAGCTCAAGCGCTTTATATATTTTATACATGCTTAATTTGATCCGCTCCGTCATCGCAATGTTTTACTAGGATTATTCTTATATTACCAAGCAAGAGATAAGTCATTCTATTTATTTAAAAATAAAAGTTGTCGAATGTTAATGCTGTCACTATAAAGTGTTGTAAGTCTACAAGTTAGGTAGTATTATATTTCGCCACTTTATGTGACGCATAAAGCTGTGTTGTGTTATTTTTTTGATGATACAACTCCTCACTCTGCTTAATTCACTTCATCTTACGTTAACAGTTAATCTATTCAACCCGGGGGCTGCCTTTCTCTGCAGACGGTTTATCAATTTACATAAACCTTTGATATGTACCTAACATATTCAAAATACTAATATCTATTTCAAATTGAGACGACATTAAAAACACTTTCCATTATTCTATTATTATTATTATTTATTGCTACAAAACAACCAATTTCATAATATATAATAACACTGCCAAGTTGTATTGTGTGTATTTTGTGTTATTGTATGTGTATATTTTGTGTTATTATATATTTCATAATATATAATAACACAAAATATATGAAACTCAACATAATAATATACTTATGGAAAGTACGTATGGACTTAGATATTGAAACAGTCCATGTCTCAAATGGAGGCAAAAATCTGCTGAACTGCCTTCTTGCATATTTTTTTTTGATAAAGTATCATCATCAACATCAACTAAACTGAGCATCACTGAGCTCTAATTTGCATTTAGTTTTCCTATTATGTGCTTTAGTAGATTACGTTTATGTCGAACGTCGTTAACTGCCCCATTTATTATGTTAATTTTTAAATAGCCTCCGTTTTAATCAAAAGCGCTATCGGCAATTAAATGCCTTTTTTTTTCCGTTAGGAAATCCCCTCGGATACCACCTGTCGGTGGCATGTCGGACTCGAACCGACTAAAACCGCACGCCGTCTCGGGTACTAATAGCCGGGGAACCAGGTATACCCTAGAAAGGAAGTCCCTGGTGCCCCGACATACCTCGGGTCATCTACAGACGAGTAGACGACCCCCCCCCCCCCCCCGTGTGGGAACCCCATGTTCCCTGTGCTCCCTGGAGGCAATTAGATGCCTGGAGTAACTTTATACCTGAAATGGAACGTAGCATATCTGAGTTAAACTCGAATTAATTTATCATATTTCATTTATTTATAATTGAATTTTGAAACAAATATGTCAATCTGAAATGATTTGTCCAAACAAAACGCCCGCCTGAGCTAATATTTACACTAGTAGATATCTATATAAACTCTATTTGGTTTAATTACATGTGAAGATGGCCTTCAAAATATTCAAATGAAGGTGACTAAAACAGCAGTAGTTAAATTGTTTAGTGTCAATATACGTGTTAGTCACAGATATCATGCACTCTCACTCCAATTAAACTTTATAAACGGCTTATTTGCAATCAATCACCAGCAATCAGCGACAAGACAAGCATGAACTGTACTTAGTACAAAATGTAACATGAAATTAGAATTTAATTTTATATTAGCTTCCTCTTTTCATACTATTAACTTACCATGCCCTAAATAGAGCACAAGTTGATTGAAACTTGTATGCAAGTGAGGTACATGCGTAACAACTAGACGTGCGTGTTCGTCGCATGTCATTATATGTATACACAAGAAATGGTACCGTTATGTGCTACTTTCTATTTTTATAAGTCACAACTATGAATATTGACTATAAAACTAAGATTAGTAATATATAAGGATAGATGTATAGGGTATGAGTCAGGCAAATCCCGTCACGGCTCCCGCCGGCGGCGCCGGCCGTCGCGATGGGGAACATTCGAAAGACACGATTTTCACAATGCGTCTGGCGCCACACTCTCGGATGGTATTTCCCATAAGAGCACGTGTGCGGTCAGTGTACATATTGCATGATGCAAAAGTATACAGCATGATATAAGCTTCAATATATTTCAAGGGAATAACGATTAATTGTTCCTTGTATGACTAGTACTGTTTTATTTCAACCACTTGATCACTAAGTTAAGAAAAAAATTGATGAACTAGGAATTCTGAACGATTTGTTACTAAATGAACAAGGTGAAAAAAAATCATTTCAATTATTTATTTTAATTTCAGGTTAGAAAACGTTTCAGAAATGATCAATCCAACCACATACCTAATATATGCTACAAATACAATGACACACATTTCTATTCGAAAGTGACTTTCTTTTGGTTAAATTCTTTACTGAGAAAAGGGTACCGGGCACCGTTAGATCCAGACTATCTCGGCGATCTTCCAGACGACGAACGTTCAATACACTATTATAAAGAGTTTGACAAGATATACAGGAACAAAAACGTACGTATTTTATAGCTAAATACGCACTGCTCATAATCTGGTGTTGGCTATTGTAAGTTTTCTTTTTACACGCTTTATATTAGCTTCACTTGTATGTTTGTTTGTATGTTTGTAACCGACCCCTTTGACTTGAAGACTTTAAACGGTCAGAACTCGTTCAAACTTTGGAGATATATCGAGGCCCGATGACAATACACTAATTTAAAAAAAAAATGTTTTAAAAAACTAATAGACTTGCAACGAATATTCGGTTACTATTCGGTATTCGGCCTATTCGGCTGCTTTTATTATATTCGGCCGAATACCGAATACTTAAATAATATATTTTGTCATTGAGAAATAATTGGTAAAATGAAAAATTAAAATCGATTGATTACATATATATTCATATTTTCATTTCTGTTATAATCATTTAAGTAGTCATTGGTGCATAACACAGCTACATAATCATCTTCTGAATAGGAAAAATGGAGGATTCTATGTATTTGAATTATTGTGGTAATCAACATTTAGAAGGGTAAGGTTCTCATTTCTTTTATAATCATTTATTAAGTAGTCATTGGTACATAAAACAGGTACATAATTTAATTCACGTCTGTACAAGTTTTTGGCGCTAAAATCCAGCCGAATACTTTTGCCTAATATTCGGCTATTCGGTCAGGGGCCTCGCCGAATATTCGGTATTCGGTATACTGCCGAATATACTATTCGTTGCAAGTCTAAAAACTAAATAACACGCTTTCTATAGAAAACTAAACTAAAAAAAAGAAAATAAATTTGAAAAAAAGCGTGGGATGCTTTTTACTATTGACAACAGGCACCCAACGCTTTTTTCAAATTTTTTCTTAGAGAGTGAAAGATAGGGAAGAAGAGAAACATAGTAAAACGAAAAAAACAGAATTAAACGTATTATACCTCTTGCTCTCCGCAAAGTACACTACGGAGTCTGTAAGCTACTGGGCGGAGTCTGACCCACGAACACTTGATCGCCTTATTAGTTAGGCTAACCAAAAGTAACTATTGACATGACATTAATTTCTTAATTTCAGAAAATGGATTCTAATAAAAACAGTCCTAGCCTGCTCTCCTGCTACATTCGTAAAATCTGGCCAAACTTTTATATCGCTGGTATATTAAAACTGTTCGGCGACATGATTTCCGTCGTACCTCCATTAGGACTGGCAATTATCATTCAATATATCGATGGACCCGTTAAAATTTATGATCATAGTACACAAGTGACTGTAGACGAATATCTTAGCAATGGATATGTGATGCTACTTATTGTTACACTGGCACTTATTAGTCAAGCATTTCTATCTCAGAACTCAACACATTTAGTGACGGTCGAAGGCACAAGGCTGAAAACAGCTCTGCAAGTTTGTTAATTTGTAAAACAATATCTATGCTTTGAATAAATTCATCTTTGTTGCTTTTGTTACATAAACACTACGTTTTTTATTTAAATTAGTTACATTTTATTAAGTTTTTTATTCACAGACCATGGTTTACGATAAATGTATGAGACTCGCGCCTTGGACACCGACTGAAACAGACGAAGATGAGGAGACCCGGCTCCTGCATGATCCCGAAGAAAACAGCAATACAAGAAGTGGACTTATAACAAATCTAGTATCGCAGGATACGTACAATGTCATGTCATGTGTTTGGATTTGTCATTATATATGGGCCATACCGTTAAAGGTTTGCACCTCTCTTCTTAGCAGTGTAATCTATTTGAAAAAGATACAAATGAACTTATGTATTTATGATATTTCAGGTAGTGGTAATACTATATTTGCTGTATACTAAACTGGGAGTAAGTGCAATAATAGGCACAATAGCAAGTGTTGTCATCTTAACACCAATACAGTTCTATGTAGGAATGAAAATATCAGACAATTCCAAGAACATCGGAAAATGTACAGACCACAGGATTTCAAAGATGACAGAGATTTTACAAGGCATAGACGTTATAAAACTTTATGTTTGGGAGGATTTGTTCAATGAGAAAATTTTACAATTAAGAGAAGTTGAATTGAAACTTCTCAATAAAGATTCAATTTACTGGAGTTTTTTAAGTAAGGCGAATATACTTTTTATTTATATATAGTAAAATATTATTTTAAATTATGCTCTCAATATTATATTTCAGCTTTCACAACCCAAATATCTTCCATTCTGATAACAGTGATCACTTTTACGGTGTACTATTTTATAGACAATGACAGTCGGTTCACAGCAGTGAATGTTTTCGCTGGACTGGCTCTGTTCAATCAACTCACTGTGCCTTTACTAATTTTGCCCGTAACCGTACTCATGGTAATTCAAGCGATGGTAAGGAGAAAGTAATTGTATTCATTTTATAAAATCGTTGATATTAGCTCTAACTACCCAACTACCAGTAAATAAAGAAAATTTTTACTAATGTAGGTTAGTACAAAGAGGATTCAAGATTTTTTGGAACTGCCCGAATCGAACAATGTAGATGAAAATGATTCCCACAACCGAGCTATAGCTGCAAAATTAAAAAGAAATGAAGAGATTTTCCCTAAATTATCGGAGAAAGATGACGTGGACAACAATGACTTCGTCATTAGAAATGAATCTGACGGGGCGGAATGTATTGATCATTTTCCTGACGACGACGTAAACAATATGTCATCTCAAATTCCTGATTACATTGTCAGCTTTAAAAATGCAGCCCTGACTTGGGGCAAGAGTAATGAAATGCCTCTAGAAATTGACGATTTAGATATTCCAGCAGGTTAGAAGTATTTTGACTAAACTGACGAATGTTTTCACAAAAAATGTCATTTCCTGATTTGTTCAATACAATATTTTTCAATTACTAGGTAAACTAATCATGGTTGTCGGTGCAACTGGATCAGGAAAATCTTCATTGCTATCTGCCATTCTCGGGGAAATGTACCTAGACCGAGGTGACATCGTTTACAACAAGTAACTACCTACATACATTTTTTGGTCGTCATTCCACAGGTTACAATATTTCAAAACTGTACCTCTGTAGGTAGATTCACATAAGAATCTACGTATAAATTTGAGATATTAAAATCTGTGTGTATATTAACATTTGTGATATTTGTTTTGCAACGTAACATAATATTTGTTTGACAACAGTTACATTCAGTAAAATTTCCATCACTGATAATTAATAATAATAACCTCACACATCTCAAACACACTATAAATTTCTAAATACATATACATATTATAGATAAATTACACCTAGACAGGGAACAAGTAATCATGCTCGTCACACAATTATTTGTGCTGGGTGGGAATCGAATATTTAAAATAACATTTGTCACTATTTGTAGTCCTTGGATAACTTTAGAGACTCAAACTTACCGTGGGTAGGTCTCTACTAATTAACAAATACATATGTTCTTCAATAAAGTAAGCACGCGTGTGACGGTTTAACTTCTGTTTGATTGTCTCAATTACAAATACAAAATGAAATGTAACGCCAATTTACCCAATTTACACTTACGCGATATCGTGGAATCAAATATCTGTTTTGAAAACGTACAAACTAAAAAAGATCTCATAAAACTTGAGCTAAAAAAAGGATACTAAATAGTTTTCACTGTTTTCGCTATTTACTCAGCGTCATACATATTTCCGACACAGAAAGGCTAAAGTAATTGACGGTAACACTGAAAAATTTCCTCTAGATGTTGTACAATGTGGTACGCGGGTCAACCACCATGGCTCTTAGAGGGATCAATTCGCAATAACATCGTTATGGATAATCCGTGGTGTCAGAGAAAATATGGGCGTGTACTGCGAGCGACCGGTTTGAGGCCGGATCTTCAGCTATTACCTGGTAAGAAAGTAGAACTTACTTTTTTAAATAAACTGCTTTTAACATACATAAACAAGAGCAAGTTATGTGGACTGCTGGAGATATGTAGTAGAAACAAATGTAATTATTTAATCTAGAATGATAGAATCACATCGTGTATTATTGTATTTTTGATTAATTGATATACTCGTATACATATATATATATAAATATATATATGACAATCTGGTAGAGGGCGATGCTACGCAACTGGGTAGTCATGGAACACCTCTGTCCGGTGGACAACGAATCAGAGTTTGTGTGGCTCGAGCACTGTACTCCAACGCATCGCTCTTGGCACTTGATGAGCCTCTGGCTGCACTCGATGCTCCACTAGCGAGACACTTGGTGGCTCGTGGACTGGTACCCGCAGCGCGAGCTGGACGCACAGTCATCATTGCCACTAACCGCCTTGAGCTACTGCATTATGCTGATTTGGTAAGTAATATTAGCAGACATGGGTGTAATGCGTCCTTCATGGGCGCAATACAAACATGTCCATAAATATAATAACAGAATTTTGTTTGAATGAATACTCGTACTTATCATACGCAAGCGAAATCTTAGTAACCTGAGATTGGAAAGTTTACAACACACATACGCGTAATGGGGTACTGATTTTTTTGACCTCACGACTGATTTACTTACACATAAACACAGCGTAGACTAGTTTGGAACCGTTGTCGTAGTGGTCATGTTCTCAATTGATATTTTGACTAACTTTCATTAGATTATTATTAGGTAGATGTTGTAATTATTAGCCGATTAGTATTACATGCTCAAAAATTCTCATTGATTCTCAATCATCAGAAAATAATGTCTACTCTATTTTATCATGTTTGTCAAAAGATAATAGCAATGGAGGAGGGTCGAATATGCGGTATAGGTCGGGCCTCATCGGCGTGCTCAGGCGCATTGGCTCGCTGGGCTCGTCTGGCTGGTGAGGCACGAGCTGCCGCTGCTCGGGCTGGTGCTGGACCACCTGGTGGTGCTACACGAGAACGGTCAAGATTACTACGTGCATTAAGTCGCACTAGGTTTCAGAGATGTATCTCTGACGAGACTACGGTAAATTCGTTATGTATTGTTATTTCTTGTAAGTCAGTGTAGGACGACTAGCCACCGCGCAAATATATTTAAACAGGATCTTTAAGGATCTGGTATTAAAGTACGTAAGATCATTCTTGGAAAACGAATAGTATAATTACTGTTACATAATGTTATATTTAAATACATTATAATTTTGAGGAAAATAAGGACAATCAATGGTATTATATAGCAGAAATTAGTTCCGGTGCCGTTCACCGACTAAAACACTATATATATATTATGAATATACATGTATTATGGAACGATGATGATTACGATTTAGTTAATTTATTTATCTTTGGCCTGAAGCTATATCCGTTTTATTCGGTTACACTGTGTTGTTATATGTATAAGATATCATATATAATCATATTTAATTAATAAAAACAATTTTAAACTTTATGCAAAATTCAAAATAATAAAAAACTATAATAAAATTTGTGTTAAACGGTGGTGACGTCTACTATGGTCACAATTTCAGGTGGGTATAAGCGAAGCAGCGGGTGCTCATCTATTGTCGGAGGTGCCGACATGTGCTGGAGGAAGTTGGCGTAGACGAGTCACACAACGTTCTAGACCAAATCTCTCCAGGCAGTTGTCTTCACCACCGCCCTCAATGTTTAATTCCAAGTAAGCTCGATAATGGCTGTGCTAATAAAGACTAATACTTATTTATCAATCAATTATTTTTATTTCTCCACTGGTGTCAGATAAATACCGATTATACTTACCTATTTTTCTTTACAGTAACAATGTATAAACTTCTTTTAGCTAATTTGGTAGCAATTTATTATGCGCAACGACTTACCTACTTATTGATCGAGTCGAATATGATTGACATAAATCTCCATGATTAACATTCAGATGGCGGCCGGACGTGCGTCGCGCTGTCAGTGCCGACGAATCGAACATCGCACTGCAGCGTGAGGCGAGCTTCCTGCGTCGTCTGTTGCAACCGCGACCTACTCGCACACTCAATAGGTTACTTGTTACTTTATTGCGATCCTACTAACTGATCCCCGCGATTACCCCGAGGGGAACTAAACCATAAAATCCAAGGAACTCCCACAGCTCAGGATTTAATTTGAATGTACTTAGTATTTATGATTCATAGGGCCATGTTACATTTTAAATCATATTGAATTGTTTACACAGATGGACGCCAAAGACATTACGACGTTTAATTAGCACAGATTCGGAAAGCGCTCATGAAGATAACCTTAACAGTGGTAAGTTTTTTTGAACAAAATTTAATTTGTTAAGTGAATAAATGAACCTCATACGTACGTACAACATCTGTGTTTAACCTACTAAAGCTAAACTTTCATGAAAGTCTTTATTGATACGTAGGTATATAACCAAAAAGGGTAGTAAATTCTTATAAATTAAGACGTAGGTAGGGATACCGGGTCAGGTCTTTCCGCCACTGTTGTTACAAAACTTATCGATGACCTCATTTAATGTTTCAAAATTATTTTTGCCTTATTCGGAATGCATGTTGTTTAACCTTCTGAATGCAGATATGTTTATATATTGTCCTTTACTACAACTGCCTACTTACGAATCTGATATATTTAACACAATAACATCTACTGAACTCACTTTCATCTACTGAATTATTGAGGTAATGTAATAGACTGGCCTGTTGATCTAAGGGTTAACGATCCTGACTTCAGGTCGTGGGTTCGATTTCCACTCAAGACAGATCATTGTTTTTTTAAACAACTCCACTAGGTTCATACCCTGTGTCGCGGGTGACTTTACAAACATTTTTGAAACGGATACACATAACACCCAGCCTCCGAACAACAAACAAAGTGTTGTTCCATGTGGATAGAACCCACAACACTTAGCGCATTAGGACGCGGCGAGGTGACCGCTTAAACCGCAACACTATCCGTGCACGCCATGAGCACGACTAATATTCTGCGTCTGGGTGTAATTCATCTGTAATATGTATGTATATAGTAATATATAAGTATGTTTATCGGCAGTCAGATAACCATAACGCAGGATACAGGCACTGCCTAGTATGAAATCATGTATGGACGTATGTGAGATGTCTTTTTTATATTAGAGTATTTGAAATTCTAATTTGCTTAAGAGACATTGACTACGTAATTTGTCCGTGTGCCGGATTCAGAATACCGAGTATCACCACCCCTATTCATCCCGTGGGTACCTATCGTAAGAGCCGACTAAAGGAGCAAACTACGCAGGACAACAACACTGCAAAGAGGAGGAAAACTTGAAACAAACCTTATACCAACCAGTCTGGCCAGCGTGGTATAAGCAGGCCAAAACCTCCTGTCTAAGGAGAGACTTGTGTCCAGACGTGGACTATGAAGGCTGTTGATAATGATGATGACTACCTACGTAAAGTGTATTTTACATTTTTACTTAAATACATTCGTATGACTACATTTCGTTTCAGATGTACCTGATGAATCCGGAGTTGACACTACGCCATATAGTTCGTTGACATCAAATGGTGTTGAAACAAATAACATAATCGCTGATAATGAAGATTCTAGTATTGAACAGAAATCTGATGTCGCCAATGAGGTAAGAAATATATTAAAATTAAAACGCAGGTGATATTAACAATTCAACGCGTTGGATATGAAATTGTTTAGTGAATTAATTGGACAAAATCCTAAACATTATATTTTTATTATTATTTAACTTTTGCCATATTATATAATTTTACTTAGACTAAAAGAATGTGAATATTTTAGCTCTTCCATATTAAGTTTGAACTTATACTCAGTTGCGGCCTTAGCTAATGGGAGGCCCCGGGCGGGTAGGACATTGCGAAGCCCCAGGCGGGTAGGACATTACGAGGCCACGGGCGGGCAGATGATTGCGAGTCCCTTGTCTGTGTGCAATTAGTTTTAATGATGGCACTTGAAACAAAAAATGCAGCGCAACACATACTGCTGCTCGAACATAAGCCGACGACAGTTGCCACTTACAGCCTGTTAATATGAAAGGTCAAATGAAACACGGGAAATCCCTGAACGTAAATCGAAAAAATCATGACAAATTCTACGCAAGAGAGCGTGACGTGAGTTATATAATGCGAGGCGCAAGAAGCGAAATTGAAATAAACATATTTTTCTATTTGGGCTCGCGAGGCTCCGGGCGGTAGCCCGGCTCGCCACCCCCAAGGCCGCCTCCGCTTATACTTTTGACAGCACTTTTAAATGTTATTTTAGCAATAGAATTTAGAATAGAAGATAATTGCAAATTAAAATATAATAGAACACGAGTTAAGAAAATATATCCCAGTCATTCTTTTGATTACTTTTGTAACTCAACCCAAGATATGATAAAGATGAGATTTATAGGTTTTTTGCACTGTAATTTAGTGTGTCATCTGGTGGGAATATGCACGCGCTTGCAAATGGTGGAGCGGCGCATACTGGGCAGCGGCCGCCACCGCACAAGCTCTTGCGCTGGCTGCCGATTGCTGGCTTACGTACATCACGAGTCAGAGTTCACAAACTGAACTCAATGACATGGTAAGTAGTTATATCCCTTTGACCACAAGCTTTTGGCCGCGACATCGCTCGCAAAAAAATAATTATGCCTCTGTTCCTCGGAATGGTCCTTGTGGTGACGGATTAAGAATACATAGTGTCACCAAACCTATTTATCCCGTGGGTGTCGTAAGAGGGGACTAAGGGAGAAATGTATGCAGGGTAACAGCACTACAAAGAGAAAGAAAACTTGACACAAACCCCATAACAACCCGTCTGGCCCGCGTGATATAGTAGGCGAAAACCTTCTCTCTAGCGAGAGGCCTATAATCCAGCAGTAGACTATTAAATGTTGATGATGATTACTTAGAAACAGTACATTTTTCTGGATGAAAGAATTCCATATCATTTCAGACAACTGAATGATGGTATGAGTAAAGCTAATCTCTTAACTGACTCGATGGTGACAGAAAATACCCTAGTTCGATGTACTCTGGTTAGTCCGGACAAGGGCTAAAAAATAGTGGTCTCAACGTTAATGACTGAAAATTGATACAAACTTTTGGAACACCATTATAAATTAAAGGTGAAAAGTAATCATCGATCCCAAATTTGCAAAAAAATGTGGAAAAAGCTCTATCTGAAATCTTAAACTTTATGTTAGTAAAGCAGATTTTTATAATAGCATATGTATATTTAGACTTGGGCCGGAGTCCGTACATATGCAGTGTGGTGCGGCTGCGGTGCACTGGCGGCGGGTGCAGCGCAGGCAGCATGCGCGTGCGCCGGTGCTGGGGCGCGACGTAAATTCCACGAGCGCCTACTCCATGCAACGCTACACGCCTCACCCAACCACCACCGGGCCACTCCACTCGGGACTACCTTACATCGCTTTGCCGCTGACATACTCGTTATCGATAAGGTATATTACATATTTTGGGCAATTTGTTAAAACATTCCAAAAATGTGTCGTTTAAACATGAGAACACAATTGTCGCCAGATGCATCAAAGCACAAAATAAATAATATTAGTTTATAGAAAAAAAACTATTGATTTCGTGTCACATTTCTTAGTTTTCTAAATAAACTCAGGTGATAAAAACTACTACTAATATAGGCACCCTTTCAATTAACAAAGGTCTTTCAATTGCCTGTAGATTTTGTTGTTGCTTTTAATTTTAAAGTACATACAGAGTAAGTTTCAGACACGAACCTTTATGCTCTAATTTCTCATATTGAGTTAGTGTGTTGGTACTACACTCCTGAAATCAATCATCTTTTCAGAAACTACCGACTGCGATTAGCAGGTGGGCTCAGCTTGCTCTGCTGTGTACCGCCGCTTTGCTCGTCAATGCCATAGTCGCACCTTGGAGCCTGCTGGCTTCGCTGCCTGCTTTGTTTTGCTACCTCACTCTACAATCTGTTTATCTGTGTAACGCCAGGTACATAAGCAGTAAGTAAATATTAGGAGTAAAAAATAGTCAATGGATCATGTTGTTGTGATTTTAATATGTTACACGGACTCATGATATTGTAAGGTGATCAACAATTTGTAGTCGTAAAAGTAACTGAAGTGAGTAGCCACAGTTCAATATTTTTTGTGTATTTAGAAACTTACATTTTTTCTACTTTTTTTTGCAGAGAGCTTCAGTCTGCGGAAGCGCAAAGTTCGGCGAGGGTGGTGTCGTTGTGCGCAGAGACATGTGCTGGTGGCAGCACCATCCGCGCCGGGAGATTACAAGCGCGCATGCGCACCACTTTCTTACGCAGAATTGATAATAACCACAACACGCTTCTTTTGTTGAATGCTGCCAACCGGTGGCTTGGGCTAACTTTGGTAAGATTATTAACATTCCACTGAACAGTCTAAGGCTGAACTAGATGATCTACTAGTCTTACGTGCATATCATCAACAGCCTTTAACAGTCCACTGCTGGACATAAGCCTCTCCTTAGAAAGGAGGTTTTGGCCTACTATACCACGTATACTATACTATACTTACGTGCATATAGAGCACTAAATAATGAGTCACACTTTTTTTTTCATGTCATGAGTCATGCTTTTAATTTTTGTTATGTAAGAATTGTCACAAAAAGAATCATTAACAGCAAAATAGCACTTGGTCAAAATAAAAAAATGTAGGATCAATGGTGGCAAGACGGCAACCGCGACGAGTAGTGTAGATTCGATCTTCACATATTTGAATACGGAAAATCCAAATGTAAGATGAACATCTAGATACAAGTCATTAGCTATGTTGAAACTGGAGCAGATAGTGATTCTCAACAAATTGCAATTTTATTGCTTGTCTGTACTGCCATATAGTAATAAAATATCATTTTTTACCAAGAAAATATAATTTTAACACGGTTTTTCACAGAAGTTTATGGCTAACAAATGTTGATGGATAGTCGATGTAATGTAGTTTACAGTGGCGTAGCTAGGCGTGGGCGAAGTAGGCCGTCGCCCACGGCCTCGCACTATAAGGAGCCTCGCGAGGCACCTTTAAATGCTATGCCCCAGACTTTACCACAGATGACTAATTAATTTCATCACTTTTACGATTGAAGAACGTCACAAACTTAAAAACGTGTTTATTTTGAGGCCTCGCGAGTCTTCTTTAAATGCTATGACTATACCACTGATGACTAAATTATTTGATCACTTTAACGCTTGAAGTGGAACATCACATCTTTAAAAACGTGTTTGTTTTGGGTTGCCTTGCAAAAGGTTAAGTGCGATTGCGAGGCCTCGCTCGCATCCTTTTTTCACTATCATAAGTAGGTAGTCGTGTCAAAGCATGTTCGGTAGGATAGAGATTAGGCGGACCGTGGGAACAAAAGAAAAGGGGCCTCGATAGTGCGACTTCACCCACGTTAATATTATTAGGTACATTCTACGCCTCTGGTAGTTAACATACCTACCCATACACTACCATGTATACTTATGTAGAAAGTGCACAGGTACTTGTGTCTCTTTGTGTGTGTTGAGTTACAGGTGTCTATGAACGGCTGTAGTCACCGAGCAGACCGTTAAATGCCACTTGACACCTGCAATTCAAACGTCACAAGTGCGTTGTCGTCCTTGGAGTCCCTTTTCGCCGAAATAGAGAAGAGACGGGAGGCTACTTCAACCTCACTCACTTGCTAAAAACCCACATAACAAATGCTTATCATCGGGTTTCTGTGAGGCCTTGATATCAGTCCGGCTGCTTGCTTGCTTTGCTTTAACAAAATCATCTTATTAACTAGAGCTCGTGACCACGCTGCTGAATGAGCGTATTTCGTGCGTACGCTACAGATTGTTATTTTGTCGAACAGGATCTGGTAGGAGCTGCTAGTGTAAGTGTGTTATTGGCCGCTTGTGTCTTCGGAGGTGTAAAGAGCGGTGCTGCGGCGGGTTTAGCAGGCGCGTATTCCTTGTTGCTGCCCGCATACTTGGCACATCTGGCCAAGTGCCGCGCCGACTTGCATTTGCAACTTGCCGCTCTGGAGCGGATACACACTGATACCAATATACCCCAAGAGGATTACAGAGACGACTGTAACTATATCTCCATTTCGTAATATTTATTTCATCTTTATCAAACTCTCAAAAGCCAAAATAATATAACTAGATTTTGTTTTTTTTTTTCAAAATTGAAGTTAGAGTTTCAATGTTAATAAATTTTACCACTGTAAGAAAATCTAAAGAACTGAAAATATTTTGGGTCTTTGTGTAATATTGTAAAAAAAAGATGCTGTTGGGCTACACACAGCTCAAAAACCTATAAGAACAACTGGCATGAATAAAATTTATATCTGAAATGTCTTAACATAGAAATTGTCCTATAATTCCTAAGGATTATAGGACAATTTCTATAATATAATTATAGGATATAATAAAATTATAGGATAATTTCAAATTTGATCTAGATCAAAACTTTAAGCGAATTGTGAATTCCAGGCTACCGTCCGTCCGTCCAAAAAATGTTTAATGCTTAACTGAGACTGGGTTTTGTTTTCTAATGTGGTGTAAAATGTTAGATCTTTCAAAGACATATCTGTATCATCTTTGTCCTAGGTCCAATACCAGCAGGTTGGCAACGAAACGGAAAAATAGAATTTGAAAATGTCAGCATCCAGCATGAACCAGGCACGACTCCAATACTCAAAAATATAAACCTTACCATATCTCCTGGGGAAAGGGTAACTATGACTTCTTCTTAAGTGTTCTTCAAAATTCATAACAGTCTCATCAAATAATATCTTTATTTCTGATGAGTAGGAACAATTAGTAACATATGTCATCTTTGTATCACGGATCCTAAGTTTACAATTTAACTTGATATGTTACACTCTCAGTTTTGATTCCAAGGTCTCCTTAAACTTACACACGTCTCTATAAGATCTTACTTAATCAACGACAAAAGTTAGGTGGAGAATTTTGATTAAAACATTTCAAACTCAAGGTAACATAAAATCGTCCTTTGCAATTTATAATGCTCTGTTCCCGTCTTAGCTTAAAGCTGAGAATCAAACAAAATTAATCAAAATTCTGTTTTTTTTTTTCAATTATATTACAATAAAATGTCATTTAGGTTGCGATATGCGGTCGGAGCGGCAGTGGTAAATCAACTTTAGTTATGACGTGTGCCGGTGCTACCACCATCTCCAGTGGACGTGTGCTTATCGATGGTCAGGATATAATGAGGGTTCCGCTACGAGCACTTCGTCATCGTGTAGTTGTGGTACCGCAGGAGCCTGCCATGTTCTCAGGCACGCTGCGAGAAAACTTGGATCCTCTTGCCGTGCATACAGATGATGAGATATGGCAAAGTCTTAGAGCGGTCGGACTTTATGAATTTGTTTCTGCTCAACCAGCTGGATTAGGTATGTTCTAATACTAATCTCATTTTAAATATCTGGGTCATCTGGTTCTCTGGTCAGGGCTCTGTCAGAGGTAAAAGTTTTATTTATTTACTTATTATTAGTATCCACACTTACTAACCCTGTTTAAAGTTTATTGTACAACTATTACACGAGCAGCTTGTGGGAGCATTATTTGTTGGCATCGTATGGGGCCCGCGGGTCCAATATAAAAATGCCTTTAGGAAACTGATGGAGCTGCCCTGGCGACAGTGGCGGATTATCCCTAAGGCAAAGCAATGCGAGGTTACAAAGGAGCGCGCGCGCAGAATTTTTAAACAAATAAAAACCATATGCCTAACATGTTTTAATAAAAGCTATTCCCAGGTTCCTCCTATTTGAAGGTTTGAACACAAAAGCTATACCAAGCCGTCTGGCCAGCGTGGTATAGTAGGCCACAACCTCCTTTCTAAGGAGAGGCCTATGTCCAGCAGTGGACTATTATAGGCTGTTGATGTGATGAAGGCACTCCTTGTGCTCAGCTCACAGCTCCTAAAAGCGGTTACTCGCCATGCCCGATCCGAATCCGTGAAAACAAAAATACGGTCCGAATTAGTCCTAGAACAATTTATATGGTAGTTTACGCACTAGAGCCGACTTCCGTCATCCCATTTCTTTCTGTTGTCCGTAAATCTCCATTCCGGGTAAGATTATTGACGGAAAAAAGTTAACATACTATTATTTGAATGGACGCATTTTTGATACCTAGAATTATTTGCTTCTTCTGTGTCGTTCGTCATACAACAGCATTGCCAGAAATTGACGCCGATCGAAAGGACTCAGGATCATAAACGCTCCGCGGAAAATGCCGTCTGCTAAAAGGTGACCTTTGAATTGCTTGGATTGGAGTCAGAGATCGCAATAGTGCGTAAACAATTTACAAATTCAGTCAATCAGTCAACATTCCAAATCCGTAATCACGGATTATAAATCGGAGGTAGTGCGAAAAACAATATCCGAATTCAGCCCGAGATATCTAGATTTTTATTTTCACGGGTTCGGATCGCTCTAAGACACTTCAATTCTGATACACCGCCCACCGAAAACCCCACGGCTCCAGGAGTTTCCCCACACGAAAAAAAAGGTGTTGTAAAGAAATGCCAACAAAAATTTGGGAGCAATCACTACCACAGATTTACATTCAGTATAGGGAGCGCCGATGAGATGCTTGCCTAGGGTGCTCTTGATACTTAATCCGCCTCTGCCTGGCAATGTAGTGCCTCGAGAATGTTTTCAAATGCAAGATTTGACTGCTTTTACTCAACGATACAGAAACGAGCACTATCATTCTTGTTGTGGGTAAGGGGCAGCTCCAACAGGAATATATGACTCGATGCTGTCGGCTACGTGCATCTTTTTGTATGTGTATGTAGTATGGTATGGTGTTTAAAATTTCCAAATTAAAGCTTTGGAGTAGTACTTAGGTAGTTCCTACTTGGGACAATCGTATAAAAAGAATAGCTAACACGGAATTGTTTCATGAAGGAACTCCAATGAAATTCTACAGCCTTCTATAATTGCTTGAGAGAAGTAGGAAATCTTAATTTACATTTTTGTCGTTTACCGTAAATGCTAAATATTAATTACTTTTTAGAAAAGAAGTATAAGTTACGTCAATTTTATATTTTACGTTCTTATTATTTACTGAAATTAGTAATATTCTGGAGACTATTTGCCATGAGAATCCTCTGAGAATCTTCAATGTTCGCCACATAATATATCACATGTTCATTTTAGGATTTTTCAAACTCTAGATATTATGAACGACCTCCTATATCCCTGAGATAGGGCAGAGAGCGTCGACAGTAGCCCTCCATACCGTTCGGTCCTGAGCTTCGCTCTTAAACGAACACAGATCTTGTCAATAGTGCCCTTTTAATCATTTGCTTCATAACATACAGAGTGGTGCGTGAGTGGGCGCGGAGGTAGGTGCGGCTGGAGCGGAGGGCGCGTAGCCCGCGCGGCGGCTGCGCGGGCGGCCCTGCACGCTCGCCCGGCGGCCGCCCTGCTGCTGGACGAGCCGGCCGCCGCGCTCGACGCGTCAGGTGAACGCGCGCTCCTCGCTGCGCTTGCGGCCGTCGCGCCACATACTACTATTATCACCGTCGCAGTGAGTGCTTTATTAATGTGTAACGTCTTGCCTCTCGCTTTTCTGAAATCATCTGTACGAGTGATTTCGGAAAAGAAACGGAAGTGAACATAAAATTGTAACAGAAAGGTTCGTCTCATTGTTCAAAAAAAATGATTTCGCCGATGACAGGAACGGCGATGATGATTTAGCGCTAGAGTCGGCCGTCAGGTACAGGTAGTCGATATGTCAGAAGACCAATTCTCGTAATAGAAATTCGATTTCGTGGTAAAGTATTAAAAGTCCAACGTCGACTTTAATGTGATTATATCGTATTGTGACCCCCGGTCGTTAGTTATTTTGTAGACCCGCATCTTCGACGAAGATGTCCGATAGATAAAACTGAACTTTTTTAACCTTGTATTAATAGGGAATATGCACGTGACACCAAAATGGACAAAATATTTTTATTTGTAATTTTTATTGCTAAAAAAAGATACCCATACAATTATTTTTGAAATTTATTATAATTTAATAGTGAAATTTAATCATCAAAAATTGGCTTTTTTTAAGATTCTCTCGCAAATTTCTAAAACGCAACGCTATTGGTTGAATAAAACGTGACGTCAACCTACACTGTCAAGAGTGTCAACAAGTTGTGTGTATTTGTAATATTTGGTTTCTGGTGATTATTTGTTTCATTTTAAGTTAATAACTAATACGTTTTCAGTGTTAAATTATTGAATTCCCGTGTAGAAATACTCAACACAATGACTGAATATACTCGTACTTTGTCAGGTGCAGTTTTGATATTATTTTGGCACAAGGAACGGCACAATATTTATAATAAGTTTTTATTGGCTTTTCCATGGTAATAAGTTAATTCATATCACTCACTTTTTTAACTTTCACAAACTTTGTGAACTTCACTCCGTTGTTGACATCGAATTCGTCTGAAAGTGTAATCTGACGTCACAAAAAAAGCGCGCCAAAATGGACGTGTTCAAATTGCCCCAAAATGATAGTGATATTATTAAAATTTTTTTTGCTTAACGGTTTATATTTCGGATGTGTTATATTTATTTTTGGTAATGTAATAACTAGTAGAATCGTTTAAAAAAAAAAAAACATGCATATTCTCTATTACCAGTCTCGATAACACATTTTTTAATTCGACAAAGTATAGGTACAAGTTTTGAGACAGAAATTTATGTAAAAAGTAACACTTTAATGTAAAAAGCTGATAGATATACTCGTACTTCAAAATGTTCATGTTAATTAGATAAATTAAATATTTACTTAAACGATTTACATTAGTGCCGTACGATGTCGAGTGTGTCGTGAACCGTCGCCCAGTTTACGAGAGTCGGTTTGTTTGCAGCACCGCATATCGTCGGTGCGCGGCTACAGCCGGGGCGTGGTGCTGGAGGCGCGCGGCGTGGCCGAGCAGGGCGAGGTGGCGGCGCTGCTGGCGCAGCCCGCCTCCCGCCTCGCGCGCATGCTCGCCGCCGCGCAGCGCCTCAACTGACACACTACTTCACCTTCTAATAATCAACTTTCTAAGAAAGAAGCAATTCATCAAATCTCGACGCATCGAGTGGCGAAAGTAGATACATATACTGTTCGAGATCCGTGAAATAACGGGTAAAAAGGCTCGACTGATTTTGTTCATTGACAGATACATACATAATTTTGTATGTATACAATAGATAAAGTGACAACCATCCGAAACAGATAGCCGTATTTTTTAAATTTTGTAGTTTCAGGTTTTTAAATATCTCAATAATCTAAATAGGTAACTTATTTTAATATTTCTGGATTTAAGTTTTCTGTTAAAAATATGAAGTATGCCTTAAAAAATAAAACTACCAGGCAGTAGTAAATAACCTTTTTTTCATCTTTTTTAGTCATGAGGTAAAGTAAAGTAGTAGGAGTTTCAAAATGTAAACTCTCACCACATCACAACGTACTTTATTTGTAGTATGTATTTATGATGGAAACAAAACAATAATGACATAAATATTATAATAAGAATAACGAAGTATTAATTTGTCTTGTAAAAGATGATCGTCGGTGTTGACGCAACCAAAATGTAAGTAATGAAGTAGCCGACTTTGACTATTACAAGTTTATGTAATTATTTATGAATCAGTATACCACCACGTTTGTTCGAATAAATGATTAAAACACAAAACATTTGTTTCTTAGTTGTATTTCGAATAGAACAACAATTGCACTTAACCTCATTTAAAGCTCACAAGGAGCGCGGCGCACGGGCACGCGCTAACCGACACAACGACGACGTGCTGCAAGAGTCAACGATACATCATAAAATTATATCACTACATAACAAATTACAACAATATTTACGTTGGCACCGATTTATAAAGTAATATAAAAACATTTGTGTTCGCACACAATATAAAAATATTTGCTTAAATTACTTACGTAAATACACTTAGACACTTCTAAATTAAATCTCGACAAGTTTAATAAATTCTTTTTACCTACGAACTAGATTGGTATTCACGTGTGATCGGAGAGGACGGGCGGGCACGAGTAGGTAGACATGAATACTCTCATGCGCTTATTATAAGCTCTTTTTCTCTATCTTTGGTAAAACTTCCCATGGAAATGTATAAAATATCATCATAAAATAGAAGATTACCATTAGCAAGGCACTGTTTTCAGGGTACACATTTTCTTCTAATTTATATCAGAACTTTGTCACATTACCTTCCACTAACCAGAGGGCAGATAAATTGTCACAAATTGTATGTAGTTAGCTACCATTTAGTTGGTGCTCGGTCGTTAATTTAAGTAAACAATTCTTGTCGCGAACGTAGATTTTAGTAGCCTGATCTATGCAATGCCAAAGATTTACATGTAAAAGTGGCCATACAAATTGTAAGTGAACACCAACAATTCTAATAAAATGATCACCTTATTATATACACAATATCAACAAATAACAAATTTTCTAAGCTTATAACTCCTTCAAAACGATACGATGGGCAATTTTGATTTAATTCATGGAAATTACAAGCATCATGCAATATTTTTTCAAATACAACTGTAATACGTTACAAAGTTCTTTTAACAAACCAAACATTTTTGTGAGGTAAACAGCATTTCGAGTACACGTAGACAATAATCAAGTATACTATAAGAATATGTCCTGCGATATTTGATTGAAAATAAATAAAATATATAAAAGGACCAACACCACGGTGGTTTAACAATTTTGTAATATAGGTACTAAGTGCCATTTCGTGGGTCAAATTGTGCATCGACACGTCTTCCGCCTAGCTAGGGTTCACATTAGGTATTTTTATTTACACATGGTCTCAGACGTACATGAGACAAAATGCCTGTAACCACATCACTATAAAAAATAATTGGCCGCGATTTGCAAATATGGAACTTTTCGTACAGCATAAGACACCAATAACGTGTTGACATATGTCGCACCTTTAATAATAAACTGAATTAATTCAAAATTTACGTTTTTCGAGTTTTCAACAAATACCAAATCAACTTCATCAGTAGAACACGAACAATCCAACCGCCGACTCGATACCATGAAAATGGCAGAGATAAGAGATCGTCGTTCTCTTTTTGACGAACTCGCACGTACATGAATGTCAAACTTTAAATGCGATTTCCCACAATATTGAAATTCTAAGTTAATTCAGTTTATGAATAAAGGTGCGATGTTTGTGATATCAGATATTGGTATGTAAATAACTATAGCACATATTTAAAGGAACCTCATTCGCAAAGGATATGTTTCTAAGTGATAAATCATCTGAATAACTTATTAAAAGATAGAGATACATACTTACAATTCTGCATATTTATAACATGAAGCTTCTTTATAAGGTGGTCTTGAATTTTAAAGCTCAAGAAAAGGCTCCACGGATGCATATGCATTTAAACTATACGCTAGTAACAGTTTACGCGCAGATTTTTAGATAAGAAAATTATGAAGAACGTATCGGTATTAATTAGGACCGCATGTGTTGCTTGCAAGATTAAATTCAGCGTTCCTACACATAAATAATGCGTAAAAACTATTTTTGGTAACTTGCGTGTAGTTCTAAGGCAGATCTCGACTATAAATGTGTTCCCTCAAAATAAGATTAAAATTCAAAATCAAAATAATCAAAAGTCCAAAGTTAGGTTTTTTGAAGTGCTACTTTTGTTACTTTTTGTTACTTGAAAAGCCTTTGAGAAATTCTCTAGCGAATGTGGATTGTTCTCGTATGTGAACCAAATATATGTTAGTGATCTCCTTGTTTGTACTAATTAGACTTTTATCATACAACATAACCTGTCGGCCGCAAAGTGGGTACGGTGTGACGTGTCGATGCAAGTGCGGCAACTACGTGGGCTCGGTTTTGACGCCGGCGGAGGCGGCGACCGCGGCGCGAGCCTCTTCAGGCAGTCGCTCCGGACTCGTCAGGATGTCCGTCGTCGTACACAACACCCGCAGAGAATTCAGCACCGCTGCAAAAACATACAAAACTGTCAACTTTTCTTGGTCGAACAAAAGATAAACGGTTCTAGGGATTACAAGGTTTGGCATTTTCAACTGCTAATTGAGCGCAGACGCTGTAAATTATAATAAGTGGCAACTATAATTTGGTCCCTATCGGGTCTCCAAAAAAAAAGGAGGGGGAGGGCGGGGGGACCTACTCCCGGTAATCAGCAACAATGAAATTAAATATAGATTACAATCCACTTTGAACGTTTGTAATGTATTTTGACGAATTCATTTCTGTATTAAGTTTTTTTCTGGCTGTGGTGTCCTTAATTATATTTAATACTTTTACCGTATATTAGGTCCTTACATATGAAATTGGCGATTTGTACGGGTGGAATATAAAGTCAATTTTTCAATTTTTTTGTAAAATATTTTTTTTTAATCAAAGTATGCACCGTTGTTATCTATGCACTTTTGCTATCGCATAGGTAGTTCAATGATCCCTTTACTAAAATAAACCTTGGGGGCGAGAATCAATAAACTCTTTGAAGGCGGTCTGGACTGCCGTATCGGACTTGAATTTTTTTCCTTGTAAGAAGTTGTCCAAAATCCGTAAAAAATGGTATTCTGTTGGAGCAAGATCCGGGAAGTACGGCAGACATTCCAATTGTAGCTCATCTAACTTAGTGGTTGTTTGTTGTGCAGTGTGTGGTTTTGCGTTGTCGTGAAGCGGCAGTGGCCTAGAGCGATTGACCAATCTCGGTTGTTTAGCACCTAGTTCTTCCTTCATGGTTTGCAGTTGCTGATAATAGATATCTGCTGTAATCGTTTGGCCAGATTTTAGAAAGCTGTAGTGAACGACACCGGCACTAGTCCACCAAACACTTACAAGTAACTTTTTCTGAGTCAATTTTCGTTTAGGGCAGGATTTGGTCTGATTTGATCTGATTTTGGTTGGGTCTCTAGGGTTGAGCCATTGCGACGAGGGCTTCTGATTATCGTACGGTATCTACTTTTCATCACAAGTAATGATTCGATTTAAAATCCCTTCATTATTGTCTCGGTTGAGCAAAGTAACACAGCAGTCGACACGTGTTTGCAAGTTCGATTCACTCAATTCATGAGGTACCCATCGTTCAAGTTTTTTTTACTTTCCCAATTTGCTTCAAGTGGATTAATACCGTTTTATCACTTACCCCGAAGCCTGCAGCTATCTCTGAAGTGCTTTGTGATGGATCCGCTTCCACAATAGCCTTTAATTCTTCATTTTCCACTTTGGTTTCCGGCCGTCCACGGGGTTGGTGTTGAAGGTCGAAATTTCCGGAACGAAAACGTTGAAACCAAACACGTACCGTGTTTTCTTTTGCGACACCAGCGGCGTACACATCATTAATCCTTCGAGCTGTTTCTGCAGCATTTGTACCACGGTAGAACTCGTTCTCGTATATATATAACATATTTCATGTTTTCCATTGTGCGGTAATAAGCGACATCAAAGCAAAAAATTATGAGGAATAACAAATGAATGACTGTTTTCAAAACTCAAATGTAGGTAGGTACCAGCTAAATGAATTTATAAATTTGAATTTGGAATTCTTAACCAAAGAGGAGATATTTCAGATCAAAGAGGAGATATTTCAGATCAAAGTGGTCAGTACGACATAACGCTAATTTCATATGTAAGGACCTAATATTTTACGTTTAAATTTAACAATTTAAACGTAAAATATTAGTTAATATATAATATTATATTAGTTATATATAATATTAGTTATAAATTTTATCCGAATTTTATGCTTCTAAATTTGATAACTCAAATTTAGAAGCATAAAATTCGGATAAAATTTAATTTTTGCCTGAAATTTCTCAAAATAAGGATGGCAAGAGTTCTTCTTTTACAAAATCTGATTATTACTAAGCACATCACGAATTAACTTCTAACAAACTGTCAAAACGAAAACAAATAACCGGGCAGATAATAAAAAAAGCGTAATTTGAATTTATTTGGGAAGTTTCAGTTAGGAGGTTTTAAGATCTTCTCTAAACCTTTTAACTATTAGAGCGAACTTTTACCTTTTTTGTTAATTTCACATACACATAAAAGTGGCATCGGCATCAAGAATATAGTGTATAGTTACCGGGGCGCATCTCGACGAGCGAGCAGTGCTGCTCGGCCCACAGCAGCGTGGTGCGCACCAGGTCGGCGGCGCTGCTGCACGACACGCACGCGCTGAACGACTCCACCAGCGCCGCGCTCACCACGCTGAACTGCGCCACGAGTCAAGGACCACACACACCTAACATACGTGCACGACTTATTCTAACATCGCAGGTGTACTATCGACTATTGTTCGCTTACCCATAATCCAATCATTACTTTACATATTAATCGTCGAAGCTATTTTTTTATCGGTAACACTAAAGCTCGTTGATAACTAGTAAAGAAAACGAAAATCAATTGACAAATCTAGGAGAAAGTGGTACTGACCCCGTTGTAATGTACAACTTAACCGACTTTTGAAAGGAGAAGGTTCTAATCATTTTTTTGTGTATAAATTAGTGATTGCCTGGTATCAAATTATCTATATCCGCAAATATCCAGAAAAATAGATCTGTATATGTATTTGTATACGTTACTTTTTAGCTTATCTTAACCGAAACTTTTACATTATGATATTTATCAATTTTATCTATAATGGGTACTAAATAAGATTAGATAATTTTGTTAACACATATCGACATTTACGAAATTAAATACGAGCTACTAGACACGACTTATCATTAATGAGTCTGAGAGAGATATTTATTTGTTTGTACTTATTCCTCAATTGTCTGAAAATGGACGTTTAATTCACGCTAAAGCTTAACCTGAACTTGTTTTATTCTGTAAGAATATTTTCTGTAAGTTAATTGTTTAAGCAGCAAATTAAAATTTTATGTGTTTACATTTTATGTTTCTTCTTTTCCATATTTTAAACTTTATTTCACTTGAAACACGACGGAATGTTTGTAATTATTCAAATTGAACGGAAATTTCATTTTGCTCATTATAAATAATATAATAAAGTTGACACAAAATTAATACTTATTAGCTTATTTTGGATAAGAATAATTACGTAAGAAATTTGCCAAAAAAACTGTAGATAGAAAATGTAACTGCCTGTTTAAATTAAACTCCTACAAAAGGATATCATAATTCAGTGCCTAGCAGTAGAAAATATTAATAACTTATAGATTTGTATCTTTCAATTGCTGATAAAGTGTTGTAATAACCTTATCTTCCACACACCGATACGAGGGTCCAAGCTTTATTATAAAAAAGCAATCATAAAAATGTTATCAATCTAGGCCTTATCCAGGGTCATTCCGAGCTAATTCTATGATACGTACGTGGTATGGTACGTCTACGTTATCAGGACATACGCTATTTATTCACATGTCTGCGGCAAGATAATTTGTAGGTTAATCAGGAACTATGAGCCAACAAATTTGACACGAAAATACGTAGTGTTTGTGGGCGTGGTTAGTGAGACCACGTTTACTTGCCAATCATAAATCGATCGGATATCATTGAATTAATATCAATTAATTTTTGACGCTTTCACTTTAGATAACATATAGTACTAATATATTTCGAAAGGATACGAGCCAATACTTCCAATTGTGAAGTGTGCGATTGGCCACGTGCCTGGCGAACATCTCTCGCAGGCGCCCCGACCGAGCGCGGGAAACGGGCGCGCCCGTCGCGGGCAATAGCGAGTGACAATTACTGCAACAATTCATACGAAACAGTTATTAGTTACTAATGAATCCTGCGTTCAACAATCGATATTTTATAATATATTCATCAGAACGACTATAACATCTCCTTATCTTCAATTCTATTGTATATAATTAAGGGGCAAAAGTTTTAAAAATTACGTACGTGATAGAATTATTTAAACATTCTATTTGCTGTCGCAGACTCTCCATCTCTTCTTTGATTTGATTTCTCTCCGCTTTGAGTTGTTTTATATATTCAGCTCCTTTTTGCAACATTGCTGCCTTACTTATCTAAAAAAATATGTTTTATGAAATGTATTTTTTATTCACATATTTAAGTATAATTTTATTCAATTTGTGAAAATATTACAAGAAAATGGGTGCAATTTCGGTGCAGGAAAGAATCCGGAGACTACAGTGTAACATAACTTCAGAATAACCACGATCTTTTGAAAATTTTTGCAATCGAAAATCTAGACGAATTCAGCATTTTAAAAAATCGCTACCTACATATAAGTGATAGACGCACGTACCTTAGCGGCTGGGTTGGTGTTGAGGTGGGGTATAAGAGCTTGGAGTGTGTCGAAGCCATTTTTTATGTTATATCGGCGTTTCTGCTCGGCATGCAAGTGTGTGCGGCGCGACTCACGCGGACTCCCCGCGCGAGGAGAACCTCCGCCGGGCGATGTCGGCGGGGAAAGAGACTGGTGGGGAGACATCACATCACTCCCGATCGGCGAAGGCTGCGCCCTCCTAATAGGGGACCTAGTGGGATCCGTCGTGCTACTGCCCTCCTCACTATTCAGCTTATACAGGCTTTGAGCTGCAATTGTAAGACGTCACTCTCTTATACGAGTCGTAAATAAGACACCATTCATAAATCAACTCGCCATTAAATGCCATAGGATCTTAATTCCGTTATTATAGTATTCCATGAATTAAATGAAATAATAAATTGACTAGAAATTTCAGAATTTAGATTTATGTTAAACGATATCTTGTGCTTGCAACACATGCATGCATGCATGCAACAGAGGCTTCATTACTTGAATAGGTAGAGAAAAAAAAAAGGGAACGAAACAGCTCAGTCAGCACGTCTTGACGCTAGCAAGTGCCGATTTTACTATGGATTAACCTTTTCAGACATCTATACAAAGACCATTAGATTTATTCATCGTGGCTTACTCCCGCATATTGTATCGTACTTTCGAAGGTCGGTTTAGTAAAATAATGTAGAGGTAAGACTGACAGTGTTGTGCAGAGAGAAGTTGAGCAAGCATGACACTAGCTTGAGGCAGTGTCGGTTCGGAAGCGACGCTGTTGAGCGGCGGAGGGCGGCGGGAGGAGCCCGAGGCGCCGGCGGGGCCGCCCGAGGCGCCACTCGCGGAGCCAGGGGCCGCGCTCTCCGCGACCACGCCGCTCGACGAAGATCGCGACCGAATCCGAATGGCGCTCGGGTTCGGCTCGCGAGCCTGCAAATATTCAACCTTTGTACGTTACACGTACACCTACTTACCGTTGGGTATAGATCGAGCGTTTGCCGAGATTTCATTGCACGAGGATACGAGTGAATTATATCACCCTTCACTTCCACAGACATCTGTTGGTCAATATAAAGTAAACTCTGTAGTAATTCCCTTGGATGACTTTACATATTTCCACAACAGCAATTTCTATTACTATAAGCTCGGTATGTATCTATCGTTTCTCTTTTCATTGGAATTGGTATTTTTGTTGACTGTGAAAGTGTTGGATGACACTCAGCCGCAAACATTCCTCAAACTCAGCGTCACACTGATACTCATTTTGACCTTGAAAGGAACCTAACCAAAACCCGAAAAAAAAACAATGTAACGTGTACAAGCTCATACCCTCGCAATATGTTTAGCTGGCGCGACATCGTGTGTAGAGGGTGCAGGCGGCGCAGGGACGCTCACAGTCCAGTCAAGATTGAGCTGAGCACCCAACGGCAGGCTGTGCGATCTAAACTGTTCCTTACTGGAACGCGACCCACTGCCTGTATTCGCACCCGCTGCGTTGGACATCTGGAATGACAAATCTTATTAACAACTTTTCGGTTGGCATCGCAATTAACAAACACTATGTCGCCGGCATGTTTGTCTCCTGGAACGTTTTTAAAATACAGCAGAACAAATAACACTAAAGTTAAGCAGCTATAGCTTCTAACAGCTTCTGACCCACCATACGAGTTATTACTTCTACTATCGATTACTTCAACAGTATTTCAACATTTAAAACAACACTCTTACCTGTGGCGACGTTACGGGCACTAGCGGTGGTGAAGGCATTTTAAAAGACCGAGGGCTGACCGTTGCCTGCACGTTCTTCGTTTTATACGAATCAGTCTGGTTCAACTGCAAATACTGCAGTTGCTGTGCACTTTGCCGCACGCTCACTGATCTTGACTCGTACCCTTGAGGAGACACCGGCGACCCTGATTGACTCATCGCTTGATAACCCTGATACTGGTTGTTCTGTTGAACCTGAGGACTAGAGTATTGCGAGGGCCTTTGACGAACTTTCTCGCGTCCAAAACCACCCCGTCCTTGGATTACTACGGTGGATGCATATTTAGAGTTTTGTATAGGTTGTTGTAATAGTGACACCGTTTCTGGAGCAGTTTGAGATGGCGGCACTGTGGAAATATATAATCATGGATATTTTGGGACAAGACAAGAAAATTGGGTATAGTTAGGTATAACACATCTACCAAAGCATTATCTTGTTTAAAAGTCATCATTCCAACAGTCATAGGTACTCCCAGAAAAAAAACCTCTATGGATCTTCCTTATCTGGGTTTGGGAGCTAAAGTATTAACTCAGTAGTTGGATACATTACAGACTAGACGGACTTAATTCATCGATGTTCTAAAATACTTCTAAGTCTAAGGAAAAAAATGATAAGCTTCTAACTTCTTGTTCCCTCCTCTCCTCCGTTTTGATCAAATTTAAACGTTTTTACTAAGATTAGACTATAAACCGTACCGATATAAAATCCGTGTGGTGATGGATTAAGAATACGGAGTGTCACCACCCCTATTTATCCCGTGGGTGTCGTAAGAGTCGACTAAAGGAGCAAACTACGCAGGACAACATCACTGAAAAGAGAAGGAAAACTTGAAACAAACCCTACACCAACCCGTCTGGCCAGCGTGATGTAGTAGGCCAAAACCGCCTTTCCAAGGAGAGGCCTATTTTCAGCAGTGGACTGTTATAGGCTGTTGATGTTGCTGAGACTATAAATATTAGAAAAAAAACATACTAAATACTAACCTGTGCTGTATTTATTGTATGACGAAGTTTCAGATTGTGGTAAAAGTTTAGGAGTATTAACATATTGCAACCTTGGGGACTTCCCGACAAAAGAATGCATTTGCTGGTCGGACTGTGACGTATTCTGTTCATAGGATACAGGTTGATAGTGAGGCAGCATTTCTTGCGAGTTCATCATGTTATTTTGTAGATCCGTTTGTGAGAATAACCTTCTGTTGTCGTACATTCCCATTTGCTGCTCATTTTTTATACTTTGTTCCATGGACATCATTTGAGTATTCTGGTTTTGACCTGTATAATAACACAAGGTTTATAAAGCCTAGGTGTGTTTTAATACAACATTTATGTAGGTAGTAAGCTTCATGTTATTAACGTGTACCATGCAAAGACATCTGACTGGTCGGCATAGTGACAGCAGTGTTGCTCTGGCTACCGGTCATAAATCCTTGAGAATAGGAGTCCACTGACATTCCACCTCTGTACAAAGATTCTTCAGGCGTCTCCTCTGGAACGGGCGGTAACCTTAAGTCTGAAACACATTCAATCAATTAACATCTCATTCTAGATAACTATCAACTTTCAACGCTGTCACCTTTAGTATGCAGTTCAACGGTACATAAAAGTACTCATAGCACAGTTTTTTTTTATAGTTACCATTATAAGAAACCATTTTAATACACAGGCGATTATATTTCTTTTGGGTTCGTAATAGCTACTATATTATCTAGTACCGTTTATTAACTTACCTTGAAAAGGCTCTAATGTGTCCATAAAATCCTCTAAGTTAGGTTGTAACGGCCCTAAGCTTGGTTGAATGAAGTCTGCTAAGCCCGCTCCCCTAGCTGCAAGCGTACACATAGATAAGATCGTTTACAGGTATAGAACGTCTGATTTTATTAGAAACTAGCTGAGACAAGCGGTGTTACCCGCGTTTGTTGTTATAACCGCGGGCAACGCCGCGGGGCGAAGCTAGTCTAAAAAAAGTAGCCTATGTTACTCCTTATGTCATCAGCTATCTGCCAGTGAAAGTCCCGTCGAAATCGGTCCAGCCGTTCGCCGGTCAGCCAGAGATTACGCGGAACAAACAGACAGGCAGACAGACAGACAGACAAAAATTGTAAAAATGTTATTTTGGCATATGTACCGTGTAAACATACATATGCATTTAGTAAAAAACGGTTATTTTAATATTACAAACAGACACTCCAGTTTTATTTATTTGTATAGATTGTAAGCTGATTTCGGCTTTATACAAACAAGTTAAAAAGCACTTGTTGTCAAGACTATTCCATCCTATCTCAGGTAAATGAAATCAATGTTTTTTGTTGACAATGTTTTACAAAAATGAATTTATGAAACGGAGCATTCATCTCGAAAACCAAGTTTTCTTTCAAAAAGAGAATTTTATCTATTTCTCCACTGGAAAAAAAAATGCAATATATAATCATGATAATATAGGTACTGATACTTCTGAAATAAAAATGCTAATATTATTTTAAGAATCTAAAAATTTAAAGGTGACTGAAGTAATTAGCTTTAAGAAACTTACACATAAAACATCTTACCTATTTCTCTACAATCTGGGAAAGCAAATGGTTGGTGGTTGGTGATGGTTGAAAAAAGTGTGTCAGTCATGAAGTTCAAATAGTCCTCGTCCGTGAGCATATTTGCCGCAAAGTCGCTGCACTGAGAGAACGATTCCACCGTGTCCATGTCCGATATCTAGACAACCACATAATAATAACATCATCCATATCATTCTTATACGAAAGAACTGGCCGATTATTAGTAACTACCGAGTTGTATTAAAACTAAATTAAAATACCTTGTGTGATTATTTTGTGTAATTCTTTTTTATTTTATTTTTTTCCTGTATAACTATAGGTATTTGATTCAGTCGATGTAGACATGATTAAAAAAACATTAAATTGAAAAAATGTATGAAATTTCATTTTTTAAATTTTTGTACTTAACTGTATATAAATATTTTATCGGGACGATAAAAGTAGAAGTCTTGGGCCTGTAGGCAGTCGGGACGAAAATACCAATCCTAAAGGCGCTATAAGGCGTTTCGCCCCAACAACTAAAATAATAATTCTCCATTATTTTTGTAAATAAATTTAATCTCACCGTATCCTGAACCGAGGTATCCCCCTTTCCGAGGAGTCTCATTATATGAAATTTGCGCCATTTTTTATATTCAGCTATAACTGCCTCTGCCCGCCGTTTCCAATATTTGCCTTCCAATATTGTTGCCTAGAACGTTATAAATCATGTTAATATTAAGCTTGTGTATTAACTGAGTACGTGCATGCATTGGGATTATGATTGATTGGCCGGCTTTATAAAGCGAGGTATTTATCTACACAAATAATCAGTTGAGAATATTTCTTTTAATACTACATGATTTATCATTGTAGTTTTAAAACTATAGCGAGGTTAATTAAATATTAATCGGTACATAATCACGTTCAATAATTTTTAAGATATGTTTCCACAGCTGAGACGAAATATTAATAGAATTTTAAAAAGAATCGTGCTTTTTAATAACCACAAGTTAAGGCTTCGATTTATATGTAAATCGTCCTGTGTTTATATCAAACTCACAACAATCGCTACAGGACACAGTTGGCAAAGTATCTCTCCAACCAAATTGTATTCCAATTCATGCAATTAAATTGTATATGCAATAGACAATACAACTAATAGCAACATAGTATAACAAGATAAACAATCTAAATACACATTACCTCTGGTTTTACGTGTGTATCTACATCTAACGGCGATGCAAACTGACATACCAATGTATTTTGCTTTTTAATAACTGTAAAAAGAAAAAGAAAATTGATAGAAAAGTAATGGACAATGGCTTGTCTGTCATCATATCATTCATTGAGGGTTTCGTATTATCTTGAAGGTATGTACATGGTGCATCTATCTTGGGAGTCGATTGGCTAAAGATTTTTAAACGTTGCCAAAATCTTCCGAAAATCGACTATTGACATACTTAACTCTTCGTTCTTAAAATCTTCTGCCACACATAAATATACGTAGGTCAATAAATCGAGGAAAAAGATATACATATACTCGTAGATATATATATTTCGCAACAAATTTGGAAAATATTGCATTGATAAAAAATAGATTTCTTTAAGGATTCTTTGTTCGACATTAAAGGTTTAAAAACAATGACTCGCAACTAGCCATAAAATATCTGGGCCCAATTAAAATTGGCATTTTACGATCTTATATTTATTTATCAGTTACCATCACTCGTTGTGGACACGTCCATTGAATTATTCCGCTTTTGATGATTTGTTTAACAAGAATCAAGCGATATTATTGTGCAAACGAACTATAAATGATACAAGATGTGCAGATACAATTTATGCATGAGGACGAGAGAAGTCACAGGAAAAAAAGTGAAAGTGTGAAATGTTTACGCAGATTTCTGCAAAAAGAAATTAGCGATTTTCAGCTACCGGATCACCGTCAAGATCGTTAATTGATGGGACAGTTATTTAAAATTTGAAAAAAATATTAGATGTCGGCGTTGAGCTATTAGTAAAAATTATGAGGCCCTTTTTTTTCAAACTACAAGAAACATTCTGGAATCTGGTCTGAAAAGCTGTTAAGCCAGTAAGAAGCAATTACACTCTGAGAAACTGCGTGGCGGCTTTATTTGCTATACTTTTTGACCATACTAACTGGGATCCTATCAAAATATAGCACGATAATGCGTAATGTCACATATCTACCCGCACTCCGAATTCTGAACTTCTGTAATTCATAGAAAATTTATGGGACTTAATAAGCGTACCTGAGTACACTTATTAACTTCCTGAGAGTCACACAACGAATATTAAGAAGAGCAGAAACGCTGACTGCCGCGAGACTTTTAAAATCTTATAATCTTTATACCAAAAAGAATTTCTGCCATAAGCAATGGAAAGATCGACCCTACAAAATATGTATTTTGTCTATCAATAAATAGTATTAAAACTATTTATTGGTAACATGTTATTTCATTTCGATTCAATAGTTCTTAAAAAACTGAAAAATGTTCTTCTGAAAGCCCGCTCGAAGTTACTTTACTCTTAAAATAAATTCGATTCGCCTATAACAATAGTTTGCCATACAATAACTGCCTCCTGACTAGAGATATATTTTTCTCTAATAATGAATATCGTGGTTTTATTAATCTACTACAAACAATATTATTATGATAAAATGGCTGGCCAAAGTACATTGATATCAAGTTATGTGTCTGACATAGTTCCATCATATAACATACATTATTAAGTTGCCAAAACCCCTTTTTCTTACCTCAATATGTACGGAAATTGGCTGACTCGAATACTTTCGTAAAGTCATCAAATTGTTGTTTATTCAAGTTCAAAACAACCAGAAATAACTAGATACAGCACATGGCTGCAAGAAAACTAAAATCAAGTTTGTTTACATTTAATAGTGATAATTTTAAGGTCACGATTATTTCTCGTGTAATCAAACCAACCTAGGTGAACTGTAGCTATTTTAAATAACATATTACAGGTGTTTTGTGATCGAATATAAAATTTGCCATTTGAAAAATTCTGGTACAGATCAATATATTGTTATCAGTACTTTTATATAGGTATACAAACATGAACAACTAATCACGCGAGCGATAAATGATTTGTGAAGATACAAGATCAGAAAAAAGCCGACGCTGAAGCTACGTTACTAACGTTACTACTAATAATTGAATCACTTGACGACAGATACTGTTTACAAAGAAATCACACTACCTATCTCTTATTTCAATATACTAGTAATACTATGCTACTCTCCTCTTCCGAACCTCAACGGAAATCTTGGCCCGTACTCACTAACTTCCATTATTGTTTATTATTAAATATTTTATATTAAAGTTATTTGTATTTGTATTGTTGTTATGTCTGTCTTGTGCAATATATTTACAGAAAGTTTAAATAAATGAAATAAAACACTCGATTTTGCGATGGGTGACGATACTTTCGATATAGAGCGATTTACACTCTGGCAGGTAATATTATTAAAACACTAAAAAATAAAATAATAACATTAAACTTACATTGCATGTGCCAGCATCGCCATATAACGTTGTTCAGCCTAATCTTGTCCTTCCACCGGAGTTTTATACCTTTGAAACGATTCCATTTTGGTGAAGTTAATTTTTGTCTGAGAAAGAACAACACAACATTTATAAGGAAAATGAAAACTCACCATGCTCTTCCTGCGTTTACTTCTAACTTAGTCAGATGCTAATATGAGCTTCTAAAACTGAGATAAATACATTAACTATAAAAGTCCTTGAAGTTATGAGAAACATTTTTGTTTTAAAACAATTTAAACGGGCCATTATTAAAAATATATGAAAAATATATAATATATTGGTCAAATGTACAGTTGCTCAATAAAACTGTACGGCTAAGAAAATAAATTGTCAGACAATCAAGTGCTACACTGGTTATCAGCAGCACTATCAATATGTGATCATAGGCTTACTGCAAATAACAGTTTGATAAGAAAGAAACACAGCCTATCTTATCTGTATGATACTGTGCTGTAAATATAAGTCAGAAAGTAAATTAAATACATTATTATGCTTTAAGAAAATTAAATTATTACTGTGATCACTGGTAAATATGGAGTTATGCTGAGCCACTTTGAATAGCTATATATTTTTCGTTCTGAACGCGAGAAAAAAGACATCGTCACATTTCCGTTTCATACTACTATTGCCATGAAATAACCTTTCAAAAAACGAGTAAAATAGATTCTAAAATATTATCGACAAAACTGTTATTATTTATATACATTTATTTATATCTTATTTCAGTGTAACTAATCGGAACTACATTTAAACCCTTCTGTCGCTATCTTCAAATATTGTTATATGACTAAAAATACGCACCGCACTTATACGTAAAGTGGGCGTAAAGATGACGTAAACATAGGAGTCTGAACACTAATTTTTATTGAGTAATCTGTTTGGGAAATATTGAAAACTTGAACCTATTGAAAATTGCCCTTCCCTAATCCGCAAGATAAAGTATCTACAAAAAAATATGATGTTAGTATACATTACGGATGTAGAAGGAATAGTAACACGGTTAAGAGCTCTGTTATTGGCAATCTTAATTCTTAGGATATATTACTCATACCATATTTTTTATTGTTTTAAACAGGTAGTAATAATCTGTTGAACCCTAGAATGCGTTTTAGTTATTTTTCGTTAAATATTAAAAATAACCTAGTTTTTTATTTAAAGGTTTATATATAATACACAATGATTGATTGATTTATACAATGTACGGGTTTGATCATAGATTGAATTGTTATATTCCTTAAAGTATTATCTTAATAATTAGATTGTAATAAATGATTAAGACAATAGTAATTAATTAATGATAATTAAAAACAATGTATGGTTTTGACTGATAGGTAATTGGAAAAAAGATTAAAAAATGCTTATTATTTTTACTAGAATAATTATATCAACTGTCTTCAACCTAAAACCTAGCGTGAACAAAAAATTTATATCACAACCCGAATATTTAATTCCTTTTGACTAAAATTCTTGCATTTACTAACCCATTTCACTTTACCCACGATTTATTAATGAAGCCTACAACTAAACAATACTGTACAGTACTAAATTATGACTATACATTATTTTCTATAACATGCATGTAAAATTTTAATCTACGAAAGCATTTTGGCCTGAAGGAATGTTAAACATTTTCATTGGACTAAATATCGTGTGACATTTTATAATCCAATACAATACATTTTCTGGTTTTGCCTTATTTGAAGAAAATGCTGATAAGACAATTTCCACACAGCACAGTGTATCATAAAATACCTGAAACAAGAACTAACCATTACCTCTGAAAATGAATTTAACGCTAAGCATACGATGGAGAGATGGGCTAATATCATAATTAGATCTTACAACAATTAATTTTTGATTACGTAACTGCGGCAATGAGATTTTAAGATTGAGATTTATAAAAATCCGTGCTTTAGAACGGTCCCAGCTTTAGGAGGCCCTAATGGCCGAATAGGAAGAACGACCTCTAAGAAATTAATAGGTAAACAGTTGCACGGGAATAGGGCACGAAATTGTGGTGATATAACCCGTCGCGGGTTGCAAAAGCGACTATAGAGCTTGCACGGCAGATTTTGCTGTCGTTACGCATCCAGATCAGTAACAGCTGACTTGACTATATGTTAGTGATAAAATAGAGAGAAAGGTATGATGAAGATCGATTGTATTTTTATTGGTGCTGACTGAAGTCTTCAACACTACGGAAGAGTTGTAGGAACTGTTACGGTAAATCTGGCCCTAAACCGATGGCCATTTACCATCAAAGCCCCCTTTGTAGAGTATCAATTTTTAAAAATTTTGACCTTTTAAGTCTAAATGCGGCAATTAGATCACCGTCTAACACCAATTCCAATTTATTCTATTTGTATGAAAAAAAAGCATATCAAATAGACACAACTTGAACTTTAGTGGAGATAGTAAAGTACAGGTGAAGGATTTCAGCATTGACGAAAATACTTTACAGTATTGCGTAAGAATATGACAGATGTGCTATTGATGTCATTTTTAATAGTTAAGCTAAAGATATTTTACAAAACTTAATTCTTTCAGTCATAGGTGGTTAGGGTCGCTAACCACCACTTGTGTACTTCTTTTTATTAAATGCCGTGTCTTTAACTAACATTTTTTGAATATTTTTTTTACATAGTTTTATAGTTTTTTAGCTAGAGTATTCCTATACATATTTTATACAATTTCGCTCACAAACTTTTTCAAATTTATGTAACACTGCAAAATTACATAGAAAATATTGCAGTTAGTAAACATACTACAACTATTATGATTAACATGTGGCTGTGTAAGTATCATAGTGTAGTTTTGCATTTGTAACTGTTTACCGTGGTATAAAAATTGCTTGAAAAATTGCAAGAAAAATTCGGGCAAAGTGATAAGAAAGAAGGGCCAACATATTAAATAGATTTAGACGATTTTATTGGTTAAGGTAAAGTATTCGATTGACTGATTCGACTGCCAACTTCAAAATTGAATCATTCAATTTAGGAGATAGGTACCTTTGTGCAGCTTATTTGCTGCATACCTCGGAATTAAAATATTACAGAGTCCATCACTTTAAGACCATAGAAACAAACTACAAAACTCCCATAATGGAAAGTCAACTTTGGGATCTAAATTGGCCGTGTGTCAGATGTGTGAAATTATTATTATTATTATTCTTAATCAGTTTTGTGTTTTTACGCTTTAATTAGTTGTTGTTGTTTGTTTTTACGTTTTAATTCTTCATGTCCATTAGGAGACCGCATGTGCATTCGGTCACATAATCGACATGAAGAATTTTACACCACTTTTACGATGCCCCATGTTCTAGACAAAGCATTTACACGATATAACATAATTTTGACTCTTTCACATTTAAATCTTTCACACCTAAAATGACAGAAGATTATGTTTTCTTTTTAATAATATATGCATATGAATAAATCCATTTCTGAAACTTATTTCTTATTTGCAGGACAGTTATGTTTCAATATTCATGAGCGCCGAGAGGTTTTGAACTAACTACGTCAATGACAATGGTGTAAGACCGGATAAAAAATTTCCAGTTTTTGACTTAATCCGTAAATGATAAATTTGAATTATGTTAATAAACTTGATAAAATAAAAATAATAATAGTTAATAGTCAGGCTATTAACAAAAAGCCGTGATTGCGCTATTGTCCATGCTTTTTAAATCTATAAAGAGCTGCAATAGAAATAATAGAGTCCCTAGAAGTCATCATTTTATTATAGTTTCATTTCCATCAATAGACAGTGGAGGTGGTTAGTTACCGTAACAACCTCTTTCCTTAAAAGCCGTAAATGCATTTTTTATTTAAGTTTTTATTATTTAATACTCAAATCATAAGTAATGCTAACATGAATAAAAAGTTTCAAATTTTTTATTTGTGAAAGTGTGACTGAAAGAGTTAAAAATTGCGATATTAACATATATACTTCCTTTCATAATCGTCTTTACAATTGTATTTATCTAAAATAAATATGCACCGTTTACTACAGATTAACAACTCAATGAGGATCTCTTAAATCCAGTTATTATACCTACTTAGTACCAGACATGTTTAAAATGGGTCTGGAACTAGTTACGCAAATGATTATTTTAAATTTTCTCAAACAGATAGATTTCAAATACAGATTACAGATCTTATAAGCGTAAAGCTCTTCTTATTTTAATTACTAATTTCATAATGCCAACTTAATCAAGATAATTATTAAGATTAGAAAACATCTTGTGCTACACGCACGGGCAAAATCGCCAGTGTATAAAGGGTATTTATTACCGATTTACGGCGCTCTGGGTGCATCATATTATCACGCTGAACGGACGCTCTCCTCTTACTGTTAGCGCTATATTTAACGCGACATCAATTGATACGGAATATTAGACTTAAAGTTTGCAGTTCTAAACGTGATTTTAATCATTGTTTTTTTTTTAAAGGAAAACTAACCTCGATGTGAATTATTTTTTCATTCCTAAGAGTATATTTTTATAAGAAAACCCGTTATGTTCACAAATAAAAGTTGTTTAGGAAACCTTAAAGTATTTAGCACCACTGGAGGTCAATTATGGAACAGGCACCTTGAGATAAAACCAGACAATGTATGGTTTATTTACTTTAAATGCAAGTGACTGCTCGATAATGGGCTATGGCTGTACAAAACAGTCATACGGCTAATTATTGCTTATATTTTGGGTAGTGGCAGAGAACAGAGCTATGTACTGTCAAAAACAAACTACAGCACTTACCAGAGAGATACGTATTTTTGGCTGTCATATGTAACATATACATAACGCCTACCCTAACCATAACCGCTACTGTGGATGCCTTTTGTAAAAAGGTAAAGGTATAAGGTAGGTATGGGCTGGCCGCATTAACGCAGAACAGATGGCCGTAGGCTACGTAGGGTTGGAGACCCCGGACAGCCCGCCCGCCGCGTTGACGACATCGCGAAAATAAAGGGATGCGAATGTCAAAGAACCGTACTGCTTGGCGTGCTAATGAAGAGGCATTGACCCAACAATGAGTGACAAAAGACTAAAGCAAAAAGGTAGTACGGCTGTCCTGAGCCATTTAGAGGGTACTACAATAAACTCCAGCCTTGTTAATTAGAGTCGTAACTGACAATAGAGCAAAAGACACTGCAAATTATAGCCTCACCCAATAGAGTACCCACCCAGCGACGACGCCGCCGTTAATCTGGCAAAGAGATGTTTTAATATTGGTAATGGGTCAACATACGTGCTATTACTCCTTTTTAGCCGACATCACTCTCGGACCTGGCTGCAGGCAGTTCAAACTGTTAATGTCAGAAGTCTCACGACATTCGAATTACTGTAGGAACCATTGCTAGCTGTTTAGTCAAGAGCAAAGAATGTCTTAACATCCAAGGTCCCAGTTACCTGGGAATGGTTATAGTCTAAATGCTGAAACGGAGTGCATGTGACTATTAAAAACCTCTTTCCATTTGTCATTGCTTAAATCATAATTTAGCAGACATTGAATTAAAAAGACATTAATAATCTCAATTAACTACATAAAGTTATCTGGTGCATAATTACCACGAAATAAATAATTTACATATTTGTGAAATTAAAAAATTTGGCATCAATACTCTAATATTGTGGAGTTTGTGGATTGGATCAACTATGTGCAAAACGGTCTTTAAACAGTAATGATTTGAAAATTTTATACTTTACGAAAATGTTTACCAATACCTTACGAGGTCTGCTATTTGGTCTGTATCCGGAATAAAAAAGTGAAACAAAAATATAGCATTTATTATAGTTTTATTGCTTTTGAAAATATACGTTGGAACCAATTTTCGTACCACTTTTTCCATTCTGATTGAGTTGTCTCCAAAACGTTCATTTTGAATCATTTATTCTTCACGGTTGGGAATAAATAGAAGTCGTTGCGGGCCAAGTCAGAGCTATACGGCAAATGACCCGTTAATTCAATCTTTTGATTTTCCAAATACTGAGTTGTTTCGGCCGATGTGTGGCAGCATTGTCATGATGAAGAAGGATTCTGCGTTGTCGGTTATTCTTTCTTATTTCTTCAAAGACTTCTGGCAAACAAAATGGTCGTATACCATTCAGTTTTAACCGTTTTACGATCCTCTAGTGGCACTGTAGCCACATGTCCATCTATACCAAAAAAACAAGCGACCATTTGCTACACAGTGCTTGGAACACCCAAACCGTTGATTGTTGTTTAGTTTCAGGATCATGCGCATATATCCAAGATTTATCACCTGTTTAGATATTATAGACAGCTTTTGAATCACCCTGATTGTACTTTAGTAACATTTGCTTACACCAAGAAACACAAGCTCGTTTTTGGTCAATTCTCAAGTTGTGCGGAATCCGTCAACAATATTTTTTTTCAGCTAACTGTTTATGTAATATTTTATATATTCTCGTCATACTTAATCAAAGAGACGTCTCTATCTCGCGATATGTAACATGACGATCTTGTATTATTATTTCTCGCACAGAATCAATATTTTGAGGTACAACAACCGATTTAGGGCAACCTTTTTTAAATTCATCCGTGAGCACAGACGCCCTATATCACGCCCTATATCAAACTCACTAAATCAGTGATAAACACTTGTTTTTGATGGTGCTTCCTCCCAAAAGTCAAAGTGAGTTGATCAAAGGATAAACAAATGATGAACATGAACATGATGAAACATTTAACAAATTGTATTCTTCAGCCAAAGAGTTCTATTTTTAAATGTTATAATTACTTTTTTGGTATTTTTTGTGTAACTGGAGTTAATTTTTTTAAAAGTTTTCTAAAAGTTATTTCTTTTCTGTAAATAGCAACTCTCGTAAATATATATATATATTTATAAAACATCTCCCACACTAGGAATATATCCTGTGTCACGAGGGACTTTACAAACATACATGAAACAGACACAAAAAAACACACAGAGTCAGAACGACAATTTGTGGATCACACAAACTGCCATCACATGTGAGGATCGAACCCACAACACTCAGCATAGTAGGAGGCGACATGGCGACCACTTAAACCACTATGCCATCCGTGCAGTGCTATATTAAATTTTGTGTGTTAAATTCACACCTAGATTTAAAAATGTCACAAGGATCACTTAATTTCATCAGGTGTATTTAAAAATGAAATATCATAGACAATTATGATTTACAAGTAGGTAATTAACAAATATTGATTCCTAACAATAGTAGTCCAAACTAATGATTACCAATATAATAATATCATAAGTTAAAGTGATCATGTTAAAATTTATATTATTTATATATGGTTCCTACAGAACTTCAACACAGTATTCATACATAAATCTCTGATATCCAACAGGTTGAATATGTATACTAGGATTCAAATTACCATAAAAATTATTTTTCTTTTACATAAAATGTAAATTGGTGGACTTGGAGGAAATTCTTATTTAAATGTATACAAACCTAGAAGTTCCTCCTTCATCATATAAACTTTAAACTCTAATTGTTCCTGTTTGTCAATAAAAATGGCACAAAGGTCATCATTTTCATACTTATAACTTTGTTAAAAAGGGTAAGGGAAACTGTTTAGCACCACTGTTTCATTTGTTTAAAGCTCAGTACCATTATTACTTATTATGCATTTATAATAATATACAGTTTGTAACAAAAACTTGATCATTACCAGAACGAAAACTCAAATGTTAATAACTAAGTATTTATAGAGTGACTTATCTCAGCAAATGACCTGTGTCTTTTGTACTGGCTGTGATGACCTCCTGTTATCTTGGCAAGTTAAACCCAATGGAAACATACTGCTTCCTTATTTTTAGAGAACATTTGATGCTTTACTGATAAGATGTTTTGATACCATCCTAGAATGCTATGATATGAAAATAATTAGAAAGATATTTTTTATTGATTTAACTTTTACTACCATTCAGTTTTGAAACTTAATCAAAGATTTTAATCATGGTTTTACCATGGATTTTTAGGTATTATTGTTGTGCATAAATCGGAATGAGAGTAGTATTTACTATTTGCTTAACAGATTACATTTTTCAAGAAAACTTCAATGCCAATTAACATCTATGATATTATGCAAATTCTATCAACTACACGATAGTAAATAATAAAGACTCACCTATAGGCCAAAGTCATACATTTAAATAGCTTTGTCAGAGATATTTCTATTGAAAGTTGTTGGTGCTGTTTACTTTCTTCTTTATCAGGCGTTTGCGGAATAATCGACCTAGGCACTGTGTACGTAGCGACTGTGGTAACTTTTTGGACATTTTGTTCTTCGTCAGGAACAGAAACTAAATCGTCAAAGTCGTCTTGGGCTTCAGCTTCAAAATGTGACACCATAAAGTGTCCCGAGTGTATGGACTCCTTCTCCGATCGGGACTGACGTTTATCAACCTGATACATTTTTTGTATGTAGACTGTTGGATTGGTCAAAAAGATGTTCCAGCTGTATGGAATTGCGTTTGATAAAAAGGTCTATCAACTTTTACACTTGTCCATATTTTTACTTATCAGCTACACTCACAGACACATTGTTTTTTTTCATTTGACAGCTGGAGATGATGATGTTGCTAGTTGGTTCTTTAATCGTTTTTCTGTAACACATGATAAAAATAATCTTACACAAACCAATTAAATAAAAAAAAATAGATCTTCCAGACCTGATGTCCAAAATTGAAGACACAAAAATCAGAAATAAATTGCATTTTGAAAAAAAAACGTGGTAACTTAGGTAACGTGGTAATTCCTCTGAAATATATATATATATATAATATAGGTATACAAAATAATATCTAATGAATTCATGGCTCTTAGCTGTTCTATTATGACTATCAAGAAAGGAATTCATAATATTTTGTTTTAACTCGACCGCTTTAAATTCGCTGAATACATAACACTAATAACTTCACTTTTTTAAATTTTAGAAGATAAAATTGTCTTAAGTATCTTTTAAATACGTGATAAGGTAGGTTAATTTCGCCAGTAGACCGCTTTTGATGACATAGGAATTACCCAATTTAAAATGTTGACCTCTCACGTTTTTTTCTATGTTTTGCCCTGTGTACTGAAAATTATGCATAGAAATAAGGGTATCAAATCGAAGTCTAATGCATAGTTTACACGCTTGCCGAGGCTTGGCAAATGTCTACAAGCTCCAAGGCTTTACAAACGCTCGGATGCCAATTACATACTTGCAAGTATTAGTGTATTCTGGACAGGCAAACATAGCAGACGTGGACATATTTTTAAAAGTCAAAAGCTGAGCAGTAGGGCTAAATAATTAGCCCTACTACTCAGCCAGTAGATCATTTAGACTTAATATTGATTCCCAACTGCTCAAATTATAAAATATGTCGCAAGCGCTTGCCGCAAGCTTCCTTTGTTTAAAATCGACACTAGCCCCGATCGACAAGCTCAAGTAAGTGTGGGTTAGGAGTTCTAAAGTGGCAACATATTATTGCTAAATTTGCATTTGCTTATTGTCATTATTGACTAGTGATGCGCAAAATGTATCACTGCGCTGAAAAGATTGATACATATCATTTCGCTCTAAAGATATAAATCACTCATCTAGCTCACTAGCTCATTTAGCTCACTAACTCGTTTAGCTCACTAGCTCATTGATCCGATTCAATTGATTGTTCTCTCAATTAATTCATTTCTTCTTCATCTAGATCGTTTAGCTCAGTATACTCGTAAATCACTCACTTCAAGCCTCACTCGCCATACAAATCTTTCTTTATTTTCATATCAACCTAAATTTAGTTTTTGAAACTACATTTTTAATCTTTTTTTTTTTAATACAAAGTTACTCATTTTGATAAGATAACATAATTATTAACACCCTTTTACATAATAATTAAAAATCAGAAATTATTTCTTGTACTTTTTTATAGGTTGTATAATAGAAATCATACATAATTTGATTTTCCTTGTACTTAAACTTTGATCCTATAGAAATAATGTCATTTTGCATAAAGAAACTTGCGTGAACTCAACCATCATCTATCTCAATCATTTATCTTTAGTCTCACTAGCTCATGAAACAAAGATCGGCGTCGTTGAGCTAGTGAGCTAGTACTGAGTTACTGATATATTCGGAGCTACTGTGAGTGAGTGATACATTTTATTCGTGAATGATATCATCATCTGCCTACCCTTTTCTCAATTTTATTTGGGGTCGGCGCAGTATCGTCGTGAATGATATATATCTTTTAAATCACTCACTCAGGAGCTACACAACTCTATTATTGACATTTTGTAAACTTTTAAGCGCGGAGTACCTACCAAATATATTTTTTATGTAAGATCGTATAACGTAATATTTTTATTTAGATTTAATTTAATTTACTAAATGTGTTTTTTCTAAATTCTAGGCCCATTTTATTATATAGAGAAAACAGTTTTAAAATGACTTCGGTTCCAAAATTTCATAATCTTGCTTTAAAGCAAAAATCATCTCCTATTGAAATTAAAGAAAAAATGAGAAAGGTAATCACAATCAAATAATATATATATGTATAGTATTTAAAAAATTGCCACTTTACATAACATAATTAGATTTGAGCCGAATGTACTATTTGAAGCTAATTTTTTCATTGATCGTTTTAATCAATAAATTGGACATTAAAGACCTAGCGAGATAAGAATCGCCCTCTTTGCTTCTAGGGTATTACCTAGAAATGCAGCGGAGCTGGTTAACTGGAAGAAAACCCTGTAATTTTGTTGGCTTAAGAATTGAACTCTTAACTTAACAATATTAGTAACATACATCTAAAGTCACATTTAAATCTCTGCCAGACAGACAGATGCAGCAGTGAGCATATACCCGTTATTCGAACTGGCTCTTGCCAGAAAGTGCAAGTCCTCTATAGTACCTACCACCAAACCAATTAGACTGCATGGATGGAATTGTGGTTTAAGGGGTCACCTCGTTGCGTCATATTGAGTGTTGTGGATTCGATCCCCACATGGGACAACACTTTGTGTGATCTACAAATTGTTGTTCTGAGTCTGGGTGTTCTTTGTGTCTGTTTCATGTATGTTTGTAAACTATCCTGTGACTCAGGATATACTCCTAGTGCAGGAGTTATTTTTTCTAAAACAAAATTAATCCGACAACTTCATTCCTTTGCTAATGGGGCAAGGGAAAGCCTTGTAGTCACTCAAAACTTTATGTTTCTATAGTAGCTATTTATGATTTCTGCCTGCATACATGCTTTTTAATTCTCAGGACTACAAAAGTAAAGTACAAAACTGCCGTGGCATGTTAATGGATAAGTTTCGAGGGTCTGTTACTGAATCAGAGTTGCATAACACATTGACTGATATATATAAAAGTATGTTTAAATTTCCTAAAGAAAATATTAATGAAGAAGAAGTTGAATTTTTAGATGAACTAAAAGGTGAACTTGTACAGGAGGAATTAGAATGGTATGTAATAGATTTCAACAATGCCTTTATCACGAAATCAATTTTCAGTATTAATGATAATAACTTTATTCAGATGATACTTTAGTTATAGTAAATACATATTTACAGTTATTTAAATATAGATATCACTAAGTATTTATGTACTGTACTCCACTAATTCACAAACCTCTAACTCTCGCCATTTCTCTCTATAATCAGCTACTCTTATTAATGTGCCATCTGATGTCTTTAACTTCAGCTACCCACCATCTAAATGATCTACCTCTTTTTCTCTTCCTGTAACTTGTAAATCAGTCCAATAGATTGTAATGTATTCTTGTGAGTGCACAGGTGTAGCAACCATATTGATTTGACCCAGGCATTGTGTTTATAGACATAGATAGTTAGGTTGTTATTGATCCTAATGGGTTTTTGCTTCCCATTTGTTACAGCTTTGATCTTTTGTGTGTTCATGACTAATCCTGCAGCTTTCTCTTCCTAGGTCATTCTCTACTTTTTCTTACTTAATCATCTACAAATTTTAGGTGTGATAGATTTTCATTGTAAATTCCATATTTCTCCCAATCCAACTGACGAAAGACCTTCAGAACTGCTGTAAAAAATTTCAGAAAGATGGGCTCAACCTGGTGCCCTCCTCTTACTATATTGATCTCCTTTACATCCCGCCTGCTTTCTTGACCGACTTCCATCCAATGTCTCATTTATTCTGCAGAGTTTTGATGATGATATCTCTACTTATTATTAATAAAAAAATTCCCTCATGTTCATGAATCACAAAATATAGGCAATTGTATGTTTCATAAAATTCTAAAGAGCTTTGCCTTACAATAAATTAAATATTGTTCGCAATCCCTAGGATACCCTCATCAGATCCTGTTTTTGTGACAATGAGACTACCTCTGGACTATGCTACTTCTAATAAAAAAAGAATTTTGGAAATCCTACAACCGCAACAGCCACTTTGCCCCCGCATTTTTAACATCTAATATCTTCTAAAATATTCATCTACACGCACGCAACACAACGTATCTAACATATTTAATTGAATAAGGAATAATAATGAATTCTTTATAATAGCTTCGTAAATAAGCCATATTTTTTTGTAAAATTTAAAAGATAAATGGTTACTGTGGTTTATCCATAGGGGATAGACACATATCATCACGGACATTTTTGTAGATCTTTTTAAGATATATAATTCCATAGTAAATTATTTTGTCATATGTCGTAGGTTTTAGCCAGCGTTTGCAATGTAAGCGCAAAAAAAACATGTTTATTTTCACAAAACTTTAAAATTCTTAAATTTTCTCTACTATAATATGCATGTATTATACATATAAACCTTCCTCTTAAGTCAGTCTCTATTAGTGAAAACCGCATTAAAATCCTTTGCTTAGTTTAAATGATCTAAGCATGTGCGTGCGTACTATAGCAAAAAAGTGTAAAGTCTTGTTACACATTTTTAGGTCTAGCCCCCATCTGCTCAGAGGGTGAACGTGTAATAAGGAACTTCGATCCAAAAGTTTTGAACAAATACATATAGTCTGCGTTGACCCTAACTTTCCTAAAACCTAATTAATCAAATAATACAGATGCTAAGCAACATTGTCATAGTGATACAGACCTATTACGAATGCCAACGTCGCATTGTTACTTCCCCACCGGCAAGCAAAAAAAAAATCTTAAAGGAAAGGCCATATAGCTGAATATTAACAGATGTCTCGATATTTATTAATCCTAGGTTGTCTATACATCTATACAAATAAATAAAATTGGAGTGTCTGTTTGTAATATTAAAATAACCGCTTTTTACTAAATGCATATGTATGTTTACACGGTATATATGCCAAAATATAATTTTTTACAATTTTTGTCTGTCTGTCTGTTTGTTCCGGGTAATCTCTGGAACGGCTGGACCGATTTCGACAGGACTTTCACTGGCAGATAGCTGATGACATAAGGAGTAACTTCTAGGAGTACTTTTTTTAGACTAGCTTCGCCCCGCGGCGTTGCCCGCGGTTATAACAACAAACGCGGGTAACACCGCGGGTCTCAGCTAGTACTAAATATATTGAAATCTAGAGCATTTAGATATTTTTGTGCAGAAGAGTAGTCATATATTATTGAACAATTTATAAGCAATCCAATCCTGGAGCGGTATCTTTTCATTGACGTTATCTTTTTACAACTTTGTTTATTTCTGCACAGATTATATCTGGTATAGATAGTTCAACTCAGATGTGCGCGCGGCCCTATGTGTGGGTAAACCTTGTACATATACAGTGACTTTGTGTGCGTGACAAGAGGTACAGTCGTACAAATACAAATATAGTTATTTACGGGTTATATACGGGTTTTTAAAAAAAAGAGTTATTTCGTAATGTAATGTTTATTTATTGAACATTATTCTGAATCGCTACTTGAAAAATCAAATGATGAATTTTCGGATTCGCTGCTCTCACCAAGGTTAATTATGAATTCTGACTCCATGTCAAAATGTCTATAGTATTCTTCTTCTTTCTTTTGTACATGTCGACAAGTATTACCCCACATCCCTTCATCAATTTGACTTAAACGTTCATTTATGAGTTTCATTATTTCCGTCACATTTTGGTCGATATTATGCGAAGCAATATAATTCTTTAAAATTCCCCACACATTTTCTATGGAGTTTAGTTCAGGATGATATGGTGGCAGTCGAAGAATTTTTATGCCATATGGCTGAAGTATGTCGTCAATCTTGTAACAGATATATTTTTCTTTATTTTTTTTAATCAAATCATACAGTTAAATTTTTTTCATATCTTGATTAAAAGCTATATTTTTTCTGTCAGCCATCTCTGCATTTCAATTTTTTTGGAATTGGAATTTGGGGCTCTGTTATTTTGAACGTTATGGTATGAGGCATTATCAAGCACAACCACAGAGTTAGGTGGAAGATTCGGTACTAGACGTTCTTTTAACCACTTTTCATAGTTTTCTGCGTTCATGTTAGAGTGGTAATCACCAGAAACACTATTTGCTTTGTATGTCAATAGTGCGTTAAGTACGAAACCTTGTTCTGAACCAGCATGCACAATGATAATTCTTTGTCCTTTCGACAGGTTTCTCTTTAAAGGTGGTCCATCTTTATTACCCCATCATTTGTTTTGCACATGATTAGTTAAGATGTAGCTCTCATCTGTATATACGATACACCGATTTTCTTGACGGTATCTGAGTAAATTTTTTAGGTAGGAAAATCGTAGTTTTTGGATGTCATGCCGCTCTATAATAACACGTCTGTTATCCACAGTTTTTCGCCATTTGTGTCCCAACTTTAACAAAGCTGTACGCAGAGTCGAAATACTTCCATCATAGTTAAGTTTATCTTGAAATATTCTTTTCAACTTTAGCAAGGTAGGTAACTCGCGATGTTCTAAATGGTAATTTTGAATAGTGGAACGTATAACATCAACGTTAAAGTTGTCTAAATCTAACTTTTTTAAACGTTTTTTACGGTCTTTATGCGGAGATTTAAATTTAGAGTCAGATTCTTTTCCTTCAGCCAATATATTAGTAATTGTTCTCTCTGATACCCCCACTGCCATTGCTGTTCTTTTCCGTACGCTATTTAAATGTTCACTTAATTTCAATATTAAAATTGGACTTGCACTGCAAACTGGATCACTTACTAGTTCCAATATATCTCTCGCATCTAGTTTCAGAAATTCGTATACCTTAGCAATGGTTTCTCGAGTCTAAAACAATAATACGTAAACGTCAACAAGGATATATTTTTTCGTATATAGAATCATAATAAATATTAATTACATCTAAATTTAAAAAATATTTACCTGACTCCTTTAACATTTTCTCCGTGAAGAACTAGACATTTTCGTAAACGACTGTACCCTTAAGAAAAAGCGATAAGAACACGTCTTGCTCGGACGACGACTGCCGCGTCACTGCCACACGAATGAAAGTTGTATATTTACAAGCCTACGCACACATAGGGCCGCGCGCACAACTGAGTTGAACTATCTATAGTTCACTGTAATTTTCAGTGGTATTTTTTATACATTACAGGTGGACCAAAGAGTGCGAACGATGTCAAATGCTAGATGTGGACTGGTCTTCTATGGAGGAGAGTAACAATGTAATATGTCCTGTTTGTCAAAAAATCGATTTGCAGCTGAGTAATGGGAATCTACGTTGCACTAGTTGTAGCATCTCTATACCAACACAAAAGTCATTAGCTGAAATTAAAAACGATATATTTGGTTTGGTAGATAATCATAATTCTATGTGTAATAGTGATGTACAGTTTGGTCTTGTTACTGACTTCAATGAAAGCCATGTTTATTTACTGTGTGAAAGTTGCACAGAAATGAAGTTAGTAATATAGTTAGGAATAAACAACTTAATTTAATATTAGTCTTATAGGCTAAGTGATGAATGAAAACAAGAATGATAAATATTCTTTGTAAAGCTTTAAGTTGTGTTTTTTGTAAAACCCAAATTTATGAAAGTTAAGTTTGATATGTAAAATTGTAATGAAAACGTATTTTTAATATTTGTTTTGCTTATGATATTTCAGTCATGTGCTTTGCATCAAAATTAAAGTGGTGTAAATTATCTCAATAATTCTTCTTTTTTATTTTCCCTCCTGGATAACACTAAAAGTCTATGTAAGCCTAATCAGACATCACGGATGGCGTAGTGGTTTAAGCGGTCGCCTCGCCTCTTACTACTGCGCTGAGTGTTGTGGGTTCGAGCCCCACATGGAACAACACTTTGCGTGATCCATAAATTATTGTTCTGAAGTCTGGGTGCTCTGTGTGTCCGTGTCATGTACGTATGAAATGTTCCCCGCGACACAGGATATACTCAGGAATAAAAATCATGGCTAAAGCCGAGTTTCCACTACGAAAACGTGATGAGCGGGAAAAGTTATAATAGGTATACATTTCCACCAGCAAAGAGTTTTGTCCTGTTCTCGTGCCACTCTCCTTTTCCTGTGTAGGAACGCTACTATGTGATTTGTCATTGCGAGTTAAACGGACTCCGTAATTACTCCGCCCTAGTTAGAACTGAGCGAGTTCATTTCGAGTCAGCTCGCTTAGTCCTTTCTGCTCGGCTATTTGTTGGTTGAAATACAAGTATGCCGTTTACACGTGCGTGTTAAACGGAGTCCTTAACGAGTCCATTCCGCTGGCGATGGAAACCAGGCTAAAAACATGCAATCGAAAATCTATAATGTATACACACATGCCACCGGTAATCTGTATAATTTAGGTATACTATCCAAAACCTAGGCAATGTACAATTTATCGTGGGCATTCAAGCATATATTCCTGATGAAGTAGAAAGGCATATTAAATGCTCAGATTTTGCAGTTTAAAAAACTAAAAAATTGTAACCCCGACCCGTCCCTGATTCACCGTGCGGGTGCCGGGTCCATCGCGTGATCGATGGGGGCAACACATGCGACTTCGACGGCGCGTCAGCGCTTACTTCCACTGTCTGCTATGTTACCCCCCCCCCCCCCCCCCCCACCAACAATATTTGATACGTGCCTAGCAATGCCGTTTTGGATATTAGTTCAAGAAAAGAGCTTACTGAAGCTCTTGCCGATTCAAGGTCTTTAAGCAAGTTATAAAAGGGTTTAGGTGGTAGGTATACCCCTCGCACCCACTTCCACGGCATACAACGCAACGAAATAACAATTTTTAGTTATTTCGTTGCGTTGTTTTTAAAGCATGGTCTTTAGGGATGTTCGTTTCCTACGGCGCCGTGAGTTCTACTAGTACTACACGCTTAATTGACATTGCATCAAGAAATACTTCTGTCTGGTCTGGTCGCCGCCCAGGATGTGGACTCTGGATTCTTTTATGATTTTCATACGTGTCCACGAATAATGTCCAGTAACTATATTTATAATAGAGTACAGCTTTTATGAAGTCTTTTTTTGAGTCCATCTTTGCAAATTCGATGTTAGTTCTTATGTTTGTTGTTACTCCTTTTTTCGCTCTCGTCAGTGATAAACTTATATATGATTTGTAATACCTTATCATGGCGACGTAGATTGAAAAGTTTAATAGAGTAGGTGACCAATCTTATAAAAGTGTGCGCCATTTCAAAGCTGGTGGGATATAAATTTCTGTTAGAATTAACCATTCGTTCTGCATTTCTGGGTTCATTGCGTGCACCTTGTACGAGTAGGTCTCGTTTTCATCTTGTTGTAGGAAAGATTTTGTTATCTCTTTGTCGGTCTTTCTTCTAGCATTTTCCAATCGAACCATAAATTGGAATTGGAACTGTGACTCGAGCTCTGATGAATTGTTGTCTTTTGGAAGGGGTCTAATGATTTCGTCTTGTGATTTTGACAAGACATGCAACTCTTAGGTGTATGTACTATGTAAAGGTCCGAAGGTCTTTAATTCGAGCCCCTGAACTACGTTGACGGGTCTGCAGCCCGAGCCACGACTTACTTTAAAAATATCTCTGTACACTACCTACATTCATCGTTTTGCTCTCAGCAGCCTGAATATACAAAGTCAGGCGTGGGAGCACGTGACGTACAGTTGTCCGTGTGAGAAGTAGCTTGTCCTGAGGTCGACACCCGTAGCTAAAAGTCGCTAGTGTTTCACTAATTTTATTAATATATATATATAATATATATATATAATTATGGTTTTTATAAAGATTTGGAATTTTTATTTTTGGATTTTCATATGTTTGTGCCTAAGTGGTAACCGAGTAGGTTAAGATAAGAAGAAGTAAGAGTCCGACAACTGTCTATCTACAGAACATTACTCGCTCCACGTAAATAAGCCGTGTCGTACTAGAGTGAAAGCCGACCCAAACCTAGTGGGGGAAAAGGCTCGCAGAATGATGACAAAGATTTTGAAATGGAATAAACTTATTTATTAATCTTCGGATCTTCTAAATCTGCATTAGGCATAAATCTGAAGAAATTCTACCTTTCAAAGTATGTTCTTCTTCAATAACTTGTACGAGTAGCGTATGACATATGTGTATTCAGAGCACACTTTCCACTGTGAGAGTCTGAGTTCTAGTGCAACAATATTGGTGGTCCGTGTGGTGACGGAGGTCCGTGTGGTAACGGATTAAGAACACAGAGTGTCACCACCCCTATTCATCCCGTGGGTGTCTTAAGAGCCGACTAAGGGAAAAAACTAAGCAGGACAACAGCACTGCAGAGAGAAGGAAAACTTGACACAAACCCTTTACCAACCCGTCTGGCCAGCGTGGTATAGTAGGCCAAAACCCCCTTTCTCAAGAGAGGCTTATGTCCAGCAGTGGACTATTAAAGGCTGTTGATGATGAATATTGGTTGAAGTTGTTGGATCCAGTCTAAATCATTGAACTATATCTTTGTCTTCTTCATCATCTTCATCAGTGAAACGTGATCTACCCAGATCAGATCGTTACCTTAAAACAGAGCTGGTGACTCCAATTTGTCGATAGGTTCCGTACAACACAATAACATTCGGCACTCGACAGCCGGGGTAACGTCCTGTGTATTCATCCACGAGCCCGTGCGGATACGCATGGATGGCAGTATGCGTAAGAAATCAAAATATGAACATATTCCTCGTTCGTATAGGTCATCATCTTCAACAATATCAGAAACACAAATCAAAGTCCACTTAGCAATAGTTAGCCACGAATTGAAAACGAAACAATAAAAAAGACAAGCCAAGTTTTCAACTAGGTACTACCGGGTTGTACGCTAATTCTTAACACTCCCGGTCTTTGATCTAAGTTTTTTTTTCCATAAATTCTGATACTATCCTAGACTATTACCACCAATCTTGAAAGAAACTTAACGAAAAAGGGTATTGATTAATAAAATGTAGTTATGATATCGTTTATTTAACTTCATATATGAAACGCAACATAACCTACGAATATATTACTTATTCTTCTGTACAAATGAATACTTGATGATTCTTAGTTAATATAAAAATCTATAAATTTGCAAAGCTTTGGGTGTCTATTTTAAGTTAAAATAATATCACATTTACTATACCTTTTTATTGTTTTTACTTTCTTGTGTTACGCTGTAGGTATTACGTTTTTATATTTGGATGCATAACAACTATATATTATATCTATACTAGATATGTTAAGTTTATTCATTGTATTTGAAATCTGATTGCGTACTTCATTACTTTGCATCCTCTAGTATCAAATTTGCATATTGTTATATATCGAAGTATAACATTCAACATTTATGTACTTATATTTGTTGTGTAAAGAAACAATTACAAAATAGAAATAAAACAATGCACGTGTTATTAGAAATAGGTTTCAACGAACACTGTTATGAGGTAGACACTTATAGTATCCTATGAAACGAGTTAATCGAAAGAATTATCGGTGTTTAGTTAAGCACTATGCTCCAACAAATGATAGGAGATTGGTATATATTGTAGGCAACCATTTGTTTCAGTTGATCATAAGAAACTGAATCTATTAGATATCACAAAATAAATACTGGCCTTTCGGTCTAGTGGTTAGTGGCCTTGACTACTAAGCCGGGGATCGTTGGTTCGATTCCCACCCCGGACAAATATTGTGTGATGAGCACGGGCATTTGTTCTGTGTCTGGGTGTAATTTATCTATAATATGTATGTATTTTAAAATATATAACTATGTTTATCAGCTGTCTGGTCACCATAGCACAGGCTCTGCCTAGTTTGGGATCAGACGGCCGTGTGAGAGGTTATTATTATAAAAATAAACAATATAACTATTATTTTCTGTATGCCTAATGTCATGATAATCGGTTGAGTAATTAACGCGTAAACTAACCTACTTCCAAATTTATAATAAGAATTGCACTTCACATATTGTACATTACATACTTACTAAAAAAAAATCATTGCTTATGGGTCACAATCGATCAATGCCGCAGATCTAAATAGGTATAATCAAAAGTGGTCAATAGGATATAATATTATTTTTGATCTCTTTCTTACGATCTATTAAAAACTTTAATTAAAATTAAAGATATTGCATATTCCCGTGACAATACGAGTATTTTTTGTGATCAGTTATTTTATTTTGATTATTACATCATAGCCACAACAGTAAACTATTGTTAATAGAATAATCAATATCATTATCAGCGACTTAAGTAATGGAAATCCAAAATTCTGAATCTCTTATCTGCATTACTTCTACTTACTAAGGTCACCATAGACACGCTACTTTTGTCAATGTCTTTAAACTACAACGACTTTCCTATTTCGTAAGTTAGACGTTCTTATAAACAAATTTTCCAGGAAAAATACGTTATTGGTTAGTTAGACCAGTATTTTAACATTAGTATATATAACTTATTTTAAACAAACCTGTTAAGAACTTTAATAATTGACACTAGATTATTAGGTTCACATGGCAATAAAAGCGATCCGTCCACCGCCAGCTAATCTAAGTTAGTTTAGCTCGCGTGTGCGTCCACCGCAAATAATGCTAGCTAAACTAACTAAAATATCAAAACTAAGTCAAACTTATTTAACTAAGTATACCAAACAAACCGATCATCACTAACGTAGTTTTAGCTTATTTTTCAGTGGATAGTTAACTTATAACCCAATTTAACTTAGCTTAGTTCTTAATTAGTTTAGCTCACGGTGGAAGTTACGCTTAAGTTTTATAAAAGAAGATTATTTATTAGAACTTTGTGTTGTAAATAGTAGTAATTAGTAGTGTAATAAAATTTGGTAGTCGAGCCTATTGTTCAAATCGTCTACGTCATTATTTCAATATCAATCTGTTTGACTTGTTTCTACTACTACTAGGCAGACAATTGAAATTCACAGAATCCTGTCGTGTTTTTCTAATGCATGCACAAAAAAAAAACTTCAGACTTAACTTAATATTACATTAAGAATTGAAAGGATGCCTGCCCCTATGCAAGAATCCTGACTGATTAATTATTTGTCTAAAGGCTATAACTCATGTACCGTTATAAGTAGGTACACGGTTAAAAATGTCTGACTAGGAATGAATGCACTATATCTTCATTCGTGTTTATAATTCAATTGGGTTCATTTAGGTTTTGAAAACCAGGTGGTGGCAAAATCTTAATATAATACGGTTTAAAATAAAAAAAAAAACAATTTATTGTTACCTCCCAATCACGAAAAATGCCAACCATCATAATATATTTGTGACTTTTAAGGGGGCGCTGTTACTAAGTTTCTGCTCCGGTGAAAAAATCTGGGGCTGCTCACGAGGTAGGTGTTTATACTTTTAATCTAACAACACTAGAACCTAAAAATTGGTGGAGTGGGTACAATGGTAATGAGTAGATAAAAAAATTATTTTGTAAATTTTTTGCATCACTACGATTTTAATAAATTGAAATATAGGCAAAGGAATCCTTTATATCTTGGGACAGTACAAACACAGTTACTATATCTAAGCGAAATGTTAAGACGCTAAAATGGTGATGAATGTAAATAAAGTGAGAGCAAACTTTTTATATTTCGCCTACAATTGGATTTCGTTACTCAACTGTTCTTATTTATCAGGATTACTCCATTTCTAACAGACAACACAGTCAGAAATGAATCATTAAACAAATGAAACATATTACGCTGTAAACCTCCTTTCTAAGGAGAGGCTTATGTCCAGCAGTGGACTGTTAAAGGCTGTTGATGATGACGATGACGCTGTAAATATTAACTTTTATGTGTAGGTATATTTATTTATAAGTCTCCTTATTATACACATTAACTTTGAAATAATAAAGCATTGATAAAGGTTTTAAAAACAAGTGTGCAAAACAAATAAAATGGATGTTGGGAAAAAGGATACAAAATAGCCGACAAAATTTCTGTTCATAGGATAAGAAATGACTGAGTCATCAAAAAAACAAATACAAGTTTGAGAAAATACGCGGCGCAGCTAGCTTCTTTACTATTTTTCGGCAGCATCAAGAACATTGTGAAAACAAAAGTGCCAGTGATAAAATATTCAATATACATAGATTTTTAATACTATTAAAGTAGGTAAAGGTAAGTAAATTAATATAAAATAAATAAATCTTTTCACATAAAATATCTCCTTCCTCTATAAATACTCCAATTTTAGACTAAATTAATGTTAAATATCTATATCATAAATGCCTTCCGCTATATTCGGCAATATTGTCCAGCTATGTTAAATTTTAGATATTCTTCGATATTGTTAATTACCTGTAAACAAGTTTTCGTTGATATTTAATCGTAATAGTTATTCAAAGTGACTTCACACATTTTATCTTAAATCAGAAATGTACCTCTACTTTATGCCTTTTCTTATACTTCTGTATATGTATGTACTTTTATATTCATTATAAAATTACTACATTTATATAATGTACTTATGTTTCGAGCATAAATCATAGGGCGTTGTAAGACGAAATGGATTCGTTGGATTCTTGGCGGTCTAATACGTGATTAAAGCCATTTTCCTTCGTAGTGGAAGAGGTTCTGAAATCAAATTATCATTGCTAATTACTCAATTGTTTCGTAAACATAACTTATATCCTGCCAAAAATAAACTAGCTTATAAGGTACAAGGAATGTTCTTGTGTCGTGTTAATCAAGGCACTCGGAAAAACTATTTGTGGAACACAAAACATAAATTCGTCTTCCATGTGCACATTCAACAAGATTCGTTTAGCTGCAGGATGACCATTGCATTTATACGCAAATAGTAGTGTGGATGTGTTAGTTAAATACTTTGTTTTTATTTTTATTTTGTTGAAAATACTTTTAAATATTAATGTATAATTTATTTTTTAACATATCTTTATTTAATTAAATTAGTCTACCGTTTTCCGTATTTTATCTGTGCAACCTTATCCCAAACGATTCGGAACTATTTCTAGCTCCGCTACCGTGAGGCGAGTAGGCTGATGAGGCCCGTTGGGTACGAGTTGGGTGTTGGGTACAAGGCGTGCACCTCACAAGGATCGCATTCTCATGGGGCCAGTAAAAACAGATATCGAGACGAGAATGAGACATTCTCATAATTTGTATGTCTAATATATTACTATATAGTAATAATAAAGACATGTATTTATCAGTGTTCGAAACTAAATGCAAACGTTTATAAGCTTCGCATTACTTTATTAAATCCCCAAATCTTCCCCACCGGGCGAGTTTTCCATTAGGAAAATCATGGAGCAACTTCATCGGCATAGCAAGCGGGTTTTTAAACAGCTCGCAGCGGCTTGGGACTATTACATAATATATAATATACTAACCCAAAGAAAGGTAGTAATGTTATAAGGTTAGTGCGGTTTGTGCAATCTCTTAATTCTGGTAAGACTAGTAGGACGTGACGCAGGTATGCTTGTAGCGCGACCCGTCGTTGCTCTACCAGGTGGGCGTCCTGCAAAACACATTTTTTAATAATAACATCACATTTTGAAAGTAGTAAGTATCTACACAAATAAATGAAATTCAGAGTTTCACTTGGTACTTAATCACTTTTAAACTAAATATTTACAAAAATTTATCTTCGATACGGGTTAACCGACTTCCACAGAACTTTCTCTACGATATGGTTAATATTTTAAGAAGGGCTTTACATTTTATTTTGCAAAAAGAAGTAAAATAAAAAGATAACCAAAAAATAAATAGATATGCACATATGAGCAAACCAGTTTAAATCAACACACTGACAAAAACTAAATATTTATTACATTATTTAGCAGAATCATATATGGCAATTAAAGAATGTCAGATTTTAGTAAAATAAATGACAACAATAAGTACTTACACGTTTTCTTAATGTTTTCTTAGGTGGGAACTTATACGTTGCTATGTCTGGATGACATTTTTTTAGCTGCATATGTAACTCATGAAATTTGGCATACCTATGATATACATTCCATTCCTCTTGACCTATCTTAAGAAATATCTAAAACAAGGTATATAATGACCACATACGATTAAAAAAACGCCTCCGTCCACTAGGATGCCCTACTTGAATTCCCTGGGGGATTTATTTGAATTTTTTGTCCACACTGAACCCCTGGGGGATTTGAAAGTATTTCTAATCAGAACGTCCACTAGGATCCCTGCTGAAATCCCCTGGGGGATTTATTTGTTTTTTTTTGGCCACAGCGATCTCCATTTGTCATTTAATATATTTTATCGGACTGCTGTTGAAGCAATCTTGTAATTTTACCGCGATCCCGCGCGCCCAAAAAATGTTTTCCATGTTTTATTGTCTTGGATAGTACATGGCTGCACGTCTCTGCACCTGGAGATCGACCGGAAGCACACCCGCCAACACCGGCAAAGCTTCAGTGCTAACCGTCCTATATGCCTTGCACAAGAATATCAATGCAAGTCGTTGGCCTTGTAACAGTTTGCGACGGACAGCGCCTACGGTCGCCCTATCGGCCCATACAGGTGCACCATAGCACATAGAACCTAAAAAGGTAGCTCCGTATATGATCTTTAATGTATTAAATGATAGACCCCATGTCGCAGTTGATATCCTTGTCAATGCACAGAAACTCTTTTTAGACTTTTCATTAACTATTTTACTATGTTCGATAAATGAAAAGTTTCTTTCTAAAACTAATCCTAGGTAACACACTGAGGTTTTATTTTTTACAGTACCATTGTCAAATCTAATGCTTGGCGGTGATTTGAGGTTACCTTTTAAAAGTAGCTGGAAGGTTTTGTTGGGTGCAAAAGTCAAACGATTACGTTCACCCCATCGAGATATCAAGTTCAAACATCTATTGGCTAATCTCTCAAGCCCCGCCCTAGTATCAGATTCTACCAGTAATAAGCCGTCATCAGCATACGCGTTCAGAGTACATCCGGATGGTATTGGTATCGCAAGAAAATCGTCGAAGCCGATATTCCACAAGTATAGACCTAGCACCGATCCCTAAGGATATCCCATTTTAAGCGCCTTCGACACAGAATGATGACCAAGTCTTAGTTTAGTTGTATCTTGTGAAAAGTACGAAGAGATAAGGGTAAATATTTTTAAAGCTCCCCCGTGATTTTAACTTCAGCAACAGCATGGGCCACCATGCGGTTGTCGAAGGCGCCAGATATATCTAAGAAAATAGCCAGCACGTATTGAAATTTTGACTCTGTGACAAACTTTCTAATCGATATAACAGGGTCAGTTGTCGATTAAAATTATACTACTGAGAATAAACGTTGTGTCCATATAAATCCACCAGGGGATCACACTTAAAAATGGGATTGCTGCGGACAAAAAATCCAAATAAATCCCCCAGGGGATTTAAGCAGGGTATCCTAGTGGACGGAGGTAAATAACGACACCCAAAAATATATCGTAGCTATCATAGTATAGCTTCTGCCTAGTTTGACGGCCGTGTGTGAGTTTATTATTATTACTTCCGGCAACAATCGGCATATTTTGCAAGTGCATTAATCTTTTTTATTTAATTTTGCGTTATTAAAACAGAAAAAGTATCAGTGCATACGTAATCTATTTACCTGGTAGACATGATAGGAATGTGTTTTCTTTCCAACTAAAAACGCACTGGGTATGTGAACCTTTACGTTGGATTCTGGATAATCCAAAACCACTACTGCAGATATACTTTCATATTCTAGTAGTTTTTGTTGCAAATACTGATTAAATTCCATAAGTTCCGCATGCATCTCAGCCACCTAAAAAATTATAATTAAATAATTATACTCTCAAAATAGCCAAATTAAGCTGTTTACCACGATTTCAATTCAAATAAAATAATGTTTCAAGAACTGAATGCAGCAAAATTAGTGATTATATGTGTAGAAAGACTAAGTGTTAAAACCAAAAAATAGAATGGAGCAGAAAAATAAGTATTAGGAGGGTATTACTTTACGTGGCCAATATCACTTCACCTGAACAAGTTTCCTTTCATAGAGATCAACTTGTTCGCTATCACAATCGTTGTCACTTTTTAAAGCTTTGCCAATTTCTACCGCCGACATGTACTGCCGCAGTTGCTCCTTTAGTCGATCATTTTCTCTGAAAATATATTTTATTCATTTTAAATAAAATAAGACATTATTTCATCTAACTATCCATTTACTTTGCTACCAGATGTTTTTTTTATATTATATTATGAGCACAGTTATGATCAATTATGATCTATCATTAGCACATACAAAGGGGCCGACAACATGAATGCCTGAGGCTTCTGTTAGAAGGAAAAATACCAGGCAGGAGGACACCAGGTCGACCACGAAGGAAGTGGATAGATGACATCGTGGCCTGGACCGGACTGCGATATCGCCAACTAAAGGAGGCCGCTTATGATCGAGAGGTGTACCGTCTGCTGACCTCCAAACTTCATTTTGAGGATGGCACACCATGATGATGATTGAAAACCATTTATCTTTTACCTTTATCAACCTATACTTAAACCTGATTTCTGCTAGTACAATTCTTATTTTCTTCATAGCATTCTTTCTCTGAATCTCCAGTTTTGTAATTGAGCTATGCGTTCCCTTTGTTTACTACCTATTTATTTATACATTTTTGGACAAGTACATGCATCGGCGGACTTAATGCCTAAGGCATTCTCTGCCAGTCGACCGATTGGGCGGTGCTGAGAAAGAATGAGGTAGGTGCATTTATGGTAGGGTAATAAAAATTTTATGGTGGGGGTTATATTATTATGGTGGGGTAATAGAGGTTTTGTTAAATACCAACTATCTTGGAATTTGGTGTATACGTCGTAATACCACACACATACGCATATATTTACATATACATACTCATACATATATACATACACATATATATATAAAGAAAATAATATAAAAAATTGCCGATGAACTAGGAGCTCGTTGAATCTGCCATTTCGCTCAGCAATAGCTCCTACACTTTCGTCTTAAAAGAGTACCGATTTGTAGCCATCCTGACTTCGTGAGGAAGCGCATTCCATAAGAGGACAGCCTGGACGAAGAACGAAGAGCCGACAAACCCAGTGGTGTGAGAAGGACAGAGTAGAAGAAGATTGTTGGCCGAACGAAGGTTTCTGTTGTGGTTGTTGCATAACAATTGAATTTGTGTTGTTAAATAAGTAGGAGGGGAAAGGGAATTGAGGATAGTGTACATAGTTGTAAGAGTGCGCATTTTCCTGCGTTGACGAATAGGTAACCATCTTAGCTGGGAACGAAAACCGGAGATATGGTCATGCTTACGAAGATTAAAGATGAATCGAATGCAGTTATTGATGAGACGATCTAGCTTGTTGAGAAGATCTGCATTCAGGTCATAATAGCACACGTCACCGTAGTCGATTAAAGGGAAGATAAGAGATTGCACGAGCGCTGTCTTAGTTTTCACGGGAAGAAAATTTTTCAGGCGATATAATATTCTAAGAATGCCGGTAACCCTCTGGCATACGTATGTGACTTGATCGCGCCAGTTCAGGGTGCAGTCGAGTTGTAAGCCTAGGTCTTTCACCGATCGACAAACATGTATAGTGATACCATTAAAAATTATTTTGGGGAGCGTCTCAAAATTGACCCTGTTCATCGAACGCTGACTGCCAATTATTTTTTTTTTATATTTATCTATTACCTGCTTTAAAACCAGTTCCGATTAACTGTTTTAAAAACGGTACTGATGACCTGTTTTAAAAACGGCAATGATTTCCATTGGTGCATATCCTAATTGGTTTACCTTATTTGATAATATATTTAAAAAAAAATCACAATAATAAAATCTTAATTGGCAGTGTACCGTTAAAAAAAAAACACTTTATTGAAGATCTTGTTTCCATAATTATTTGAAACTTACTTTCTTAAATCTGCTATAACTTTCTCTAACTTTTTTATCTTATCTCTGCTGCTTGCGTCAACTTGAGAAAGTTTTTTTTGTAAATTAATCAATTCCTTTTCCTTATTATCTAAAATAGAATTTAGTGTTTTATCTTCAGGTACACTTTCATCCTCCGTAAAACAAAGCTCCAAACATGAAGTGCTTCCATCAATGCTTCCAGCTACTTCTTCACTATCACTCTCCGAAATTTTTAAATTATTAACACTTAATTCCGATATGTCATCTTTATCCTTAGCAATATTATTAACATCTATACTATTAGAAGATGAAAAAATTTCTTTCGCACATTCTGATAGTCTTGAAAGAATTTGCGATGGACTATCAATAGCCTTGACACTGTCAGGGAAGAAATATCTTAGACTACTTTTGTACTCTGAGCTAGTGGGTTCACTAGTTGAGGCAGCCTGAGGCACAGTTATTGGATCTGGTGAATTCAGACATGTTGCAGGTGCACTATTCCATGTTGAACTATTTGTTCGTTCAGTTACATGCAGTGTAACTTTATTTTCAGGCATATTTTTTTGTTCACTTTTATCAAAAGATATTACTTGGCGGAGGGGTTTTCGTTTCATATTGTTAGATGATTTTACTGGTAATGGCAAAGGTATTACAAGTTCTGCCTTGTTTGTCTGGTTAGCTTGGAGTGATTCATTTAGTTCTGGTCTATCAATTGATAAGGCGAATAATACAGATAAAAGGCCTGAAACAATAAATACAATATATTATGTTTGTTCAAAGTGTTTTGTTGCTACAGATAAACTTATTTATTTATTACCAGAAGCCACACTTGGAAGTTGAGATGCAGTTTCTGCATCTCTGACTAAAGCACCTTCCTCATAATACTCCATAACCAAGCCATGAGAAACCCAGCTTTGCAGATATCTGGAATAAACATTTACATTTTATATATAAATTCAAATGAATGGTGAATGATTAGACTGTATCTTTTTTGATACAACTTGAAGGTAAAGAAGAACGGCAGATCCTGTATACCTAATAATATGTGATGGATGGTCATGAGATTTATACTGCTTATAAAGTGAATCATCCTAACTATTTTTATGTATGTATCATATTTTTAGAACTTTACTCAAAGTGTATAAATTCTTCTCAAAACTTGTTACAACTGCAATAACTAAACATTCAAGTGTATAAAAAAACACAATCTTACATTTTCTAAGCTTGTCATGCATAAAATATAAATTACATAAAAACAATGTTTAAATCGAAGCTTACACTGTATTTAAAAACAAACATTTATTTAATTACTAATGTTGACTATACAGATTAGACGAAGTAATAAAGGAATGATTTCAATTAATTAATTTAAGGAAAGGGACTAATATTTTTATTACAAATAGATTTACATAATGTTCATTAACATGAACATTATGTAAAAAAAAGTAACTTAACTGATTTTAACAACATCCTTGCTATTTAGAAACAATGATAGGTTACGAAGATAGCAATATTGTGTGTATAAGAATTTAATAATAAAGCATACCTAGGTTTACATATAAACCAAGGTAAGGTTAACTTGTTGACATCAATGACAAATCATTTGCGACAGCCAGCTGTCATGGGTATGGACTTCAGTACAGCTTATAATATATTATTATTATGTAAACCATAAACTGAAATAACCATTGTACGCAAAGTTCTAAAAATCTTGTAATTAAAACTGTAATTTTCGATGATATTACGAGCTAAATAAATACAACAATAATTCCTACCATGAGATATGCGAGGCCGTACAAAAGTCTCATACAAGCCTGCCATTGACCTTTATGAACAAACTAACCGTACTTGAATGGCAAGGTACAATTCTAAATTGTTTTAGGGAAATCTAGATCGAATTCAGAAGTATTGAAGTGGGGAATATGTTACAATGGGCATGGTGGATACAGTTTTTTATTCAATCTTTTATCTTAATATTTCGTTATGTAGAAGTAAAAGTTACATGGAATTAATTGATTAGGTGCATATAGTCAATAAGTGCAGTGCAGTCAGTGCATGTAGTGAATGTCAGTCTACTATTTGCACTGAGAGTGTAAAACATTCAAATGTATTTCTAATATTACTGCTTCCCCTATCAACAAATATTACTACTAGCATTGTTTCTGTTGAATAGAAGAGTAGCTAAGGAGGTCATAGACAACAACAACATCATTAGGGAGGGTAATAACAATATAAAGATCAATAGAGATGAGGTAATCATCATCAACAGCCTTTAGTCTTGATGGGTTGGCCAGGTGAAGTAATGTTGGCAGGCAATGTTGTTATTTGCAGTCATACCTTTCCAAGGATCTTTCATTTAAAGCAGCTCTCAAAAATGCTCTAAAGTAGCCAAGGGGTGTGTTGATATTTGCAAGAATTTTAAATCTCTCCTTTTCATGCTTCGTTAAATGTAGACAAGCATAGCTCCATAGTGAATTACCTAAAAAACATATTCTTGTATTTATATATTTTAAATCCTTTTTTATAAATTCAATCAAAGAGTTACTAAATTATATAATAACAATTTTTGTTTCTTTTCAATTACATATAAGTAATATGTAACTAATTTAAAAGAAACAAAACTATTTAGTGTGTGGGTTAATGTTCATTCTTTTTATTCCTTACTGTTTCATCATTAAAACGCTATATTATTACAATAAAATACGACATAATGACACAAATTAAAATATTTCAAGAGATAAGTAAAATTAAAAAAAAAATGTGTTATTCACAATGATCCAGAAGTAAAAAGAACAATTCAATATTGAAGTGGCATTGAAGTTTTAGAACTTTTTTTTATTCATAATGGTGTACTTGCATTTTCTAGTTATTTAAGAGTGTCTTACCAACATTTACAATATTAAAAGTGAAGTTTAAACCTGCTGTAACTAAATTTTGTATAGCTGAGTTTGATAAGTTTGTCCTGATTCCATGGCTAAGTACTTTTTCCCACTTTTCACATAACTGCACAATTCTAAAAACAATACAAAGTTAAAGCTGCAGTGAGATTAATGTTCTAATATATTTCACTTAGGCTGTTTCAAATCAAAGCACCTTAAGTCATCTTCAGTAGCTAATTCAGATTTTCCTCCAAACCGATTTTGAACATTTTTTACACTGTTGAGGAGTTCTTGGTGGACAATTCTACCAGTTTCTAACCGTTTCTTTAATTCATCTTTGTTGTCGATAGCATTAGCTATTGAATTTAATATCTTGCTATTCTGTAACATATTTTAATGGAAATTAAATGCTGCAGATCTATGAGTTTACTGTGGGCCTTTTCAAGGTAATAGTTTAAATGCTTTTTGATCCAAATAATTACACTAAAAATTATTTATTGTAATTTGTATCTCAATCTTAGCTGTTTTGTTGTTTGTGCAATAATTTCGGTGAACAAAGCAATTATTTTGTTCGAAAGTAAGACATTAAGAAACCAAGTAGGTGCTGTTAAAAGTATAATAATTAAATTATTGAGCTACAATAACAAACCATGTTTCCCTTGCGCTGAATTTAAATTAATCTTTTTACGTATTTTTATTGATACTTAATAGATTAAGTACAACATCTTCAAAATAAAGTGTTACGATAATAACAGCATAATTATTTATGATTATTTTGCATACAATTTTTCAGGTACACTTCTTATGTTTGCTTTGACTGAGTTTGACACTTTGACTTAAAGTTAAATTGACTATGCTTTTTTTTTGGAATTTAATGACCTGGTAACTAAGACCTTTCAGTCAAGAGTTGACTATGCCTTGACAAGTTGCCAACTAGTGCAACGACTCTTCTAAATATTTTATTAAATGGCAAATTATTTTCTACAATTTTCTTCTAAACGTTTTCGAAATTAGACTCAGTCTCTATCAACAGATAAAAGAAATAAGGATTAATTTTTTGAATTATGTTTTTAAAATATTGCCCAGCCATTTAACAAATAGCGCTAGTGCTATAAACTTACAAAACAAAAAAAAAGCTATGATTTTAAAGCGTAATTTAGACTTATTATATTGTGATGACAAATTTGTTATTAGGGTTCCGTACCTCAAAAGGTAAAAAAGGAACCCTTATAAGATTACTTTCTTGTCCGTCTGTCCGACTGTCCGTGTGTCACCACCGATTTTCTCAGGAACCAGTAGACCTAGTAAATTGAAATTACCAGATACTGAGGTCTATGGTCCCTATGAGGTATATAAAAATCAAGCTCCTGAGTCAACAAGCTAAAAAGATATTGGCAAATTTAGATTTTCGCGAAAACTTGTAAGTACCAAAAGTTACCTTATTTTCAACTTCTTTTATTTTTCAGAATTTTCCCTTTACTTGTGCTGTAAGACCTTGCTTTTAACCAAAATTGACAATCCTAGGTCAACCGGAAGTACCCTATAGGTTTTGGGTCGAAAACCTATTTGGTAGTTTCCGTTGACATAGAATCACGAAATTTGGCAAAAAGAAACTTCTTACAGCACAAATAAAGAAAAAATTCCAAAAAATAAAAAAGTTGAAAATTAAGATAAATTTTGGTACTTACAATTTTTTTTCGAAAAACTACGTAAAATGTGGGTAGGTACGGAACCCTCGGCGCACGAGTTCGACTCGTACCTGACCGGTTTTTTTTTAATTTGAATTTCATATTATTCACCTGACAAGCAGGCGCTGCAGGGGTATTGCTAACAGGCACCCTATTGTTACAGATCGAGTCTTTACTTGCGACTTTTAGGTTCTAATCATCATCTCGCTGCCCCTAATCTAGTTTTATCAATCAGGGGATCGGTAAAGCATGTCCCCGGATGACTCGCTTTTCTTCTCTGCCTATGTATTGTCTCTATGACTTCCCTCAAAAAATGGTAAAATGGTGATAAATTAAAAGGGGTTTTTTACGGACTCTAAAGAACATTGGCCAAATTGTACCAAAGCATGGCCACATATTTCACATATATCAAAAACTACGTTATTTTTTACGCTCTTAAAAAAAGGAAATATCTCCAATTCCACAAGAAAGTCATGGAGTAGAGTTGGATTAGGAAATGCTAGAAGACAGACTGACAAAGAGATAACGAAATCTTTCCTACAAGATGAAAATGAGACCTACAAGGTGCACGCAATGAACCTAGAAATGCAGAATGAATGGTTAACTCTAGGAGAATTTTGTATCCCATCAGCTTTCAATTAGTCGATTGGTCACCTGCTCTTTTAAAATTTTACCACAACGCCTTTCAATTAACTCTCTGGGGAACGGGGAAAATATACAGAAAAGGCTTGTACGGTGTGCAGTGCAGAAATAGGTACAGCCAGGCGCTTACTGACAGGTTGTAAGGCGGCTTAGACCGGGGTCATTATTCACGTCACCTTGATAAGGTATTACAAATCATACGCGAAGCTATGGGTTTATCACTGGTCAGAGCGAAAAAAGGAATAACCACAAACAAAAGAACTAGCATCGAATTTGTAAAGAAGTGCCCAAAAAAGAAAAGACTTCACAAAAGCCGTATTTAAATATAAATACCGCCAGTGACTGCTTGGTGGTATTAGTGGATACGTACACTACAGAATATCGGAAGATATCTGTACCTCGGCGTCCAGATCGGACATTTTTCTTCATGCAATGTCAATCAAGCGTGTAGTACTAGTAGAACTCGCGGTGCTGTGGGAAACTAATATCCCTATAGACTACGCTTTAAAAAGAAACAAGTACTTTGACTCAACCAAATAACTAAAACTTGCTATTTCGTTGCATTAAATATTGTTAGGTAGAGGGGTTAACACAGCAGACATTGGAGGTGAGCGCTGACGCGTCGCAAGGAGTAGTCACTAAACCTATTTCTGGGTGGCAATTCCCAGGAGCTGTTGAAGTCGCATGTGTTGCCCCCATCTATCACGCGATGAACCCGGCACCCGCACGGTGAATCCATGGAACGCTAAGAAATAAGTCTATCATTAGGAAGCAACAAAAAATATATTCATTTATTAAAATAAACGTTACATTTTTTAGAATGGAAAAGGTTAATGTTTAGAATGCAACTTCACACGTCAGTGACGTTTCATTTCACCTATAAAGAAAAGTTATCAAAATTATCCTATTTGTTCTTCATTTGTAGGGGTGTTTTTGGGGCACAGATATAATTTTTATTGCCAAAAGTGTAGTTAACATAACAAACTGGGCTGAAGTAGGCGGTCATTAGCACTGTATTGATCAACACACACTTTTACAAACAATAACTTAACTAAAATTCCTTGGTCGCACCAGAATATCGCTTCGATGTTTTGCCGCTGTCTCGTAAAACATGCTGTGTCGTACGGCCAACCCGCTCCGCTTATATGCAATACGACACAGCACTGAAATTACTGGAGTAATCCCGAGGATCCGATAGCACGCTCCAGACAGACCCACGTATAAGGAGTTATATATATATATATATATATATATATATATATATATATATATATATATATATATATATATATATTAAGGAGTCCACAGCGTTCTTTTCACCATAATAATCCGATATTCGACACTAGATGGCGCATCAAGTATTGGAATAATGAATCATAATTCCTAAAAGATTTTCGCCCAATCTGAGAAATACACGTTAGCCCAATTTTCCTTGTTGGTATTTTTAGCTATATTTGTGATATACCACGTACAGTATGTGGAATATAACTTTTAAGAAAAAAAGCCTAAATGAAAATTCATACAAGTATTATTATTTTAAATGATTATCGATGTTTTGCGTTTATATAATATTGATGATAGTAAATTTATTTGTGATCATTATTGATTATTTTCACCATGGCTTTGCAGACACCTCAACCTTAAACGTCAACTGTCAAAATGTGCCCTTTGAAGATTTGGACTTTATTATAATAATTTTTTGTTTTCTTTGGTAGCTATTGACCAATATGAACATAGACATATTAGCATAGAGAGAATTCGAGGTACAGCTGCCTGTAAGTAGAAACGATATAGGCAACGAGAGAAATGGATACCCGATATTTCCTTCTGTCTTTGTTTAACTAGTTAACTGCTAATGTTAGTGTTTAACTTTGTTTAACTGTGTTAGTGTGTAACTTTGTTTAAGTAGGCATGGTTTTGATCGTAGAACAGGCGGGTGATTAGAAATTTCCTCAGCCAACCACAAAGCTCGACTAGAAAGAGATAGAGGGAACTATCTATTATCCATCTCTCTCGTTGCCTATATTGCAAGATTGGGGCTTCTGTCCACTCTATGCTTAAATCTCTATGGGTAAATAGCTATCACTTCTCTATGGTAGGTTTAGGTGTAAATAGGGATACGCACAATTTCAAAAGTATTGATACTTTACTCAATATCCAGCAGTATCCGATCAAAAGTTTCGATTTGAAATAAGTATAAAAAGTTACCGTTAATTAAGATATCGTCGATATCGAAATAGTTACTTAAAAAATATTCGATACCTGAAGGTAATACATTTGTCGAAAACCTGAATGGAGTGTTGTTTGTGTGCCTAAGTTTGGCAAAAAAACGTAGTCTGCATCATTTTCATTTCTTTTTATATACCTCCACATTTGCCTGATTTCTCGGATTGATTTAACTTTAAATGCAAGTACGAGTAATATATTAAGTATACGTTTTTATTTTGAGTAAGACGAAACGAAGTATAATTTCGTACGGTAGACACCTTCTCTGCAACCATAGGAATCGTAATAATAAGACACTAGCAGTCGCATAGACCCTTGACCTTGTCGTCGCAATGATGTATAGACAAACACCACTTACAGAAATTCACACAAATTATGTGAATTTATATTGTTAAAATGGTGAACTGCCGCATAATAGGCTATGCAAACGCATCAAGGACATGTAATTTAAATAATAAAGGCATAATATTTCACCGGTAAGTTTTTTTTTACTAAAAAATCATTGTTTTTACTAATTTACATTTCGATGAATACTTTTAATAAGATATCTGCCTTTGTAAACATTCATTTATTACTTTCCCCTTTTATAAAAACAAAAGCAGCAATTGTAATTGTATTACCATTGCTGCTTTTGTTTTTATTGCATGCGATGTTGACAAATTAGCCAAGCAATGTAATATGAAATATTAGATATCGTTATGCATTGCGTATGCTTATAATACGGCTATGTAGGCATTGGTCGCTAGTTAGTGATGTAAACGTACGATTTATTTGAATGCATGATGTAGTAAAAAGGGAACGTAAAAAAAACAAAACGAAATATGCAGTTAAAATATTCTTAATAGTAGTAGTATTCTTATAAGTAATAGTAATTATACAATAATTTCTTTATGGATTTAATTATTTGTTTAAGTTTACAAATTATAGTTAAATGTTTAGCATGATGATAAATGTAAAAAAATGTCATCTTTTTAGGAAGCATAAATAAGTATATTATTATTCATCACATGGACATAATTAATGTCTAGGTTCCCAAAAGATTCTAATGCTAAATAAAAAAAAAAAAAAAAAAAAACTGCATTTTATCGGTCAATAAACTTACTTTTTAGTAACTTATTCTCAGCTTAATATAAATCTAATTGTTACGAGAAGGAACTATTTATTTTATTAGTAGCATTTTTTTTAAATATTTGTTTCAGGGAGTTTTCGTTTTTTTAAATATTGTTTTAATCATTAGATTTTTTTAATTTTTAATTGTTTCATCAGTGTACGCTGTCACCTGGATTAATAAAATATTTTAACTGTTAGCTAGGTTAGCTTGATTTTAAAGATAAGGTACCATTAATTTATAAGTATCGTTAGTGTCGTTAGTGTTAAAATATTACAAAAACAACAAAAAGTAGCACTGATAACCATAGATGTATACTGTATACATCTATGGTTTTCAGTGCTACTTGTAATCCATTTTATTTTAATGTAAAAAAAAATATCGATGCCTTTAAAAAAATTAGTCAATCTCTAGGATTGTTTACAATGTGTATTGTTTGAGCTGAGATGTGATGATGTGAATCACATCATCGAAAGTGATTGTTATCTTACATGAATGTGGCAACATCGGTTTTGGAAGTTAAGCTAAAATTCATTTCTAGTGTCTTATTATTACGATTTCTGTGTCTACAACTCACATAATTTTGGTGACTTAGTGTTGCTATTTGTTATTTCAGGCATATAATAGAGAAGTACTTTTCTATAACTAAGGAATTGAAAGATGCTGTGTAAATAAAGCAATAATATCATTAAGGGCTAAAACTTTCAGAAAACTGAATTAGTGAAATAGTTTAAAAGACACAGATTCAACCCTTAAAGGTAAAACTATCGCATATCGTATTACAGCCAGCCGAGTGGCATAGGCCAATATTGCGGTTTTACTTACATCATGGTTTCATAAAACCACACCAAGCTTTTTGTTATTTTCCTTAAACTAATAATTTATTGGTAATGTGGAGAACAAAAGTAGTGATACTTGTATAAAGTATCGATACCTTGAAAGTATCGGATCAAAGGTATCAATCCGAAAAGTACTTGGAATCGAGTTACAAGAATCGATACCCTGAGGTATCAATACTTTTTGCGTTTCCCTAGGTGTAAAAATTTCTGAGAGTTGGTAAAACTGCCATTACGCGTCTTCAAAAACCAGCATCAGCTTAACAAAATGGCGTTCATCATTCTCTCTTGGCTTGGCGAGCGCGAGTGAATAGAATTTATGTGTATTACGTCTTTTTTTTAAATTTGTCATTCTGTTCATTTAGTTTAAAAATTTTCATTGTAGTTGTACATCTGGGGATATATAACAGTAGCACGTGCTGTGTCGTTTCCGTTGACTAACGTAAGAAAGTTTATCATGAGTAATTACGAGGATGATCAAAGTGAAGATGGAGAATTAGCGCGTAGTCCTGTTCGGGACGAAATGGATTTTAGGTAAATCTTATATATTCTTTAATACACTTTCGTAATTTATATGTAGTGTCTATAGTTATTTTATCAGAGGTAAGTTTTTAATATGTATAGTAATCAAAGAATGCCATTACTCATGTCCTTTATACTGGCTAATGCTCGTGTTAATTAAAGATCTTCGTTCATATCTACAGCTCCACGACTTTTCTTTTCGGAAATTACCAGCAATTAATGCGTATCATATCACACATTGCTAAAGATAATCCTGCAAGGTTTTTCTCCGTGTGCCACGCGATGTAGGAATTGTCCTTAAATTCCCAATGCCCGTGGACTTTATTTGATTGGGACAGGTGCTCTATTAGAAGTATGAAATTAATGAATGTTAGTGCAAATAAATGTAAAATGATTTTGTTTACAATTCTGTATTAAATACGTCATTTGAAATTGTTTTTAGGAATTAAGGAATAATGATTTTGTTTACAATTTTGTATTAAATACAGTCAGCGTTTAAAATTGTTTTTAGTAATTAAAGAGGTTGAAAGATAGCTAAATTCGTAGAACGATAATAGTTTAAAAAAAATGGGTTTAGCTATGTTCTAGTGGCCAGTGTTTCGTTTAAATACTATGAACATTGGCAGTGAACTGGTAACCTATCAATAATTAGCTGCAATGTTGTCATAATGTATGGCTCTTTTTATAGGTGGGCTAATTCATTAGGGAAGGTACAATTTATTTTTTGAATGCTACTGATAAATTTCTTGCCTTAATTTTAGTTTGTCTGATGAAGATCGTGACAATGCTGATTCTTTAGTGATCAAACCGCCTCAAGCTGTAATTCGGTCGACACACAGAGACAAGAGGGCTCACAAAAGAGCTGTCAAGGATAGGTATAAAGACAATAGCAGAAAAGAAAAAAAACATCTTTACAGGTAATTATTTTTTAATTTTTAACATTAATTCATAAAAATGTGCAACAGTGCATGTTCACACATGGTCATATTTAGAAGATTGAAAAAAAGGTGAGATTACCAAAAAACCTGGTTATTTATTATGCTTTTATTGAAGTAGACAGTTAAATTAACTTAAAATTCACTGGAAGTAAAAACCAATTTACTGATATTTATATCTTAGTGATGTCATTTAAAGAAATAAAAAATCACAACTTATCATATTGAGTAGGAATAAGAAGCCGGCAGGTACAAACACTGCTCTTCCAGCTGATTTAGGTCTTATGGTTTTAGTGCCAACTGTCACATCTCAAACTTCCTGGAGCGTAGCTCTGACCTCAGAAGCTAACACACTGCTTACAATAAATCTGTCATCGATAGCTGTGGTTACTTTTTTCTACCTTGCCCTCTGCATCTCATTTACTTTCCTGTTCGCCAGTATAATTTCACATTGCGGAAAACAACAGACTTAGAAAATTGCAACATTGGAGCCACTTCTTGGTAAGTGTAACCATGTTTCATTAAAGTTATAGCTTTAGACACATGAGCTTTCCTGAAATCTGGCATTATCACTTCAATCTTTTAAATAATTTTTTAAAATACATAATTATTATTAGCTAGCAAAAATCTCGAAAATAAGACTATTGAAATGTTTTTTTCAAAGTACATCATGCTGATATAGGTGGCCAATGCATAAGGAGAACATTACAAACATAATCAAAACTTTTGCGTTAATCTAAATATGTCCATGTGTGTATTATGACATAGTTTATCTATTTTATATTCTGTTTGTAATAGTATTCATGTTATGTCTTTGTGTTGATAGCATTTTATATGTCTAATATTATGTGATTTAAGGTCTGTCATCCTACTGACATTGGGAATATTGTAGATCAATCATAAACCTTTTTCAACAGGGACCGTGATAAGTCTGACAAATCAAAAAGAGAGCTGAATAAAAATGCTGACCGTGAGGAGATAGCCAAAGAATATTATAGAGAAAAACAATATTATAGGGAAAAAGAAATGTATAGAGAAAAAGAAACATTTAGGGACAAGGACACATACAGAGAAAAAGAGTCATATAGAGATAAAGAAATGTATAGGGATGGTAAAGAAATGTACAGGGAAAAGGAGATTAGAGAAAAGGCACTGTACCGTGAAAGGGAAATGAGAGACAAAGATATGTATAAAGACAAAGAGATGTACAGAGAGAAAGACGTGTACAGAGAAAGAGACCATTACAATAGAGAGAGAGAACTATATAGAGATAACAATTCCTATAGAGAAACAGCTCGATCTAGAGAAGTTTATAGAGAAAAAGATATGCAAAGGGATGTTTACTTAGGAAGAGACAGACAGTATAATAAATATGTTGAATCAGAACAGAAACGTCCCGATGAAAGAATAGAATCTAGATTAAGGTCATTAGCTGAAGAAAGTCACACAAACCATGGTAATGAAAAAGAAAACAGGGACCGTACCTCAGCTGATAGAGAGTTAGAAGATTTAAGAACTAGGCTATTAAATAAAAGAATATCCAAGGAATTACAAACTCAGGATAATAAGAAAGGTTTAGAATATCATGAAAAGGAATCCAAATCAAGTTCTCGCCATTCCACAATGGAGTCAAGTACAAGGCACTCTGCACTAGACAAACACCAAGAAAATAGAAAAAATAAAGTTTTGTTTGCAGGTAAGAATTCATCGCCATATTTATCAAATTCTAAAACAAAATTTATGATTTTGCACTAATATATTTATTGCCTAATTTTAGAGAAGGAAAGAGAAAAAAGAAAACACGAATCTCGTAGTGAACTAGAAGCTCGTCGTGAACAACACAGGCGACGTGGGAAAAAACGCACTGTATCCCCAGATGAAACTACCATAAAAAAACATAAAACTGATAACTCTCCTAACTATGGTGACTCTGTTGTTACAGTATCGGATTCCAGTGATGTGGAAATGAAAAGTGATTCTCATTCGGAACCTGAAGATGGTATGTATTGAAAATTTGAAAATTTAAAATTAATTAGAATCTATTAAATATTTGTAATGTTCTAATTGATCATTGTCTTATCAGGTGAACATACAAACAGTGAAACAGAGGATGATAGCTCAAGTACTGACTCGGACTCAGCAGCAGAATCTAAGTCAGAAGAAGAAGAGTCAGTAGAACAAAAAGAAGATACTAAGTTTGATAAAGAGGAAAGGGAAAAGGAGAAAACTAGACCACCATCTAAATCAAAATCTCCTAGCCCCACGCTAAATCAAGAATCACCATTATCTCATGAATCTGTAAGGTGTGTTGGTTATTCATTTAAAATAAATAAGTAAAATTTGTCTTGTGCTTGTCTTTCTTATTTTTAACCGACTTCAAAAACACAAAATAGGAGGTTATCAATTCGTCTGTATTTTTTTGTATGTTGTTATGCGATATCTCCGTCAATTGTAACTTGATTTTCAATATTTTTTTTGTAATTGAAAGGGTATGCTTCTTAGATGGTCCCATTACCACCAAATCAGGATCGGAAGATGAGTTCCTAGTGAAATCGAGGGAAACCCTCAAATTTTACAGGCCCGAGAACGTGTTTTAGCTTTTTTCTCTAGCATTTGCGTTAATTAGTCGTTATGTCATGTTGCTGAGCTGATGATGAAAGGATCCTTTAGGAGTTAGAAAATAACTATTTCAAGAATGTATTCTTTCAAGATATTTGTTAGGTGTTTGTGTGGGGTTACAGAGATATGTGGACAAGATAGTAAAAAGTGAGATTACAAAACATTTAGACAAAAAAAATTTTTGTTACATAAATATTTTTTATAGCTCTAACCTGACCTGATTATGTTACCTGTTATATTGAGGGTACTTATTATAGTTTTTTTTAATTAGATTTATAATTGTTTTAATTTTTAGTGCTAGTTCAACTTTTTTTATTTAAAAGATTTATTCCATAAAACAAGAGCATTGCTTTTACATAGTCAGATTTCTGTTTTGTTTAAATTTTATATATTACCATTTTCACTACTGTATTGTAGGTCCCTGTCTAGATCCAAGAGCAGAAGTAGATCACATTCCTTTTCACCTCCACCCCCTGGAGAAAATGGCAAAAGTGTAGAAGAAGAAACAGCTGTTGTAAATGATGAGGAAGAAAGAATGAGAGAAGAAGCTATTAATGCTATGCCACCTTACTACCCAGCCCTACAGGTAAAAAATATTTTTAATTGAACCTTAAAAAACATGACATTGTTACTTTTATTATTGGCTATTTTACACAAGAACATACAGAGTTGCGAGCCTGTCATAAAAATTTAATTTTGTAGTTTTTGATTGTTTAAAAAAAAAATTGTGTAGCATTGTTGTGTCTAACTAAAACTAAACTCTAAGAAAGCTATTTGTTGTTTTAATGCTATTATTATTTTTAAATAGACTAATATAACAGGCAAGATTTTAGGTGCAATATTGTAAAGGAATATGTTAGGAATATGTACCATGTGCAAACATGTGCCATGACCACATTTAAGAAAATAGGATGATACCAAAGCGACCACATCTCTCAATTTTATTAGTCAGCTTTAAAGTAATTTGGCTAAAGAGGACTGTTTTTTCACCATGTGAGAAAGAACAGAAAATGCAATCTTAATGAAGTGCTTTATTTCTTAATAAAGAGCTACAAATTTATTTATTTATTTACTTCAGTTAGAAAAACCAACAGCTACAAAAATGATAATGGTCAGATTGACATGCTACATTAAGCCCATTACATTAATTTATACAATAAATAATAATAGATCTAAAAATGTTATGATTGGAAAAATGTAAGGTTTAGCATACTCAATACACATTGCTTTTGGTATTAAAGGGATCTAAAGATATGGGGATATGGTCAACAAAAAGAAATTCTATACATCAACTATGAAGTTGTTTGTGTGTTTGTTTTTAAACTGTGATCTGAATTGTTTAATCATTATATTAATTATTGATATTATTCTTATAATACTTTATAGGGTTGTCGATCTGTTGAGGAGTTTCAATGCCTCAATAGAATAGAGGAAGGAACCTATGGAGTTGTTTACAGAGCCAGAGACAAAACGACTGATGAAATTGTGGCTCTCAAACGACTCAAAATGGAAAAGGAGAAAGAAGGATTCCCAATTACTTCTCTGAGAGAAATAAACACATTACTTAAGGTAGGATCACAATCTCAATTTTATATACTCTAAGCTCACTTGAGCCATCACATTTGCATCACTGCTCTTTTATTAAAGGTACTATTTTTGATTGTTTTGTAACAATTATCCTAGATAGTGATTGAGCCTTGAGCTGTGAAGCACTCGATGGCTCTTGTGTAAAATTCATGTCATTAATGCCTTGTATTTTATTCCTACAGGCCCGGCACCTCTTACCTGCAAGAGGGTTAGCTAGAGGTGTGACCCGATTGCAAGGGTAACAACTTCAATACACGGGCGGGCCTAAGTATCTTATAAGGAATTTATTCCAGGGGAAAACCTTACAATGCTTTCTTCTTATTGCATTCCGAGATCTGAGAGTTTGATGACCTACAAAAGTAATTTTTCAATATACAATGCTTAGAATACGAACATCGAAGGTTATGGTTACAATGCAAGTGTTGAATATGTGAATGAACATCAAGATTATCACCAACGATCATAGTATCAACATGACATCAGTGTATAGAGGTAAAATTAGGCATTATACTTAAGATTTTCAAAGGAAGTGTCTCAATACCTTGTAACTGAAAAACCCTATTTTACCAAAAGGCTCATGTATTCTGTTTAGAAATTATCTCTAAGGCTGAAATCTTAGTATGTCATGTCATACGTAAATGAGTTATATTTATATAAACTATTTATATGCATAAGTCAGCAATCATATACTACATAGAAAACACTTAGTAAAAGATGACATTCATGTAGAAACAATCTCGCCTATGAACGCATAAATATTGGGTAAACAATGATCTTTAAAACAAAATGGAGGGAAATAGGGAGAATAACCTAATTTACCTTCTTAAAAATAAAAGTCCAATTTAATGCCTAATCTGATGAAGTGACATATCGCACCCTCAGTAGTTTAAGGAGTCAAGTCAAAATTTTTGTAGTGTGATTTTAAATGTTAAGGGCTGTTTAAATGTTAATATCGGTTAGCACTGACAGAGAAAAAAGAATAATAATGACTCGGTAAATATATTTGTGCCTGCCCCCGCTCGTCTCCCGTTTGATACAAGGTCAAAAGCAGTAACGTGTCCATATTCGCCGAAAGCGAACCGTCAAAACTTTGTTCTATTCGTGTTTGTGCAAAAAAAAAATAGGTGAGTTTTATTTTAAACTTTTTGTATTAAATAGAACAATTTATATTTGAGCCTTTATATCATACAAAATTTAGTAAATTTTTGGGTCTGATTCATAATAGACCGCTATATTGACAAAAAGTGAAGATGTTTTTTTGTAATATATGGGCTTAAGTTTGAAAGTGATTTTTCAATCACTTGTAATTCATGGAATTTATTTATATTACATATTTTTTTCATGGCTATTTAAAGTCAAAGTTTCACATTTATAACTTAAATTAATATTTAAATAAAACAAGAAGAATTTAAGTAAGAATCCAGAATCTTTAAAACGCGATTGCTCAAAATACTACTTTTTAAATTATGCCTTTATATTACCAAGGGTGTGATATGTTTATCTTAGCTTTAACCTCAATCTTTCGATCCCTGTACGATCTGTCTGTGAGCAATAAATATGAGCATTATTGCGGAATTTATACGTTCTTAAAACCGGGGCATACCTATTGTCTTATTTTTGGACAGCAAATTGCAAAGTCAATGTGTTATTAACCTCTCCGATAAGAGTATAATTCCTAAAACCATACTCTTATTTCTATAACCCGTTTTACAAAAATCAACTGCTTAGTCTGTGATACTAGCGATGTAGTTTGCGAATAGTGTCCCGTTTTTTACGTCAATAAATAAAATAAAATTTTAGTCATTTACGCCTCAGCAAAAAATCTGTCTCGTACGGGCAGTATCAAGAGAGAGCTGATACTTTTTTTTATGAAAGTAGATTAAATGCTGTTGATATGATATCACTGCGGATGATGTGCGGAGTAAGTTTTGGTATCCAAAAGAGGAATGGATATATTAGAGAACAGTGTAGCTTAAAAGAGAATGTACTGACGAAAATTGAAACTGAGAAAAAATCTTACTGGGGGTTCAGGTTCAAAATGTCTAACTTTTATAAAATGTCCAAATCCCAGTGTTCAAATCTTAAAATGTTCAAATCTTAAAATGTCCAAATCTCAAAATGTCCAAATCCCAGTGTTCAAATCTTAAAATGTCCAAATCCCAAATGGCCAAATCTCAAAATGTCCAAATCCCAAATGGCCAAATCTCAAAATGTCCAAATCCCAAAATGACAAATTCTTCGAAAATCGCAATAATAACCTAACCTGGAGGCAGATTAGGTTAGTATTGCGATTTGGAAGAATTGGAAATTTTGAGAATTGCAGTTTGTTGTATTTGGATGTTTCGAAACTGTTGGACATTTTGACCCTGAACGTCACTCAGGTGGTCTAAGCAGGAATAGCGTAGTATGACTGACTGACAAGTATTCTACTACGTTATACGTATATAAATTGGTGATGTTCCGAAGACATGACTGTACAGAAGTATCCGAAGCTGGTTTGTGTGAAAGATGAATTGTGACACATAAGGAAACTCGAGAGGTATATTTAGAGGATAAACGAAAGCGGCGGCTACTCCGAAGAGAAATCGTCGGTAGCGGTATTCTCTTATAAAGAATGATTTGTGAAAGATTTGTCGTACATGGCATATAATTTTTTTTTATGGAATAAAAATGTGTGTAACGTATGTATGGAATAAAAATGTAAATATGTATATACACATATATCCCTTTGAAGATTCAGTAGAGGAATCCTAGTAGAAAGATCGTCAGAAGATAGGTAATGTTACACTACAGTAACATTTAAGCAATAAAGTGATGTATGATGTGATGTTAGGGTCCTCTTATCAAATAATGCCTGGATTCCCTAGAATCTCTCTTTATTTATTTTACTTATTTTATTTCACTTACATTCGAAAGTTAACAAAGCAAGTCACTAAAACTTTTGGTTAAAGATTTTTATGCCTTTATAACGTTAGAAATTTAAAACATCTACCCATTTTTTTGTATCGTACAGGGCCTCAATTCTGCTATTTTATGTTCACGCCAAGCCACTGACACGCTATTGAGATGCCATCGAGTGGCCATTGGCATCGGTATAATTATCGGTAGTTGAAAATATATTACGTTTTTTGAGGAAATGATTTATTTATTTTTATTATAATAAATAACCGATGCCAATGGCCACTCGATGGCATCTCAATAGCGTGTCAGTGGACTGACAGTGGCTTGGCGTAAACATAAAATAGCAGAATTGAGGCCCAGATCGGTCTGTATGAATTATTAAGTGTCAATGTATTCGCTAATTAATCGACCTTCTGGGCCGAGAGTTCCGGCCAAATGCGATTCTTAATTGCAATGCCAGTAGTTATGGTAAGGAGATGCAGAAGATATTCTTATGACAAATGAACGTACGAAACATTTTCACATATAAATTTATATGAATCGACAGATGTTCCTGCCAAGATTTTAAAACAGTAAAGTTCATAATAAAAATCAATTTTCCCCGAATTGCCTTATATTTCCGGATATACCTTTCTAATAAATTACAAATTAAATTAAAAAAAAAATGGACAACCGTTCTCACGTTTTTGCCTTTACCGGCATAAAAGATATCGTTATTTTTCTGTTTAGTTTGCGTGCTCTGTTTATTTAAGTGCTATTGTTCATTTGAGACTTCAGTTTTATTAAAAATAAAACCTGTCCGTTAGCAGTCATTTAGGTTGTAAGAAACCGTGTACTATCCGAAATAGTAGATTCAGGTCATTATTCTTAGTACTTTTTTTTAAATTAGGTAAAAAAGTGCTGCTCAAACGCAGACGTATGTATGTTTTTGACAAGTACTCAAGTAGCAAAGTACCACCATTGCCGTCGCAAAATCGCCTTGTTACGTCATTAGTAGTAGTGAAATTGAGTGACATTTGTTTCGGGAAAGTATCCACAGAAAAAGATAAATAAGATTGTGTAAGATTTCATTACACCTTGACCTTTGATTAATGAAACAAATTTATATTAAATTTGGAAAATAAAAATCTCGATTGTCAGTGCTTTGTATTTGGAAATTTTACCGTGCTAATGCCATGTTTAGCACATAATTACATACATACATTCATAAAATTCAATTCAAAGTTTCAGTTTTTCTAAAATGTTTTTTAACACCATGAAATAGGAGCCCTGCTATTATGTCGTATGGCTGTGTAAACTAAAAAGAATCAGTGTCAATTGTCAACTGATCATCACAGCCAACTGTCTCAATCATGACATCAATATGTAGTCCACTGTATCCAGCATTTTAGTGGAATTACGCGCGAAATTTGAAAACGTAAAATTTGAATGTATTTTTATGGCACTCGTCGATGGATTAAAAAAATTGTTTTTTTTGGTGGTTAGACATAACTTTTTACGAGTGTTGCCTTTTTACGAGTGAGTAACTCACTCAACCGGAGGTCCGCGGAACCGAACCCCGCCCACCGTAATTCTTGCGGGGTCACTCAGACTGATAACTAGTTGCAAAAAATCAATTATACTTTACTATATGAATTATATACTTCTAGTATTAATTCAATAAACTTCAAATATTTTAGTTATTTTTTAAATGTCAGAGCGGCTATACAGCAGCATAGGTACGCGGTAACGAAAACTTACAGAACGCCTGTACTAAATGAGCGTGTGTATGTTGTTTTGTTATTACTGGTGCACTAAGATTCAAAATCTAGTCAATATATGCCTGTCAGTAGTTCGAAGTATATTTCTTTTGTCATTCTGTACATAAGAAAACATTTTGTATTGTCATGCGAAATATGTAGTGAAAACTTAATATTATTTCAATATAAGAGAGACGCAAATAACGTTTTCTTTTCTTACCTAAATGCAGATAAAAATGCCATTCCAAAATATCATCAACACTTGAAGACGACGTTATGTAGCGACGATACAAGCGCATGCTCGTTCACCGAAACGATAACATTGTGTCGTAATAAAGCATATCGATGCCGGGCCGCTGTCTTACTGACGAGTCAGGAAACGGCCTTAATTAGTTAAAACGCGTTAGTTAACTATTATATTTTTGTTGAAAACCGATACTGTGATAACCTTAAATTTACAAATATAATAAAAATAGAAAAGTTGTATCATCAACAGCCTATAATAATCCACTGCTGGACTTAGGCCTCTCCTTAGAAAGGAGGTTTTGGCCTACTATACCACGCTGGTCAGACGGGTTGATATAGGGTTTGTTTCAAGTTTTCCTTTTCGTAGTGCTGTTGTCCTGTGCCGTTTGTTCCCTTAGTCGGCTCTTACGACACCCACGGGATGAATCGGGGTGGTGACATTCCGTATTTTTAATCCGTCACCACACGGAAAAATTGTATAATTATATAACATTAATCGATATCTAGACCTAAACTAATCAGAGATAATACATATAACCATAATACAAACTGCTAAGTTTTGTTTACATGTTTTTTTTGTAAAGCCATACCAAAACTGCTTTTATAAGACTATTTTTATATTTTTATCATAAAAGATTCGGTTTAGTTTCGCGAACATACGACTTAAAATAAATTAACCCTTACAAAAAATCTCATTTTTACGTAAAATAACGGGAAAGTTACGTGAAGAAATGTAAAGGATCGTGTTGTGTCGTGATTTTGGTAAACCTTTACTTGATGTACATTACATTTTATTTTATTTTTCAAAAAAAAAAACAACGACCGGGGACTGTACAAACATACATGAAAAGGATACATTAAATTCTATGTCCGTAAATAAGATGGACTTCGTTGAAGATTAATTTGAATTTATTCTAACGCCATTGGCATTGCACAGGTATGAATTAGTTACCTTTCGATAAGATGCTAGTGTTAATATTTATATAAATTTAGTATTTGATCTCTCAACAATTTTTTTAAATAATTCTTTAACAATTGTTTAATATTTAGTATTTTTAGGTTTTGATAATTGTTCTTATGCAGATGACAAATGATGTATTACAAAAAAAAATCCAACGCAAGTTTATAAATCAAGACTTTCTAAATTCTTTGTTTAAAAGTTATGATAGTGTTGAAGCATGGTGATTATACCTTGACCTGATGACGAGATTTTCATATTATTGTAATATCATAGAAGTCAAATCGACTTTAAATAGTAAAATCGACTGGACTGGAAGTTAGATCAAGCATTGGAAAAAAGATGATCTTGAAACGATATGAACGCTCTTGACGGTTTCGACCCTTAATTTATTTTTTTATAGCTCACTTATTCATATAAAAAATCATACAAAACCACTATAATATTGTCCTCCTAAATACATTTACTGTAGCTGTAGTTAAATAATTTGTACAGAATGATAAAGCACTTTTTATTGCTAGTTGAACAACTTATACGGGCTACTGTCTCAGTGCTTTCATCACCGGTTATTAGAATAATAATAGTAATTGTCTAGAAAAGCAAATTCATTCAAAAGGTGAACCATTTTCCTTTTTCAAACTCGTTGAGCATCTCGAGACAAGGTGAGTAAACCACCAGGAGATCTATTAGGGTTTTTCGTTTACATCGTTTTATAATGTTACTAGCTGATCCTGCAAACGTTGTTTTGCTATTTACATTATTTAAAAAAATCTTCTTTTTTTAATTCTTAAAATCCGTACTTAGCTGACCTCTACTCGGTGAAAAGAATATTCCTACCAAATTTCAAGTCTTTAGCTCTAATGGTTCCAGAGATATCGTGATGAGTGACTATATACGTGGAAATCTCTTATATATATATATATATATAGATTGATTTTCTTTTTTTACTACTTTACATATTTCTTAATTTACTAAAGTTTTAGTAATAACAACAAGATTACTTAGGAGCTTTTTAATAAAATAAGTTCATTAATTACATTTGAAGTACCATTTTCAGAAACAAGCGATGCATTTTTAGTTCAATTTAGCTTCAAGGAGATCTTTAAGTTGTGCTAGTAGGCCAAGGCCTCCTTTCCAGAGAGAGGCCTATGTCCAGCAGTGGACTATTAAAGGGTGTTGATGTGTGTGATGTGCTCAGTGGCATAATCAGCTGGGTTATTAGACTTAATTATAAATTAACTAATTCTCACCCTAAGACTTCCTTTGTTTATATTAATAGACAAATTCAAATGAATGATCCATTCATATCAATCCACGGTAGATCCGTCTAGATGTAATTTTTAAATATATGCCAGGGGATTTTACTCATCAAAACTTATTTTCGAGATCCTCAAAGATCATCATCATCATCATCATCATCATCTTTTTAAGATGTAAAGAAGAAAACTCGCATCCCGTAGTTGAGAATTGAGTTGTGGGGCTGAGTAGTACTTTTTTTACCTGGTTTGCGAATAGCCCGATCTGAAATATTATCGAGGTCTAAGACGATGTTGCGTCACTAACTCTTCTTTTGTAGTCCTTGTAGAGGAGGGTCAATTTTTTCTTAAATAAAGAATTAGCTACCCTCTGTATGTTTCTATGTCTTAAATTATAAATTGTCGAAGAAAAGAAGAAGCGCATTTGCAGACTTCAGCATTTCAATCTATTTGTTGATTCTGTCATATACCCAGTCGTGGATTTCCGCCTCAGTTTTTTTTTATGAATGTATCTTTGCTTTATTGAAAGCATTTATTAGGTTGTAGTAATTGATAAAACAGAACGAATTGTACTAACAGATTGTGACATATAGACCTGTTATTTTAAGTAAAACATGCGGAGACTGTTTATAATATATTTACATTTGCTTTTCGTACAGAATAGCATCGGTATTTACTACCACTACTACTTCCTAGTTATATTACTTCCTATTGCTCTATCATGGTAGAATATTTGAAGTGCATCGTATCGTTGTAAGTATTGTAGGATTCATATCCCTTGATGTCAATATTATTGTTCATTTAGATATTTTTCATTTAAAATGTGTTTAAGTGCTATATAACTTTCGATGTTCGTATGCATTATCTTAAGTGTGGTTGGTAAAATATACATATTTCGTATTTGTGTGATACCAATAACAAGGAAAAGAGCGCTGGCTCACAAGGGTTCGTTTCGCTAATCTCAAGATCTGTCTATTACTTTTCTCTTATTATTACCAAGTGTACACCATTTTGAAGTGTAGCAGATATGAGATCAGTAAAATTAAAACATGGTTCCCAAACTTTATCCTTTCATAAAACTAAACGGTTTTGTGCGTAAAGGTAGAAAGACATTAGTCTTTCACTTCTAGTTTTTACAATTTCTGAGATCAGGGTGCTCAGAGATTACATGGGTCATGACCATTTGCTTTTGCTGATCATGTTATGGAGATGTTGGTATAAAATATGTTCCTCAATAATGTCAATGCTATGGTTTTAGATAAGTCACATACATGTTCGTACGCCGCTTTTTAACTAAGATATTTTAATGTAATAAATATAATAGATGAGAGATTGATGTGAAAGAATTCTTTCACAACATTTGTTTCTATATTTAATATCGTTGCCGCATATTAATTGTGATTGAATCGGGGTGATCTGTTTAATAAATTATATTTACGGTTTATTTAAATATGCTACGATTTTTATGTATATGTTTTAATAAACTGTATGCTTATATAATATTATCTCCATGTCTCTTGTTACTGGCATATCGAATCTTATCATTTTTGTTTTCTATAGATAATTACAATAATTATACATTGAAGCCAGAAAATGCAATGTTAAACTGTAACTGTTGTCATTGTCACAAGCTGACTGAACTAAAAATTAAGTTTTGTAAATAGTGTGTTTAAGTATTACCGCTGTCGCCGGCTTGCAGTATCTATCGATTACTGCTATTAAAAACAGATGACTTACATTATTTACAAAATATTTTTAGATTTAGTTCACTGCACCCGTTGATATTGTATTACGTGATATATGCGGTTTGTACACAGAGTGTTTATATGTGTTTGGTGTAATTCAGCTCCGTGCCTATTATCAGACTACCAAGGCCATAGCTACGTACTGAATAGTGCGAATAATATGATCACCTTTAAAATAAGAATAATTAAACTACGGGAATGAATTATGTAGGAGAGTACCACTGGCCTATAAACGCTCATTTCCGCATACACCACGTCTGAAAATGCTTTCTTCACAATATGTTATAAATTACGGTAATGTTTTATAATCACAGTTTTATTTAAAATAAATTTTGTTAGCATAGTAAAAATCATACCAAACGTACACAGACAACAGGTTTTATCAATCTTCTTGGTAAAACAAATATCACCTCTGGGACATGTTTGTTTCCAGAAATAATTGTTGCAGTATGTAATTTTACAAATATTTGGATATATCGTAAGTCCGTGTATATGAACACGAAGCTTAGCATGTACTGCTTCGCAATGCGTCTCACGGGAATATAAGCGTCCCTTGATTGGTTACCTCTCATGGCATCGTTAAATACGCCCACAATATATTATTATGCTATGTTCTAAAATTCCTGCGTGACGCACAGGGAGGCAAACGAAGCCTATAAACAAGATAACAGTCTATTTCAGCTCTATCCATGTATTACTTCGAGTAGTGCTTAGGTACTTCTTGCTTTTTAAAAGGAAACTGATTCATATTATTTCATTACACATTATTTGCAAAAAGTAAGAATTTGTATTTTTGAAAGTGGCTGTTATGTATAATCTCACATACCTACAGAAGTTTTTAAAACGCACATGAAAATGTTTATATGTAAAAAGATGAAAGATTGAAGTCTACTAAAAAACAATGGGGGTAATCTTTCATTTAGATTTAATCCAATTAATTGAATCTGATTAAAAGATTACTTGTTGTTTGATTTTTGATTACTTTTGACCATATCGTTTCTTGTACCGATAGTTTTAATTTTACACATATCATAAAAAATAGAATATTCTATTGCGAAATTACGCCTAAAAGCTTACAATTTTTAAGTCAGATCAGGATGTTTGTAGGTTTGTAATAAGTAGTTTATTTACTTAATATTTAAAACTGTCACATTAAATATTGTGAAGTATTCATTTTCAGATGCTATATATAATTCTTGACAACAATTTTTATACAAACATAGTCTGTTCTACCCAGAATTATTGAAGTGTTAGATAGGGGGCGGTTTCCGTTTAACTAACATGTCGCAAACGATCTTCTTGATTGTTACAGGGCCAGCACCCGAACATTGTCACTGTCCGCGAGATCGTGGTGGGCTCCAATATGGACAAAATATTTATCGTTATGGATTACGTAGAGCATGACCTCAAAAGTCTTATGGAGACTATGCGCGCTAAGAAACAAGTGTTCTTACCTGGTAATTTGATAGTTTAAAAGATTTAATAAATCCGTACATTTACACCGATGCTTGCCTTGGGTAAAGAATAATATTTTATAGAGTGTTATTTTGATTTACAGGTGAAGTTAAATGTTTGATGACTCAACTGTTGAAAGCTGTACATCATCTTCATGACAACTGGATTTTACACAGAGATCTGAAAACCAGTAATCTTCTATTATCACACAAAGGCGTTCTGAAGGTATGTTGATTAATATCTATTTTAATACGAATTTTGTAATTTATCATTGACAGTTTTTCAATTTCGACTAATAATTATCAAGTTTTTTATTTTTGGTAGACTGCACGACCCGCAGTATTAATATATTGTATTCTTTGTAAACAATTGTAAAAATTATTTTAGGTCGGAGATTTCGGATTGGCGAGAGAGTATGGTTCACCATTACGTCAATATACACCAGTTGTGGTTACTCTATGGTATCGTGCCCCAGAACTGCTTTTGTGTTCTAAAGAATACTCTACTCCTATCGACATGTGGAGCGTTGGCTGCATATTTGCGGAGTTCATAGCTATGAAACCACTATTTCCGGGCAAGACTGACATGGACGAGTTGAATAAAATATTTAAGGTAATTTTTAAAGACCAACTTTAGATTGCATTTATTGTGTATCATTTTATTTTAAAATAATTATAAATATAAAGAAACAACCTTACCATTTAAACTAAGTGTTCCTATTATTTTCAGGATCTAGGTACTCCCTCAGAAGCCATATGGCCTGGTTATAACGAATTACCCGCCGTACAGAAGGTGACATTTGCCATACACCCTCCAGGCGGCCTCAGGCAACGCATAGGTCCCGATCTTCTGTCAGAGGCAGGATTGTCGCTGTTGGAAGGCTTCTTGACATATAATCCCGAAAAAAGATTGACAGCAGAGGCTGCTTTAGAACATGCATACTTCAAGGTAAAGTAAACTTTTATTGTAATGTATTTAATAAATCGCTAATCTTTAAAAATCGAGATCAGTCGTAATGGTTTAGTTTGAAGAGTGTTTGCTTACCTATAGTAGAATAGCCAATGTAATTGTCAATAAGGTGGCGATTATTTGATAAAAAATTTCGTACACCGAAATAGGTCTGTAGTGCAGTAGAATTGCTATTAGCCATTAGTTTGGTTGTTAATAAAAAAGGTGGAATATGTTGTTGATGATGTTTGAAATAAAATATTAAATACCTAAATGCCTAAGTGTTATCAGACCGGATACTGCTCCGTTTTCCGGTAAGATATTATACATACCCGGACATAGGATGGCGGTCGGACACAAAATAGCGCCTAAATAGCCTTTTAACTTTAGTCGAAATTTTAGCTTAAATTTACCAAGGTGATTCATAATTTACTGAATTTTACACAGGAACAACCAGTAGCGATCGAACCGGCGATGTTCCCGACGTGGCCGGCCAAGTCGGAGGGCAACCGACGTAGCACGCACAGCCCGCGCCCGCCTGCCGGAGGCGCCGCCTATGCGCAGTTCGCGCGCGGCGACTCTGATGAGGCGCTCGGCTTCCAGTTGCATCAGCGCTCGGTGACTGTCGCTCCCGGCTTCTCGCTCAAGTTCTAGCATCGCCAGATCAGTCACCGCACACTAAAGACAACCGGCCAGCCCGCGTGCGCAGCCACTTCGCTAAAGTTTTATGGAGACATGGATGGCGTCTCTACAAACTGAGGGCGATCCATCAAGTTTATATGTATTATAAAAAGCATTTCAGTCCTAATACAACCTCGCGCAAAAACTATAAATTCAAAGCTAGCTGAAAATATTCAAAGCTTTAAGGGAAATTAATATTTTTATCTCTGTACTATACGAACATTCATTTACCGATAGTCTATAGTTTTGTATTTTAATGTGTATACTTATGAACAATTTTCGTAGCGATCAGCGTGTAATGTCTCGTTGCTTCTAAAAAGCAAAAGTGGTTGCAAACATCTACTTATACTACGATAGTTAAACGTAAATTACCATGTGAATGGAGTGGTCTTTTATCTCAGTTAATTGTAGAGAGAAATGACGGTGACTCCTCACTTGCTATATCATGGTATAAAAAGAAATTAATACAATTGAAAAAGTCGAAGAGAAATCATAACGCCAATTTTACATGTATTCTATACGTGTATACGTCGTAATAATAAAGCCTTATAAAGTTAAACAAATAAAAATGTGTAATTTGTTTATTACAAGTGAGCTATTATACTAATAATATTGTGTTATTCGATGTACTTATTTAATAGTTAAATAAAACTTAAGCTTTAAGCACCACACATTCAAATCAATATAAATATTTATACATAAAATGAAATATAATAAAATAATATTTTTCATTGTGTTTAAACACTACTGACGTAATGGGAGTCTCGAGCTCAAAGGATTAGGATGTGTGGTCATTGAGTAAGTCTTAAGTAAGCGGGCGAATTATCGCGCGTCGTCTTATTCAATGTGTATTGACGTCTATATTTAACTATTTCTGTAGTAATATAATGTAAATAAATACCTCTTATTATTAGTGGTCACTGTTAATGGTAATTAGAGTGTAGAAAAAAGTGGTACAATAAAATTATATGTTTTGAAACTAATTTTGTGGTGTTATTATTTGATTTCTTATAATATGACAATGAATTTACTAAAATTAATCAAAGATTTTGCAAGTCTCAGACGAAATAATAAGGTAAATGATACAAATAAGGCCTACCTTATTTCAAACACGTCTCTTGATAAATATTTGAAGAAGGTGATAAATAAAAACAAGGTATTATTCGTTACTCTATAAATTTTAAATAATTAAAATATAAACTTCTTAAAAATCACTTAAACAGGTTATTTTGGCGTTTGGCCTTATTAAAGCCTGTTAACTAAAATTATACGAGTGTTTTGATTAGAGAATCGTAAAAATATATCTATATTTCTGAGCCTTTTATCAAGTGTTTACATGAGATCCTTGTATAACTTTCTAAGTTATTTACTAAATATTTAGCATAATTTGCAGGTCAGACTTGAAATCGCATATTAACAAAAAATAAAGAATCATACAAAAATAATTTGCAAATTAACATACCTTTTCAACATTATTACAAAATGATTAAACATTTAATAAACTTTGATAGGCTTTAATAAAACAAGGTTACTTAGGGACACAAAAAGTCTTGAAACATAATCGAATCATCAGTAACTGCCGCTCTCAAGTTTTCTTTAGATTTGGTCCTGGAGGAGACACTAAGATAACCAATCTGTAAATAAACATAATGCAGATAAAATTCAGCAGTTTCCTTTTAAATAAGGCATTTTATATAAGCTAGGTGTTATTAAGTACTTCATACTTTTGAAATGTTTTTATGCTGTATTTAATTCACATATTCTAAAAATTATAAGTTAGAGTTACCGTTAATGAGTGATTTGTATTAATTGCTTGAAATAAAACTTTATAATACAACATTAAAACTCGACAAAAATCACGATAAGTTAATAACGTCCTAGAAAAATACCCGTCCTTCACAAACGACCGCCTTCCATTGTGAATGCGAGGTCCTCTTGCGCATTGTTTGCGGAGCTGTCGTCTATGTGCGTGAGAAGTATTTTTGATGTAAATATTTTTGAATGACTTCGGCACTACAGGCCTTAATTGAGCATAGGCCTTGGTACCTTATCTAATAATGACAAAGATTTTTTTATAGCTGAGCAGATCAGAGACAAAGATAAATTTGATAGACAAGTATTTACGAAAGCCTACAAGAAACTAAAGAACATCGTAAACAGACAAGGAATACGACCGAGCCTTGAAATAGTCGCAAAATTATGATGTATAGCTGATTTATGATCTAGGTATGTAGATCAGCGCGCATTCATTATTCAAACCAAATAGCGCGCGCTTACTCGGCCATCTGTTACATACTTTCATCCTTTTTTCGAAATACCTCCACAGATCGCCGGAAAGCGAAATGTCACCCATAAAAACAAAAAGATAGTATGGCCAGCAAGTCACCTTTTACTTTTAGTGATAAGCTGTTTTCATTCAACTCGCGACCGGTCGAATTTTGGATTCAACATTTAAATGGCCTGTCCATTGACTTTTTTTTTACGTGTGGAAATCCCCTCGGACCGTTACTCCACCGGGGTTTGCGACCAAAAAGCTTACAAATATAGAGGAAGCGAACAAGGCACCATCGCATACGGTTGGCAGAGAGAAAGAAGATTGTTTTGCATCTCACTCTGCTCTTATCACTGATTGATTATTTCAAATTTCCTCTTCAGTATCAGCTAATATACAGACACTCACAGAGGAATATACAGTTCGCTCCCTGTATTATATTGACATGGGACTAAATCACAGTGAACTGTGAATGAGCTGTGATTTATCATTCATGTTAAATATGTATCTTGTCCAGCAGTGGACAAGCATAGGCTGAGGTAATAATAATAATAATAATGTATCTTTATGCATCGTCTGAAAACAGCTTATTGGCAACAACGCTTGAGTAAGTAGCAACCCTAGCCTACGTAGGAAAAAATCGAACGATAAATCACAGTTCACTGTGATTTTGTTCCATGTCTAGTCTTAATCAAACCGACTAAAACTGCAGTGTGTGCCACTCTGCACTTGAAATCCAGCTGATCAGATCAGAACTGCTGTTATAAAGACCTCCAAATCGGCCTGTCCATTGACTAGCCTTACCTAATAGTCAGATTTATATCAGACTTCATAATTTAAAATGTGTTAAATCATTGTTCGTTGAGTGAGTTTTTACTAATTTTACAGTAAAACGTATATTTTCTTTTTATGGATAAGTAAGAGTCACAAGAGAGTAAGGGGAGCCCTAGAATCAGGAGAGGATTCGGGCGCTGGTAATGTCACTCAACGGTGAAAAGCAACGAATGTATTGCTAAACACTCTTCTCTATGAGGCCATGGTATCACTGCTGTAAAAAGTAATCCTGGTACATTTACCTTTATGACCCTCGGTAACTTTGTATCCGTAGCTGGTTTTGTATACATGTATACATATGTTTTATCTGTGGATAGTTTCAGCCGTTTCAGGGTTGCAGATAGGAACTACACAAAGAATTTATGCATAATATTATTGCTTGCAGGGGCCACCCATAAATTACGTCACACGAATTTTATAATTTCTTGACGGGGTGGTGAAGAAAAAATAAACTATTGAAATTCGGTCCTTGTCACAGCTGAGTGCCCAATGTGAATTTATTTCACATCAATTTAACAGTGCGGGCCAATCGCAACCAAAAACGTGGTCGATGTGACGATTGAGAAGATTTGAAAAATACTCATACTAGGCCCTCTGGTTACATGTGAGACGGCCCCTCCCTAGTATGACGTCACATATTTAGCAATTTTACACGTATAAATTATTAAATCAAAATTGCAGTTCCGAAATTAGTTTTATTTCCTTTTTTTTAAATAAAATTCATAAAATATTATTATTTTAAAATTCATAAATAAAAAAACAAATATTTCAAAAAAAATACAAAATATGTAAAAAACTATGAAACAATCATTGTTAATATTTAATTAAAATTTTGAATACTTAGATATTTAGGCTTTAAAATGTTACGTCACAAAACTTTTCACCCCTCCCACCACTTGTCACACTTCGTCAAGTTCCCCCCACCCTTAATGTGTGGCGTATTTATGGATGATCCCCAAGGGGTAGGTTCTTGCAAGCAGTTATTATGGCTTCTCTTAACCTTTTCATAGGATTGTGTTTTTTAAATACCAAATTTTGATGGCAAAAGTGACAGTATGTGTAAAATGAAGTGCATTAGACGGTGAGGAAATATACTACCTTCGGTAATTGAGTATTAAAAGGGTGGTTTTTAATCATTTTTTTGTTTTGTTCTTGAAATTAAAGAACACGATCATCTTCACAAGTTTATTTAATTTTGTTAAACAAATGTTTTTTTTTTTTTAAATGTCCGTCTTGTAATGAGGTTAAATAACACTGGATAGGAACCATTTATTTCAGATAAAGTTGCTATTGGACTAACGCCCTGCGTCGTTCATGCCTTTAGGCAATGCAAGAATCGAATTGATTAGATCTGCGTTGCGCTTCCAGGTTTTATATTTGGTGTCTATAAGGGCGTTTGTTTCGGTCACCATTCGTTTACTCGCCATGTCAGCTTTCTGCGCGTTCATCAGCGAATGAATATGGCGCATATACTGTAACAAGAGGTAATGTTTATAAACAGTTATTAACGTAATTTTAAACTTTCGAAACACATGAATTAAGTATTTTTATATTATCACGAGAATATATTGAACCGTGATAATACCTATATTTAAGAAAAAGAAATAGGTTTCCCGACTTTCAATTTTTACTAAGACTAAGATATATAGGTACATATAGTGCATAATAAAATGAATGGTATGGCTATGTAGTACCGATAGCTATTTTGGAGCTGGTAACATCATGTTTTTAGTTATTGACTTCATCTTCATGTTATCTGTAGGTAGGACATAGGACAATCATAGAATAAACGAGTATGGCAACAATATAATTCTTCAAATAGTCGTTAAACTCGTAATCATATCTATGAAAACCAATGTTTGTTTGATTCTTTTATTTATTCTCGTAGCGTTCACTACGAATTTGAATGTAAACACATTACTAAAGATACATCCAAGGACATAGGATGTTCATGGAGAATGGAATATTTGGAATTGTACGAACTTAATATTTGGAAGAATACATTTTCAGCTGTTATTTTTAAAATATTTTAGTTAATGCATTTATCATCAATCACTATTCCGTCTACTGTGCTTTTACTTATTTGATTGATGTTTTTTATGTTCTAACTTTGATAACTAAAAGCACCAAGTAGGGTTGACGAAATTACTACCTACAGAGCTCCTAAAGACAAGGATACCAATCTTGAAAAGAGCTAGCAAGTGATCTAGCGAGTCTCTTTAATTCTGTCTACAGCCAAGTTTAACATCTAGGATATAGAATGGAAGTACATTAGTACTGATCTTCATGAGAGAGAGAGAATGAGACAACACATTGTTGAAGAATTAGTTCCTCCAGAGTTGTCGCACACTATCTCGTCCAGAAAAATCGACAAATTTCACCAGAACCCGGTTTTCGAAATGTCTACAGCACCGTGTACCACATACACACCTTTCGGCAGATAGTGCAAGGGACTGAGGATTATAATTAGTTGCTCTGTATTGCTTTTGACGAATACGGGTAAAAGTACGACTCCATCGAGACCTGGCCTATTTTGGGTATTCTGTGTGGCGATATATCGAAGTTCTGAAAAGCTTACATGACACTGCTGCATGGGTCCTCAAGCTCCACGACCAGAGGATAAATCGGGTAAAAGATTAAGAGCAGAACACCTAAAAGCGTTGTGGCGACTTCCACATATGATGAAACGTACAAACATACATCAGCGCCGTCTAACGAAGACACAACTACGGAGTAATCGCTAATCCTGTATCGCGATATTAACAATTCTCTCGCCGATTACCATATGTACAACTTCCTGACATTAACCGCGCGTCGTGATAATGCTGATGCTGTGGATTCACAAGCTCCTTGTGGCCTTTCGAAAAGGAATTGAAGTTAACGATATAGCTCACGGAATTAAGCATACAGAATTTGTAATGGACTGACCACATCTGCCGATGGACCGATGGCCGTCACAGCAAACAGACCCTAAGAGTCGAGAACGTGAAAAAATAAGAAGGTAGAATGTCCTACCAGCCAGATGGACTAACGATTATTAGGACAGGCTTATGTCCAGCAGTTGACTCCAATATTACAATATTAAACTAACAACAAAAATAATTGGGCCAAGATGCAAAAAAATGATTATGATGGAGTGAATCAAACAAAACCACTCTGCTTTTAATCATCAGACTATTATATAAGATGGGTTATACCCGGGCAGAAATTGTCCACAACAGCAAACACTAGTTTTCTATTAAATATGTATTGATATGATTATCTCAGCATCTACAGCTAAGTGTAGTCCTCATACAAAAGGATTTACTATCAGATAAATATTAGAACATGTGCTTCTGTTTTCCTATCTTATCTAAGTAATTGAAACATATATCCGGCTGTCACTAATTGAAGTATGCCGATATTTTTGTTTTAATATATTGAAGTTAGCAATTTAGGCACTCGTGTCACAGTGACTAACTCGTTTTATCCCGTAATAACCGTGTACCAGTCTATATTACATTATATTGCTGAATAAAGAATATCATAATAGGTAAAATGCACCTCTTTTATTTGCACATCACTACTTGTTATGAATATGTGTCGTAATGAGACTTCCATGGGTCATCATTTCACCGGGGTCTCTGGAACTACTAAATGCACATTTTGAAAGATCTGGATTAGTCTAGAAAATTGTTATATTATAAGTTTGTTGTAGGGAACGAACGTGAATAGTATTTTATCATCAAATGGCACACAGGAAGAAAGTAACTGGGTATAAAGAATGCGGATACAGGACGGGATCCAAGATAAGGGAGTCTCAGATGGTAAAAGAAGCGGAAGAACTATGAAACGGGCTTTAGGTTATCCTAACATCCCACATATATACCCCATCTTACGTACAACCCACTACAGCTTCTCATGAGTGTATGTATATTTTTTGCTGGGAACTCTAATTCTTTTTCTAAAGATAGCCTTTATAAGGTGAGTTATCAGACATTAATCCAACCGTTACGAAGATTTTGTGAAAAAAATATTATCACACAATATATGGCCTGGGTAAGAATCGAACCCACGACCTCTGGCTTAACCTCTGGCCTAACAAGCCTGTCAAATAAAATTAGTTAAGTATTGATTACAAGAATGTAGTCGCTCAACGTGAAATGGCAACGTAGGTACATAATATATTCTTGTTAAAGAAGTTTTTACTCTCAAGTCAATAGACATGTGTGACGACAAGTTTTACTTAAATTACATGTAAGTTTTGTAGTGTGAGTTTTGTATTTTTTACATACACAACAAATCTGTTAAATTAATAAATATCTCGAGCATTTTCCTTTTACTAGTGCGTCTCTAGGGCAATTAAGATAAAATTCTCAGATTCGAATGCAACAGTGAGGCACCCTGTGTATAAATTATTTTTTAGGAATGAGGTGGATTTATAAGTATTGATTTGGTCTATAAATTGATATGTGTGTATATCAGGCATTGTATTGGTTAAGTCTTATCTTACAAGTTTAAGAGATAAACTAAATATGAATCAGTTATTAATTTACCGAGATACTATTACTAAATATTACTTACTAAATTATGATAAATGTACATAGTTTAGTTGCCGATTATTTAGTTAAAATATTCCCTGCTTATTTGGATTACGCCCACATAATTGAGAACCTATCTCGTCGATATACGACCGTGCCGTAACGGAGGACTGGGTTTTACAGCATCAGACTGATATCGGAAACGACATAGGTACATATCCTACTTACTACCTTTTGTATTGGGTAGATACCTAGTACCTAGCTATCCAGTAACCACCTACCTGTCCTTAATTAGTTTTTTTTTAAGGCTTTGTTGCTGTGCGACCACATCGCCCTCTGACTGTACCAATACATCAATTAACATCTAACATAGACATAGATCTACTAATTAATACAACGTCTGGGCTTCAACCGAAACAGGGTTGGCCAGAATACTAATACAAAGGTCCGATAATTATACCCCTCTTTTAAATAACTTGACTTAAACGGTAAAGCTTAATATATTATTGTCCGGCTTCGAGTTTCAATGAAACTGAAATAAGTTTTACAAGTTCATATCTAGGTACTTAGTATCGGCATCTAGAGAGGGCGGATCCCCAACGTAGAGGACGTCGGCGACGATACGAAACAGTGGGGACCTCTGGTGGCAGATTAATTGCTGCGGTAGGGGATAGAATGGCAGCCTGATTGAATTAAGACGCATCGGGCCGCCACGCCGCGATTGAGGGGGAAAGTGTTTTACCCTGGGATAGGGCCTGTTTAGGCATGGTGTCAATTCGGGGAGGACCTGAAATAACATGGTCTAGGTCACCTGCAGGACACCTGCGGCCGTCCGTCAGGGTGGTTTTTAGTATAATCACCACATAATCCTGGCTCCTGAGTCCTCGAGGGGCAGGAGATCCGAAGGCATTTTCCAACTTATACAAAAAAAGGTACTTAGTATATAATTTTCTCGAAATTTTCACAACTAGTATTTTCCCACGACTTTACTCGTGTTAGTTTTTATCCCTCGGGTACAGGACTTTGTCTGGATGAAAATTGGTCATTTTCTGTACGTATGTATGTACGCCAACTTGTATGCAAACTTTGAAGATGATCACTAAGGTTAATAGTAGATAAGGTGTGAAAGCGACCAACATTTCCTAATTAACAGTCTATAATACATCACTATAAAATACATAATGTGTTGACGGATTATGAATAAGGGCCCAACTAAGGGAGTAAACTACGCAGGACATCAGCACTGCAAAAAGAAGGAATACTTGAAACAAACCCATACCAAATCGGCTGGCGAGTGTGCTATTGTACAGGCCAGTTAGCATGTACACTGTAGGATAGTAGTTGAGTAGTTAGTAGTCTATTGAGTAATCCGGCAAAGACTGGCAAACGTAATAAATATATATTCAAGTAAAATATATAAAAATGTATAGAGTAGCGATTCTTTCCTTGATTATGCTTTTTCAGTCTAATAGTTGGTGGCGTACTAACTTATAAAGTATAATTTAATGTATTTATAACAATAATAACGCTCAGCTAAAAGTAGGCCGCAGCGTGTGCACAAAATTATCTATATGTAAAAACTATTTGTATCAACGATAGTGAGATCGTACAGCTATAGTAGGCCAAAACCTCTTTCTAAGGAGAAGCCTATGTTAAGCAGTAAACTATAAAAGTCTGATGATGATGACAAAATAAGGTAGTTTATACATACTTCTTTCGCCATGTAAGGTACTAGTTCTGTTAATTCTTCTTCAGACAAAGTTCTTAGATCAGGGTTAACGTTGTATTCACTGCTTGAAACTCGACACACGAATGTCAGTGCCAGCAACAAAAACGTTCCAATTCGTACTGTACAAATCATTCTGTTTGGCTATAAAAAAAAAATTAAAAGTCAGACAACATTCGACACAGTTAATGCAGCGTTGTTATTAGAGCCCACATTTTTTTGTAACCACTTTATCTTCTAATTTGTAGTAACAGTCATGGGATTTCTGTAATGTGTAGTTACTTCTCCTATTGAAAGGCTTCCGTTCGAAAAGACAAAGTATCCCTCGACCTATTGTTAAGCGTGCTTGTGCAGATGTGCTTTAACGTAAATACGAGTAAATATAAACCGATTACACAAACACAAAGAAAAACAGAACATAAATGTTAACATATATATATATATATATATATATATATATATATATATATATATATATATATTATATTATAATTCGTTTGCCGACTATAATTATAGCCCCTCTAATGTAATAGGGTGGCCGGCCTATTGCCATCAACTCTGTGCTTATATTTACATAACATACGAGTACTTATATATTTCTAAAAACATAAAGCAACATACACACATAACATATAGATAAATTACACCCAGACACAGAACAAATGATTATTGTCCTGATATTTGTTCTGGGTGGTAATCGAATTTACGACCTCTAACTCGGATTGCTAACCACTAGACCAACAGGACCAACCTTTAAATAACTAGAAAGAGTTGCAAAACTAAACTATTGTGTCTTTGCAAATTTAAAGTCAAATAGTTGATTGAAGTCTTATCCGCATGTTTATTTGGGAATAAAGGGTCAAAGAAATTTTGATTTAATCCGATCCATCGCGCCATTTTTTTTCAAAAGCTTAAGTTGAAATCTTTGTCATATCTAAACTACTTTGCATTTATCGACAGCGTCTACTAAAGAAAAAAAAATACAGCCAGTAATTTAGGAAAATGAAAGAAAGCTGATATTGATATTACTAATTAGGAGCTTTATAACTTTAATTCGAAACAACATCATCCAGTACTCGGAATCCCGGGAGAGGGGAGGGTGTTAGTTACACGTTTAAGAAATTGGTATTCTTATGTTTTGTCAGACAGGTCTCACCAGTGTGGCGTTAGTCCCCAAAATATCATGCCATAAATACACAAAAAGAGATTATTGAAGCCAAACTTGAACCAAATTACACAAGATAGAACAAAGAACCTAAAGTATAACAATATGGTTATGGACTTACCTTAAAGTAATCTTATAAAGTTAATAAGTGATTACTTTTAACAAGTAGAGAAATTTAACAAAAGTAGAGCTAGAGAAATTCAACAGGAGATGTTCCTGTCACGAACAGCTCTGAATGAATGATGGGCGCAAACGATGTCAATTGTATTTATTGGAAACGATTCCTCTCGAAGGCTTTGATAGAGTGTGAACAGGCGGCGGCTTACTGAAAAGCTTAGTGGGGGATAGGGGGGGTGTAACATCGTTGTTTTTTCAGGTAGGGCGCGCACTCGGGCGGAAGCGGAGCGACGGCCCACGGAAAGGTGCGGGAGACAGCTCGCCGTCAGCGCTACGCGACCCTATAAATCCTTCGCCATCGTTACTTGTCAACTTGCGTCACATTTGTATTTTTATATTTTATCCTTGTCTAAGTAATTTAAATATGTCTAAATATCTGGACTGCTTACTTTCAACATAGGGATTTAGGTCTCTGTTAATGAATAAGTCGCTTGTCCTCGGTTTTCTGCGAGTTCGTAGTATCACTTTGGTCGAGCCGGCCCATATGTTCATAGTACAAGCTCTGCTTAGTTTGAAACTAGATGGCGTTGTGTGTCATATGTCCGAAATATTATTATATGTTCTGAAGTATGACTTTCCCCCTATGAATAACGCATTCGTCATAACAACTATTAAAAAAAGAAACCTCAATGGATCTACCCACAGAAAGATACGTTTATGTACCTATACCTAGCTAGGCACGTAAGTAGAGAGAGACTTGTTTTTATTTTGTCTGTTAACGATAAATTATCTACAACACCGCAGAGATTGCTGATACCTATAGCACAGGTCATCCTATTTTAAGTACCAGCAGAACATATAGTATTTTCCTCTTTAAATCTATATTGGTATATAAAAGAAGAAACTAACAGACTGATTCTGAAAACTTCTGGGTCTAGAATCAAGAAATTTTGCACAAATATTCCTTGGGTACCGTAGGTGGGCAATAACAAAGAATTTTTATAAATTCCACCCCTAAGGGTCCAAAATGGGTATTGGAAGGTTATATAAAACTTCATTATTTTTGGTAGTAACGTTTTCAAAGTCACAGTAAATATTCTTTATTAAAAGTAATAAAATATTGTTAAAAAAAAATCAAAACTACCTTTAAAAAAGGATTTATTCTTTATGTTTCTTTTTTTAATAAGATACATATGTTTTTTACTTTTCAAAACGAAGGTATGTTTGTTAATTAATAACACTAAAAAGGCTTGCCGCATCTGGAAGAGATTTGGCACTCAAATAAATTATATTCTAGAATAGCACAAGGCCTACTATTTATACCGATCAAATTTATTGACAAAATTGACATTTACGCGAGCGAAGCCGTGGGCAAAAGCTAGTGAGGTATATAGGGCTATCACCAGTCCAGTGCTTCCCTGTGCCTAATTAAATAGCTATCCTAGCAAAATAATTTCAAATAGGTTTTGTAGTGTTATTAAATAAAATATCTAAGGGGCTATAAATATTTATTCTGGTTATTCGTTTGAAAGTACTTAATTGTAAAGTAGGTATATAATTTTATCTAGAAGGTCTAGATGTGTTCTTCAGGTATGCTCAGCCGATATGTCTATAACGCTTATACTACTGTCTCACGTGTCTTATATATCTGGATCGGTGGCAGGTGTTTATATATCACCGTTAGCCAAGAATGGGGAATGCACTAATCCCCATATACTGACCCATTCTAACTTTTACACTGGCACTTTTACATAGACTGACTGGTTCATTAATGTCGTCCTTAATTCATCTCATTCATTCCAGTCAAAAAGAAGGTTATTCATCATTCGTATATTTTAAATAATATGCATTTTATCGCCATGTACCGTTACATACTCGTATTACATGAACAGTGTCCCTATTTTGTATGTTCGATTTCTTTCCGATCATATCCTTTTCGATTCGATACGGCTGAACTTTGATTTTTTACCTGCACAACCCAAGTATTAGGCGATATCGAAGTTCTTTGGTAAGGCTGTTGTCGGACTTTTTAGGGCTCTAACTGGCCGTTACGATTGCTACAGATGTTCGTATGGCCACCAGGTACGTATGGTCAGTCCCTGACAGCTTAACGTGCTTAATGAGACCCGGAGAGGTCTCAATGTGTTAAGTTCATATTTATATTGTCACGTAGGTTGGTTTGACGGATGAGATATTATCAATAAACTAAAATGCAATCATTACATAAAAATATATTACTCAATAATAATGTAACAACAATGAATTACAATTACATTTATTTTCGGTGTAATTTAAAGCTCATGGCTTGTGCTCTTTTTTTGACAATTTTTTTCCTCGGCGTCAAGCCAAGTGCGCAGCATGTTCAACTGCAGATTCACCGCAGCCTTAGCAGTTCCCCCTACACTGGTGTACTGCTCCACACTCGTCTCCCATGAGAAAATACTCTGCAGTTCTTCTTTAGTTCCAAATTCGGGGCTGCAATTAATTAATTTTTAATTAGGGGCTACCTTTCAGTAGCACTACGAAATGTTTCCATAAACTTAAATTGGCTTAATAATTAGGAGTTAAGTAATTGGCTTGGGACTAAATACTACAGGTATCTAGTTACGAGACAACTCATACTCGTAATCAAAGTGCTCATATTCCGAGATTTCGAGTCTCAAAATAGAATCAGAAGCGATTTCTATAAAAAATTAATATTTTTTTTTTGTTTTAATAGAAATCGCCGAAAAAAATGCCTGGAAATTTAGTCTCAAGCCAATTTCTAAGGCCTAATTACTTAACTACTAATTATTAAGCCAATTTCAAATTATACACCATGTTACAGTTACATACTCGTAATATGTATTCGAAAGTTAACGGAAAGGTAAAGTGTTGAAGAAAAATTGTGACTTACCAAATGTTATAATATTCGTGGTGATGTAAATTTTGAAGATCAACTCCCAGTGCTGCAGCTCGGCGGAGGACAACTCCAACTAAATGATGAGCGCGGCGAAAAGGCACTCCACGTCGAACCAAAGCATGAGCTAAGTCTGTTGCAAGCATGCCTGGATCCAAACATGCTAAAGCTCTTTTGCTGTTGATCTGGAACACAAACCAGACTTGCTTTATTGTTGCAGACGATTAAGCGCTTACCATCAAGAAGCTGATGTAGGAAATGCGCGCAGAGTTTACAGAGTTTCATTTAAGGATTAGGTTAGTATTTACATAAAGTACTCTTAATATGACTTACTTCCATGGTGGCGACGGTACCAACAGCAACTTTCAAACAGTCATTTAATTTGTCAAAAGATTTAAACAAAAGTTCTTTATCTGATTGTAAATCTTTGTTGTAGGTGCTTGGTAATCCTTTAAGTGTACAGCTGAATGCCATAGCATTTCCAAGCAACAGACCTGCAGCACCACGAATTAGTTCCAAGCCATCTGGATTCCGTTTTTGGGGCATCAAACTTGACCCTGTTGAAAATTGATCAGACAGCCTTATGATGCCGAATTCTTGTGAGCTGTATATTATAAGATCTTCTGCAATTTTACTGAGGTGTAGACTGCATAGCGATGCCCAATTGAAGAATTCCACTAAAACCAAACCAGTCGATGAAAAAAAAATCACACAAAAACTGTTTTGAATCAACATATTCGTTTTCTTACCAAAGTGATCCCTGGAACTGACAGCAAACATAGAATTGGGTGTAACATCTTGAAACCCCAAGCTATGAGCAAGTCTTGCTCTATCAATCGCTAAAGCACAACCAGCAATAGCTCCGCTGCCCAATGGACACCGTGACAGTCGAGTTGTTTGTTCCTTCAGTCTTATAACATCGTCACGCAAGGCCCATGCATGACTAGAAATACATAAACAGTAAATGTAAAAAAAAACAATTATGGTACAGGTGCTTTTAATATTAAGTATATCTGATTTAAAACCTCAGTAAAAAATGACTCCATCGTACGGGCTGGGCGCGTTGGAGATGCGTATAACCAGGCATGATAATGTCTATTTCACTTTTGGCACGGTTGACTAGGACCTTAAGAACAGACAATAGTAAATATATTTCTTTATGAAAGTTTTGATTGCAAATTTAATTTACATATCCTAAACTTACACTGATCAGTTCCTTAAGACTAATCTGTAAATGCGGTAAAGACGTCAGCATCCAAAGTCTTGTGTCGGTGGCAGACTGATCGTTACGACTTCTCGCCGTATGCAGACGCAGGGCTGCGTCGCCAGCATACCTGAACAAACGTTTTTCTACGACCGCATGAATGTCTTCTTCAGAATCTTCCAATCGACCATCTTTTGAAAACTCCTCTTTAATTTCCTTTTCTACCTGTAAATATGCACAGAGCCTTGTTTATATTTTGCTTCTAATTATGACGTAGGCACTCATTATTTACTCACTTAATATTTGCCATGGAATTTATCTGTCTAGAGAATCGTTGTAAACGTTGTTTAAAGAAAATAGATAGTAACTTTGATAAAGAAATGTAGCAATACAGTCAGAACATAGGTACCTTATTGAGTCCATCTTGAATAGCTTCGTGGTCATCCTTTGAGAGAAATCCACTTAAATTCTGTTCAGCAGCCCAGGCTCGGCTTCCTTGGATATCCTCACGGAACAATCGACTATCTATCGGCAGTGAGTCATTTAATCTCCGTAGTACTTTAGAGGGTTCTTCTTCGAAGCATCCTCCCCATAGTTGATACATGTTGTATGGTTTTAATATTTTTTAACACTGATACAGTACCTGCTTCGACGACTTTTATTGCGTGTGTTGAGGTTGATGGGCGAGAAGGAACTGTACGATAATAAAGTTATTGTGCGCTCATACCGATAGGTTAAATAACCTTTTACCCTTGTTATGTTGATATGAACCTACTATAATCTTATTTTTAGCTTACCGTCAACAGTATTGTGGTATTACGTAAAGATTTCATTATTTTTTAACCGAATTCAAAAATACAAAAGAGAGTTATCAATTCGTCTGTATTTTTTTGTATGTTTGTTACGCGATATCGCCGTCAATTGTGGACCAATTTTCAAAATCTTTTTGTAATCGAAAGGGAATGCTCCCGAGTTGGCCCATTACCCCCAAATCAGGATCTGACGATAGGATCCTAGAGAAATCGAGGGCAACCCTCAGATTTTACAACCCCGACAACGTGTTTTAGCTTGTTTATATAGGTATTGCTATATAGGTATTTGCGTTTAGTAGTAGTTAAGTCATGTTGCTGAGCTGATGATAGAAGGGTCCTTGACCTTTAGGAGTTAGAGGATAACTCTTTCAAAAATCTAATCATGCATTGACCTTGTTTTTTCTTGAAATATATTTGTGAGGTGTTTGTGTTGGGTTACAGAGATATGTGCATAAAATAGTAATATAATATATAAGATTACAAAACATTTAGACAAAACAAAAATGTTACGCAATTATTTTCATGTTTGTTACCTCAAAACTCTTTCATTTGTAAACCGATTATAAGAAAAAATTTTTAATTGGAAGGGTATATTTCCCCTTTAGTTCCATTTAAATGTGAAGAAAAAATATCACTCCTAGTTTTGGAAAATTAAGTAATGTGGAAAACAATGTATTTTCGGGTTCAAATGTAACATTAAGATGTTATACCTTACCTAAATAAAATAACGGTCTTATTAAACTATTGTTAATATAATGTAACATACTACAGTTTAGTACAATACATTACGGTATGTAGTATTTTAAATATCGTACTTATCTACTCATTACAAACATATCTTACACTAAAAATGGTAAAATAAATACTTTAAAAAAAAGTTGCAAACTTGCAGACTTCAAACAATACTGACAATGAGCACTAAAAATTTAAACAAAAAAATTACAAATCTAAGTAAAAAAGACGATAATAAGTGCCCAAGACTAGAAGGGACTATTGCTATTATACTATAACCCGTAATGTTGAGGGTACTTTTTTACATAGATTTGTAATTTTTTTATATTTTTTTAGTACTCTTTGTCAGTATATCTTGAAGTCGGTTCAACATTTTTTTATAAGGATTTATTTCTTTATTCAGAACACCTACTTCCTTAGATGTATATTAATTACTTCATTTTCTTACATCACATGCATAGTGCAATTATATAGTCAACTACCAATTTTTAAATTAAATTATGATAAGAATTTAAAAATTGTTTTTTTCCCATTTTGTAGGCAAGCCGAGGGCGATTGGATGTTTTTAAAGGCTTAATGGTTTAAATTAATAAAAAATGTATGTATTTGGACCCCTCACAGTGAGATTTTTTTTTTGTCCAATGGTACTTTTGTAAATATATTTCTTTTATTTTGTAATTAAACCATCAAATAAATACGTTGGGTGGTCTAATTAGACAACAAAAACTGTTGCACATTTATATAGGGCCATCTACTTGGGGCTAGTTGGTTAAGTTCACAATTATAAAACAACGTATCTAATGAAGCATATGTTTTGGCCACCATTCCATAACTGCCTTAGTCCATCGGTCGTCGTCCGTCCATGTTCGTGTATGAATTTATTACTTCTCATTTTTGCGCAGATCGGTGTTAATTTATAGTCAGTTTTAAAGAGTAAGGCATGCTCTCAACGGCATGATAATTTAGAATCCCTAAAATAATCCATAAATAAAATGGGGGTAAATTTTCCAATGGAGAAAGTGCGGTGTCTATTGATAACTGGCCTCAACGTTTCAAACGCTATGTTAAAGCCACTTCCTACTACGCTGAGTGTTGTGGGTTCGATCCCCACATGGGACGACACTTTGTGTGATCCACAAATTGTTGTTCTGAGTCTGAGTGTTCTTTGTGTCCGTTTCATGTATGTTTGTAAAGTCCCCCGCGATCCCACAGGATACATTCCTAAAGCGGGAGTTGTCTTTTGAAAAAGAAAAAGAAAGAAAGAAAGTCACTCGAGATTATTTATTAATAAGAATAAACTAACACGCATTACACTAATAAATGCTTTATACAATAAAAAAAAATCCTTGTACGATATTTACGTCAAGACTAGGACAATATAAATATGTGCCATTCTTATAATTATCATAGACAAAGAAGCGTTGAAGTTTTCTTTGAACTCGTACGTGTAGAACCTTTGACACTAAATTTTGAAATACGCAGTGGCATTCCAAAAATATCATGTTACGGTAGAACATAGGGATAAAGAAACACTGACCTACACGAAGCTAGTCGCAATGGGGCTATTAGCAGTTCATTCAGGCATACTATGCCTTATACAATAAAATTCTGATAGGATACTATCGCGGTAGCAGCCCAAAATTTTGGCGAAGGTCAGGCGAAGGCAGGTTGAGCACCTGCAGCCCAATAATTTAATGGAGACATAATAGTAGTATACTAGGTACTTGCTGTCCTACGTCGGTCTTCGCTATTCTCTATTAATACAATTAGTCAGTCTTCTTAAACCGTTCTGCTAAATTTCTTGTGAAGCCAATTATAATTTTATGAGGTATATCAGAGCCACAGTATTAATGGTTAGTTCGGTTTATCGACTAATATTATTTTGCTTTTAATAATCCATAATTCATTTATAAACATATAACCAATTCAGTAGAACTATAGAAACTAAAAATAAAATAATTTCCAAGATTAATAAACTAAAATGATTTAGAATAACAATAACTTTTAATCATTCGAGTACCGTACTTCAATCGAACAAGTACCTATAGGGTTATTGTTTTTGCAAATAAACGAGGAGTATACAAATACTATCTTAAACTAAACGTTATCTACGTTTACTGGATACTGTGGATAGTTAGGTACCTACGTTCTTTTTTGACAAATATGTCAATGTGAAGAATCCAATACAACTCGATAACCTTAAAAAGTCACTCGGCACTTAATTTTTTACATAAACATAACAGAATAAATAACTTATGGGACCTCAAAAATAAGAATTTTGCTATAAAGTACTAAAATGTTTAGACTTCGATAATAATTTAAATCCGAAAAGTGAAATTATAAAATTAACTTGACAAAGCCAGTTTCGTAAGTTTTCTTCTAAAAAGTATTCTTAATAATGTATTCCAGTAACAACAGTCCTAGAAAAGAGATTATAAATGAAGATAATGAAGTCACTTTTCCCCAGTACACTCTATTTGACATCACTATAGACTCGGGTTTAAAAGATGACGAAGGTAATGAGTTACCAAGACCTTTCACTAAAAATCAAATGCGAAAATGGCTGAAAAAAGTTAAATGGGAAAACCGTAAAGCTGAAAAACGGAAAGCTGAGAAGGAACGAGCAAAAGAAAGAAGGCGTAAGGCTCGTGAAGCTAATATTGATTTAGGTCCCAACAGAAAAGCATTAAAGAAAATGAAGCTTGAAAAGCAAAAGAAAAGTATATCCATAGTTATAGATCTTAGTTTCGATCACTTGATGATGGAAAAAGATAGATTTAAAGTAATAAAACAGATACTTAGATGTTATTCTATAAATAGGAGATCTGCAACACCTATACATTTTCATATTAGTAGTTTTGGAGACAGGTCTAAAACGGATATGTCAAGACATAACGGATATGAGAATTGGGATGTGAGTTGAATTCCTAAAGGATTTTTATTTAAAATTCAAATAATACCTAGTGGGAATGTATATTCTTACTATGATTTATTAAACACATGATTACTTTTCAGATAAATTTTCATGAAGAATCATATCTTGATGTGTTTCCTAAAGATAAAATAGTTTATTTAACAAGTGAGTCAGAAAATGTTATTGAACAGTTTGAAGATAATACTGCTTATATTATTGGTGGACTAGTCGACCACAATCAACATAAGGTAACATTACAAAAAGCAATACATTTTAACATAATTATAATTAGTTGTTTAACTAAAATATCACGGGTGGTAAACTAATTAGGAATACAATTACACACAAATAAATACAAAAGGGGAAGTAGCAACCCATAAGTGGAGCATAAAACACAGCTGTGTTGAAATTTATTATTTTACCTTCATAATACTAAGTTTTAATTATGTTTTTCAATGTATAATTACTTCAATCGTAAAAACTGCTGAACAGTAATGAATGCAGGTTTCATGTTTGCACTGACTAAATATTAAGAGCTATTGTCCCTGATGTCTATGAGATATGCATACTGCATACTGTATAAATCTGCTGCTTAGCATTTCCATTTACACTCTTTAAATTATAAATACAAAATAGATGTGTTATTAGAAGTGTGCAGTTCATCTTTTTAGTAACCGGAACAATATTAATCCTCATTAAAAACAACACACAAAAATTAAAAAACAAATGTGGTTTACAGTAGTTGTATATGATGTGTTTCTCATCTAACTTACATCATCACTTCACAGCCTTTATTAGTCCACTGCTGGACATAGGCTTCTCCTTAGAAAGGAGGTTTTGGCCTACTACGGCTTGCTGGCCTGATAGATTAGTATAGGTTTTGTGTCAAGTTTTCGTTCTCTTTGCAGTGGTGATACTCCGTATTCTTAATCCATCACCACATGGATAATTCTGATTACTGTTTCAAATTCTAGTAACTACTGTTACAGAAAGTCTATATTAAAATTTTATAGTGTGCATAAAATTAAATAATATAGCATAAAATAGGAAGTAAAATTAAATGAAGTGTATTTTAAAGATTTATAAAAAATGTAGTTACTATACAATTTCCTTTGTATAAATTTTACAGGGCCTCTGTCATAAAAAGGCTGTAGAACATGGTATCAGACATGGACAATTGCCATTAGATAAGTATATAAATATGAAGACTAGAAAAGTTTTAACAATTGATCATGGTAAGTTATATTTAGTTTTAAATGTATTTCAGTTTATTGAGCTGACCATAGAAGGACTACTACTACTACTACACTTTAGAAAGATAAGTCAATATAAAAGTTTTAAGAAATAAATAAAATCAATAGAAATTAGGGGAACAGATATGCGGACACCATTTGGGACATTAAACAGTAAAATTTCGAACAAATAAAATATTTTTATTTATTGACTGTGTTTTTAGGGCATAAATTTAGGTTACTTGACAACCCCAAAATTCATGCACACTCACAGAGCTGTCTCAATTACAGTGTGTCAGTTTTGTGTTAGCGAGAGTTCCGTCCGACTTTTTTTTTATACGCCCGTGTTTCTGACATATAACCATAAATAGACCATTATTTTTTAACACCTAAAATCCATTTTATTTTGTTTTTAACCGACTTCAAAAAAAGGAGGAGGTTCTCAATTCGACTGTATTTTTTTTTTTTTTTTTGTATATTTGTTACGCGATTACTCCGGCAATTATAAACCGATTTGAATAATTCTTTTTTTATTTGGTAGGTCATACGTCAGAGGTGGTCCCATTGTCACCAGGTCAGGATCTGATGATGGGATCCTGGGGAAATCGAGGGAAACCCTCAAATTTTGTAGGCATATACACTGTTTATCAGAAATTATCTTAATCTATGTAGATTTTTGCATCTAATGGTCACCATCTGATGTTGCTGAGCTGATGATGAAGCTGATGATGAATGGTTTAGGAGTATGGGATCTCTGTAACAAAATTATGTAATACCATCGAATTTGAATGTGTTTGAGTCTAATTAATAAGGACTCCGATCCTATGTGATATTCAGGGTCTGATGATGGAGACGGTAAATAGCCATGGGAACTCTGTAATAAAATAAAGCAATTCCGCCGTGTTTGTGCTCATTTGATTCGTCTCGACTAGGAGCTTCATACTAGTCGATTTTTAACAAACATCAAAAAAGGAGGGTTTTTGATTCGACAGTATGTTTTCTTTTTAACCGACTTCCAAAACACAAAAGAAGTATGTTTGTTCCGCGATTTCTCCGTCAATTGTGGACCGATTTTCAAAATTCTTTTTGTAATCGAAAGGGTATGCTCCCGAATTTGTCCCATTACCACCAATTCAGGATCTGATGATGGAATCCTAGAGAAATCGAGGGAAACCCCACAATTATTGGGAATTTGACAGCCCCGACAACGTGTTTTAGCTACGAGTATTTCTATAGCCAAACAAACCATGGCAACCGTCAGAGACTGCGCGATGTGATGCTCAGAGAACTTGCAGTATTTATGTCCCCACAGTAATTAAGAAGAAAAGGTTGAAATTTTGTATTCTATCTTGTTAAAATAATTCGGATAGACGTTTAGTTGCTATGGATGGCATCGCATTTCGTTTGTAAGTAATTTTATACTTAATTTATTAAAATAGTTCTGGAAAAATCTCTTAAATTTTGTGTGGGTCAACTTTTTAAGGAGAGGCCTATGTCCAGCAGTAATTAAAATAATTAGCAGTAATTAATATTTAATATAATCTAACAAACTACAGTTTGTTACTATACATTACGGTACGTAGTGTTTTAAATATCGTACTTATCTACTCATTACAAACATATCCTACACTAAAAATGGTAAAATAAACCCTTTTAAAAAAAAAGTTGAACCGACTTCAAACAACACCGACAAAGAGCACTAAAAATTTAAAAATAATTACAAATCTAAGTAAAAAACTATAATAAGTACCCTCAATGAAACAGGTAACATTATAATACCAATAGTCCATTCTAGTCTGTTTGAAGTCGGTGCCAAGCTCGATGCACAATAAGTAAGACTGGTCTATGTCAGCTTTATATTAGCACAATGAAAAATTAAGAATTCAAAATAATTCTAATGAAACATCGAAGATTTTGTTAATTAATAAAGACCAACCAGATAAATTACGTGCGCAAATTTATCAACTACTTATTAAAGCATTCAAAATAATAATATAATTGGAGATGTGCGTCCACTTTAGCTCGTTCAACATGTTTTGCGCAGCATGAAGACTGTTGCAGCTGCCGCGCTACATTCTGCCATGCCTATCAAGCACCTATTTGGCTTGGCACCGACTGCAAACAGACTAGAAGGGACTATTGGTATTATAATGTTACCTGTTTCATTGAGGGTACTTATTATAGTTTTTTACTTAGATTTGTAATTATTTTTAAATTTTTAGTGCTCTTTGTCGGTGTTGTTTGAAGTCGGTTCAACTTTTTTTTTAAAAGGGTTTATTGGTAATATAAGATCATCAGACAGTATTAAAACACTAAAAACGTATTACTTACCAGGTTAATTATGCTGTTGCATACTTGTTGTTGGTCCTGGTTTTGTAAAAATAATTCAAGACAAATAAATAAAACGTCCGTGTAGTGGCGTTTCATTTAGACACACATACTTCGGGTCATACACTAATTTTCGATACCATTTTTTTTCTTCTACGTCCAAAGAAAATAAACACTTTCAATTTTTTCGACACAGTTTTTCGTGCATAACTCCCCAATGGTTGGATGCACTAAATATCTATAAAACTCAAATAATGAAATTCGAACTTTTCCGCTGGGGCAACGCACATAAAAGTAAAAGAGTTTCACCAGGTCTCAGACTGTCAGTCCTGACTTCAATATCTCCCTCCTAGCTCCTTCATCATATTACCTTTAAGATAGCTAGCTACTTCACTGCTATAATTAGAAGTAGGTTTAAATTGACTGCCAAGATTTGTTAGTACTGATTTCTCACTAAAAACTTTTAACATTCGAATAATAATCACCAAAGGTTATTTACGACGGTCGCCAATGCCTGATTACTAGCTGATGGCTTACAACAATAACGTTAGCGCTGGACTTTTATGACCCTTTTGTATTTTTTTTGTGGGGATGTAATAAACAAAATACTTTGAATCGAAAATTAGTAGTAAGTAAACGCCTTTCACGCCTAAACCACACAACCGATACTAAATATTCTTTCAGTAATTGAAAGCTACATTGTCAGCGAGTAACGTAGGATAACCGACATACACGCTGGTGGAGCCGCGGGCAGCCTTCCAGGGCGCGCGGCTCCACCCGCTTTTAGTATATGTGTGAAAGAAATAACAGTGTACCATATTCATTAATTATTTTTAACCATGTATTTTCAACGACACCACAGGACAATCAATACCACTAGGGCGTCGTTTACAAATTTTTATTGTAACCACTACACTCCACTGCCGACTAGTGATGTACTTATAGTGTAATAAAATCATTCGTTGTTATAATGGTAACGCTGAAATTAGTCGAATTCTTAAGGGATTCGCAATATATAATAATTGTTATCCATTACAACAACAAATAATTAATTAAAAAAATATATTAAAAAAACTTACTCACAAGCAAGGGTGGAGGACATACCGAGAGCTATCCACGACATCAACAGGGACCTTGATTTTATAAAATCTTGGTCGATGAGATTCGGATTGTCAGCCAGGCGATCGCAGTGGGCAGGAAACATATGATTAGCAGATTGGATACTGCATCAGTCCCACCGGTCATTTTTAACGGCTCAGTTATACCTTGGAGCCCGGTAGTCAAAGACCTAAGCCTGCTCTTCGACTCAACCTCAGATTGGCGTGCTCAAGTTACTCATGTGAGCCAGAAAGTAACGGGTAACCTGCAGACACTATACCGTCTTAAGAATTGCCTGCCCACTAAAACAAAAACCTCTCTCATGCAGTCCCTTATTATTCCTATAATTGACTATGGTGATGTGTGTTACTTCGACCTAAATGCAGACCTCCTCAATAAGCTAAACCGCCTACTCAATAAGTGCATTCGATACATGTTCAATCTTCGCAACTATGAACATGTGTCTGCTTTACGCTACCATATATTTATAATCAGTGATTACTATTGTAACCTCGGTGCATCTACCCTACAAGATTTCTACATCACCTAAAGGCTGGCTAGTAGAGAATGCCCAGGGCATTAAGTCCGCCGATGTACATAAGTGCTTGAAGATGTATAATAAAAAATAAACATTATACAGCAATTATTCATATCTTTAAATTATCTTTTAAAAGTATTTCTGACATGTGATGCAATTGTAGGAATCATAGGTTTGAGTAGATTATTTTTTGGTTTATAACTGCTTGAGTTCGCCCCGATTCACGTAAAAGTCAGCTGTTTGGTCATTTCATCTTAATCTATACTAATATTATAAAGCTGAAGAGTTTGTTTGTTTGTTTGTTTGTTTGAACGCGCTAATCTCAGGAACTACTGGTCCGATTTGAAAAATTCTTTCAGTGTTAGATAGCCCATTTATCGAGGAAGGCTATAGGCTATATATCATCACGCTAAGACCAATAGGAGCGGAGCACCAATGAAGAATGTTTCAAAAACGGAGAAAATTTATTACTATTGAGACGCAGACGAAGCTGCGCGGGTCAGCTAGTTAATTAATATAATTAGACAGAATTCAATTGACAATCAAATATTATCAGTGAATAAACATTGTTTTCGTGGAGGAAAATAAGATTTGCAGAAATAGATCATCTATGTCATGGTCGTGATCTTACAATCATCATCATCATCATCAGCCTATCGCCACTGCTGGAAATAGGCCTCTCCCATTGCACGCCACTTAGAATGATTTTGGCCTGGCCTGTGGACGTCCTACACTACGTTTGCCGAGACGTGGTCTCCACTCAAGAACTCGTTTTCCCCGACGGTTGTCGGTTCTGCGGCTAATATGGCCAGCCCACTGCCACTTCAGCTTGCTGATCCGGTAGGCTATGTCGATGACCTTGGTTCATTGCCGGATCACCTCATTCCTGATGCGATCCATTAGAGAAACGCCGAGCATAGCCCTTTCCATAGCACGTTGAGCGACTTTGAACTTGTGGACCAGCCGTACCGTAAGTGTCCACGTTTCGGCTCGTATGGCTTTCGTATGTCATGACGGGCACTCATTGAAGACTTTCGACTTAAGGCACTGTGGGACCGACGATGAGAAGACTCGACGTAGCTTCCCAAACGCTACCCAACTGAATTCTTCTGTTTACCTCGTCCTCGAAGATGTTTCTACCTAACTGCAATGTCTGCCCGCGGTACACATAATTTTGAACAACTTCGAGAACGACACCGTGTACCGCAATCGGTTCCGGTAGTACATGTGCATTGAACATGACCTTGGTTTTATCCAAGTTCATCCGTAGACTGATGCGTACAGAAGAGTCAGCTAGGTCATTCAGCATCTGCTGTAGGTCCTGCAGTGTCTCTGTCATGATGACGATGTCGTCTGATCTTACAAATGACATCGATAAATGCATAACTTTTGTATTGGAACTTCATTACGGTGGTGTGGATACAAAAAAAAAATTGTAAACTACACCCCAGTCGTGTGGTCTAGTGTTGTGTCATTGACAATACACGTTTCTAAGTTTGGAACAATTAACATCAACATTTATTATTTGTTTCAGTATTCGAGATTGTTTTGAGGGTGTGTGAAGGGATGCCTTGGCAAGATGCTTTGCTGAAAGTTTTGCCAATGAGAAAAGGAGCTCATATTTGTGATGATGTTAGTGGTTCCAATTCAAGTATAGATACATTAGATACAACATGTATCAATGAAGTAACAAAATAAATTATGATGGTCTTATAAATGAAATTGTATTTTATTGTATTTATAATTTATTATGGAAAGAAAATACGTATATAATTGTAAAAAGTATATTTATATTATACATTTCAATATAACTTGCGACTAGCAACATCTATCACATTCAACCTAACAAAAGCTTTTATTAATGTTCATTGTACATTCAGTCAAAAAACTATCGGGAATGAATGATTTGTTTATGGTTCCAAATTCCAATTTTTGATCTTGTTAAACACAGGCACAACTGTTTTCCATTTTGGCGTGGAGTTTGAGTTGCATCTGTTATTTATATTAAATACAGTGTTGTTTTTAGATATATCATGTCTAGTGTGTATTGCGAATTTCATAGTGGATAAAAACATCGAACAAAGAGTTTGTCTTAAATTTTGCATCGCCAATAGAATTTCGTGTTCGGAGTCACTGAAAATATTACAGAAGGCTTACGGTGAATCGACTTTATCAAAAACATGTGCTTATGAGTGGTACAAAGCGTTCAAAAGCGGTCGAGATGTGATGGAAGATTTGCCTCGCTCTGGTAGGCCATCAACGTCTGCAACTGAAGTTAACATCGCAAAAGTGAAGGAAATAGTGACTGAAAATCCCCATTCAATTTTGAGAAAGATAGCCGCCGAACTTTCTGTATCTCACGAGTCGATCCGTAGTATTTTAACTAATCATTTAGGTATGAAACATGTTACCGCTCGGCTAGTCCCAAAAGATCAGAATTTTCGCCAAAAACTCATTCGCATGACAGTCGCTGAAGACATGCTAGAACGAGTCAATTCCGACCCAACATTCATAAAACGCATTGTTACTGGTGATGAGACGTGGGTTTACGAGTTTGACATGTAAACTAGTCAACAAGCTTCGGAGTGGCGCCTTCCAACTGAACCGAAACCGAAAAAACCACGCCAAAGTCGATCAAAATGGCCTGTTGGCCTGGTCATGTTGCCTGTTTTCTTTGACTATCGCGGTGTTCTGCACTCGGAATTCTTGCCGGAAGGTCAAACGGTAAATAAAAAATATTATTTGAGCGTTATGCGGCATTTAAGAGAACAAATTCGACGAAAAAGGCCAGATTTGTGGAAAGAAAATTCTTGGATTTTGCACCACGATGATGCGCCTTCGCACAAGGCCATCATTGTGAACGAATTTTTGACCAAACACTCAACAAATACCCTCGAGCAACCACCATATTCACCAGATATGGCTCCAGCCGACTTCTTTCTTCGTGGCACCCGTTTTCAATCAGTAGGAGAATTCGCGGCGAGAACTGAACTCAATTCCGGAACCAGCGTTTAAAAAATGTTTTGATGATTAGATTATTCGTTGGCGTAAGTGTATCGTTTCTGAAGGAGCATACTTTGAAGGTGATAAAATAAATTTGGATGAATAACAAACATTTTGTGTATTATTGATCTTTTCCCGGTACTTGCTTGACAGAGTAGTATAATGATCATTTTTTGTATTGTGATTGCTTTTGAGTTTTCTTTAAAAAATAGTATGCTGATTTACATTAAATAAAGTAAAGCTTGCAAAATATTTGGATCTACTAATAGTTTATACATAATTCTATTAAATATTATTTAATTGGCCCAGACCAAATCTTTATTGACCTATTATTTATTTTAGGTACCTATACTTTTTAATATGGTGACATAATATCTATTATTACAAAACAGTATTATATAACTTTTTTTTATTAAAAAGCACAACTGTTTTAATGCAAATAAATAAGGCAGTGACATTTTAAGCTTATTAAATTAGTAGGTAGGTACACAATTTACCTGCACATAATACTAATCATGGCTGTTTATTGTCCCTTTGTAAAATGCGTGACATAAGTATGGTAGTAAATGTTACATTACTGTCCTATTCATTACTCCTGGTCATTACTTTTTTAATTTTTTTAAATTACAAAAGGTAGACATTTTTATGTTTTTTGTAAATGATTTTGGTTTTATCGAAGCGGTACTTTTATTTCTTTTATTTTTCTTCAACGACGAACAGGAAATGTACGTATTTAATACACCTATATTAGTTACAGTAATTGAGTAGTATCAGAAGATCTAGTTTAGTTAAAAACCTCTTCTCAAATACGTTATAATAATATCTAATGAATTGATAATGAATTTATTAGATTTTTTAACCTTACCCCTTGTAAGGTAAAAAATCTAATAAATGCCTTTAATTTTTTATGCAGGTAACTAAAAAAAAATAAGATCAATATTTATTTAGGAAATTCAAAATCAATGGCGCAACTTTCTCAGGATTATTCAAATGAACATGATGTGTTCCAGGCACAAAATGCAATTCATACTTTTCGTTACTTTTCTCTACAATGTCGCGCATTTCCACAGAGTATTCATCAGATGAATATGGCGAGTCTATCGCTTTAATGTACAACGTTGGACATTTGAGTCGTCTTACGAGAGCTTCGACAAATTCCTTGTTTTCAGGATTGAATAACACATATTTCAGCCTCGAGTCTCGTGAGAAATAATATTTGGTGGGATCTTGCTTTGATTGTTGTATGCCTCTTTCCATTAAGTATGGTACACTTTCTAATGCAATAGATTTTCTTGTTCCAAGGTGCCATATTTTCTTTAATTCATCCAGTGTGTAAGCCGGTGGTTCTATGTCGAGACGGGTCTGCGCAATTGCAACTTTCTCTATCAATTTTGGATAATTTTCTATAACTCGATCTAGATTGTAGTCATCATATATGAGACTGTCGATAGCTATATAAAAGTCAACGTCATTTGGAAATAAACACGAGTAACGCATACCAGCTATGGAACCCATTGAATGACTCAGTAGTGAAACTTTGTCCCATTTGAAATATTCTTTCAGATAATGTATAACGCTCGGCAATTCCCACTGGTAGTACATTATACCTGAAAATAAACAAAAGTACAATTTAGATAACTTATGCAAACGTTTTAATATTATACTAGCTATCCGCCCCGGCTTCGCACGGGTGCAATGTTGATACAGTCCCATGCAAACTTAATGGCGGTTCGGAACATCGTGCGTTTCGATGCGCAAAACACAATAATAGACGTAAAGGAGCGTGGGGGCAGGGCGACACACGACACGCATGCCTTTTAGTGTGGAGTTACATCCTTACACTGCACATATTCCTGTCTACGTACAGTCGCGTCGTCTGGACTGTAGGTACCTGCGCAAACCTGTGTGCGCAGCTAACTGCAGAGCCGCCATTAAGTTTGCATCGGACTATACTACTAATGTAGTGTAAAGTGTGGAGCAATTAATTATATTATTATGATACGACTATTATAATTATAGACTATACTAAAGGACATTTTTATATGCCACCCGGGACGGATGCACTGCCCGACGCGGCGATGGCTTTGTCCTGCATTTTAAATTTCTGATATCTATTAAGATATTCATTTTATTGATATGCTGTAAAAGGCAATTTTGGTCTATATTAAATGCACAACGTATCAAACATATTTATTTGGATAAGGAAGAATATTGTATTTTTCAAAATAGCTTCGCGAATTACCTATTAAATATATATTATATAAATATTTAGTTAATATGTAAAATATAAAAATCGCGGACTTTATCGTAGATCCTTTAGCATATACGATTCTGTAATAGGTACATTATTTTGATCTATCTCGTAAGGTTTAGCTAGCGTTTGCAATGTAAGCGCACAAAAACATGTTTTTTACGACTTCATATTACATACCTTTGAAGTTATCGGATTTCCTCCACCATAATATACATGTAATATACGAGGGGTGATCAATAAGTAATGATAATCGAGTATTTCTAGAACGCACAAAAACCCAAATTATTATTTTTCTGCTTGCTTATATATCCACTACTTCAGCTTCAAAAAAATGTATAAATAGGACACCATTACCGGGAGATACATTCATTTGAATACGAACTGTCGAAGAGAAAACATCAAAATGGAGAAAAATGAAATAAGAGCTGTCATCAAGTACCTCTGCCTGAAAAAAATGTCTACCAAAGACATACACAGCGACTTAGAGGAAACATTGGGGGAGTCTGCTCCTCCATATTCCACAGTCGCACGCTGGGCAAAGGAATTTAAGCTGGGCAGAACCTCCACTGAAGATGAACATCGCGAGGGACGCCCTTCCACGTCCCTTACTGGAGAAAACGTCAAAAAAGTGGAAGATATCGTGTTGGCCGATCGAAGGGTGACCGTAAGGCATGTAGCTGAGGTCACAGGGATCTCCTATGGCAGCGTTCAAAAAATCATTGTCAACAAAATGCATATGAAAAAGGTCTCTGCGCGTTGGGTACCGAGAATGTTAACCGACGAGCAAAAAAAGAAACGAGTCGACATTTCGAGGGTGAATCTTCAAAAGTTCCAGGCCGATAAAGAATTTTTTTGTCGCGTTTTGTGACCATGGACGAGACCTGGATCCACCACTTTGATCCCGAAACCAAACAACAATCAATGACTTGGAAACGAGCTTCCTCACCAACGCCGAAGAAATTCAAAGTGTCAAGTTCAGCGGGAAAGGTTATGGCGTCTGTTTTCTGGGATGCAGAAGGAATTATTATGGTGGAATATTTGAAAAAGGGGGCCACTATAACAGGCTCTTACTACGCAGGCCAAATAAGAAGATTGCGAGAAGCTATTAAGTCAAAAAGACGCGGTAAACTGCGCGCTGGAGTGCTGTTTCACCAAGACAACGCCCCGGCTCACAAAGCCGCAGTTGCGATGGCTGCCATTGAAAAAACGGGGTTCGAACTGCTCGAACACCCTCCCTATTCGCCAGATCTAGCTCCCAGTGACTTCTACCTCTTTCCTCGGCTCAAAGAACACCTCCGGGGCAACAAATTTGAGGACAATAGTGAAGTGATGGCCGCAGTAGAGGCATTTTGGGAGGGTCAAGACAAAGAATTTTTTTCTAAGGGAATCATGGGCTTAGAAAAAAGATACACTAAATGTATTAACTTGCAAGGAGACTATGTTGAAAAATAAAATATTTTTTTTAATCTAATAGTTCTGTTTCATATTGATTATCATTACTTATTGATCACCCCTCGTACATATACGCAAACTGTATACATATATGCAATTGTTTATGGCCGAGCAGTACCGTATACGTTGCATCCCGGCCACGTGTATAAAATAGATATGATGTTCAGAATGTTCTAAAATACGAGTATACACTCAAAAAATGTTCCTATTGTGTTCTTATTTTTGTTTTAAAAAAAAATTACCAAGAGACGCCTACATTAACAAAAAAGTATTTCAAATAAGAACTGTCATTAAGCACCTAAACTACTGAAATAGCAATGTAAGTATGTAAGCAATTAAACAACAAGGAAGAAGCGAAGGCGCTTTGTGCAAATTCTTATATTTGTGGTACATTCAATCTATTGATTGGTACAGCAAGAACAATAAAATAACATTTAATTGATACGTCTATAAATGACGAAACCGACTTAAATCTGACTGATAGCTTCAGAAGCCTTTAAACAAACAAACAAATATTTTTTTTTATTATAATCGTATACAGTAGTACACTACCGACCGGAAACCACTTCAAACAAGCGTTTAGCTCAGCTGAAATGGTCATCAAAAACACTAATATGTGACTCATAGAATCCTAGTAATAATTAAAAATGAATTTGGTCATAATTTTTACATTTCACGTAAAATTTAGGTACACAAAAAAATATAATTATCACCACGACATTTGCAAAAAATATATAGCCCTTTTATTTACCAGCAGGGATCCACGAGGACAGTCCGTGACCTGGGAAATCAATCGCTAGTATAGATCTATCTTTAATTATCATGGGTGCTAGCGGGTCCCATGTTCCCGCGTTATCCTGCCAGCCATGCAGGGCCAGTATAGGTCGTTGGTCGCTGCTACCCCATAGCTTTGCTGATATGTGGCCATATTTCACTGGTATCTGAATTTCCTTGACTGGAGTCTGCAAACATTTAAAGTAATCGGTTAACTTCATCATCATCATCACATATAAAATTACTTGCCCTGACCGACTGACTGCTTCATCCATTATCCATTTATCAACGCAGAGCCTAAACCGCTGGAGCTACAAACTTAAAATTTTGGCAGCTGATGCTTTCCATGTTGTAAGCACCCAAGAAAGGATTTTTGGAAGTTTCACCCCTATGGGCTGAACGGTTGTATGGCAGTTCGTCGGTTTCAAAGTTAGAAACACGAAATAATAAATAATCACGCGAGCGATGCCGCGTGCAATAGCTAGTAGTCGTTTAATAACGGCTTTCTCACGGCATAATTTTACTAGATTTTCAATTCAATCTTGTCATACATCGTAAACACTCCAATTCAATGTCATTGAAAGATTAGTGCCGCGTGTGGAAGCTAATGGACCGATTATGTAATTTTATGAGCGGTGTGTTGCTATGTTTTTAACAGTACTTAACTGATTTTTGTGCATGTTTTGCCAGTTAGGTGGTTACATTAATTTACATTGTGAAATCAACATCGGTGTAATTTATTTTCTATAAAAATAAAAACTAGAAGACAAAATAGACCTTCTTAGTCAATTACAGCCAATGAGAAATGAGAATTACAGCCAAGAAAGAAAGCAAGAAAATTAATGAAAATGTATCACTTCGAAGCCGATGACACTTTTATTTTTACGTCAATCTTGGGGATTATTTCTGCGAGGGCTTTTAGTATAAGAAAGTCACTCTACCGTGTAAAAATAACGCGTTTTTACATATCGTTTTGTTACATATCGCCGATCGCTGTAAGTTACCGGTTCATTATTAATAAATAACAGAACAATGTTGGGTCGTTAATTAATATTTATCATAAATGTAATGATTACTTTAAATTTCTTATTGTTATAATTATTCATATAGTTAGATAATTAGTTAGATGTTTAATAACACATTAACAAACTCACCTGAGTATGTATTGTTTTAGGCAAAACTTGTAGAGACGACTTTAATTTCGGAGCATTAGAGTTGAAACTCAAATGAGAAATGAAGCGTTTAGCCATGATTAGGAAGTTACGTTAATTAAAATTACTACGTTAAGTACAGTCACAAACATTCAACAATTAAAAATACTGTATTGGTCGTTATAATTACTGCATGTACAATTTAATTCACTAACACTAGCAGCGTTTCACAAAAGAGGTTAGGTTGTAGATGAATACATAAAATTTTATATTTTATAATATTTCACACAAAACTCGAGAGATATTTATTTGAAAAATTCTAAAAATTACTCTGTTTTTTGTGACAAAGTAATGTAATGTATAACAAAAAGAAATTTACGTCGAACGTTTGCGTTAGACTGGCACTACACCACAGCATGACGCACCATGTCAGGCTAAATAATATTGCCAAGGTCGCGATCTATGGTACAGACCTATAGACGTACGTACGTACGAATAGTATAGTACATATTTATATCTACTATGAGTTTTACCTGACGTATTTGGGTACAATATAATTATGGACTTTGGTCGCTTGTTTGTATTCTTTGAGTTGAATAACATTAATCATGTAAGTATTACATAATACCTACTATGTTTCCTTAACATAGCGACTGAACACATTACGATAATGTTGGCTACATTACATCATAATTACATTATTAATTATACTTATACAGAGTTACTGGTTGGTTTAAATAATTCATTCTCAAAAAGACAATACAAAAACCACTTGCATGAGAATACAAAATAACATTTTTGTTAAATTATTAAGTACCGGTAAATTATTAGATTAACTGAGTAATATCAATGAAGACTTAATAGTTAAAAAGTAAATAATCTATACAATAAAATTAAATACATATACAAATTAATTAGTAGGTATGTAATACAAACTAGGCACACGCTCATCACTTTTATTCTCACCCAGATTATTGTTACTGTTTAAAGATTTTTTTTCGATATTGTATTTAGATGGTTGAGATTTAAAAACGCTGAACGAGCTTATACTTTTTAAATCTGACGGTAAATTATGATAAATATGTGTTACTTCATATGTGATATTTTTTTTTGGCATAATTTGTGTGAGTTCTTGGTAATACAAGTAAGTTAGGTTGACGCCTGCTACGTTAAGATACCTCCGAAATTTTGGTAAACGATAAGTTAGTTTGAATCTTTTTATCTAATATTTTCCTTATCAGCATACAAGTCTTATACAAATAAAGTTGCCTAATATTCACCGACTTAGTTTCTTCAAAAAAATTATAAGCAGGTGTTAAGTATGAATAGTGAAATAATATCTATATGATCTTGTTTTGTGCTCTTTGTAATTCTTGTAAGTTCGTTTTCCCTGAGTTTTCCCAAATTTCTATTAAGTAAAGTAAATGTGATTTGACTAGAGAGTTGTGTTGTAGAGTGAACCAGCGAGTGACGAAAGTTTATCTTTAAAAAGATCTATTTTGGTATTCCAGTTGAGGAATATCTTGGCTTAAGAATGGATAACCATTCTTAAGCCAAGATATTTTTCACAGTGTTTTTGTTGTAATGGGATGTTATTAACAGTCAATGGTTCATGATCCGGAATATTTTTATTTTTACCTTTAAATATTAAGTAACAAGTTTTTAAAATATTAATAGAAAGCAAATTTAAATTGGAGCCACTCAAATAGAATACTTAGATCTTGTTGGGCTTGTTAGTAACAATATTCTTAGAGACTAGTGTTAGTACAGTTACAGTACATAAAGAAAACAAACCATGAAACAAAACAAAACATAGAAAAATAGACATATACACACACAACAATCATTTTTATTTGAAAATATGGATAGAAGAGTTCAAGTAGACGCCGTATACACGGACTTTCGGAAGGCTTTCGACGAGCTTTCAATGGTATTAGAGGTAACTTATTAAGATAGTTCGCCTCGTATACATGTAACCGCAGTCAGAGGGTTGTAATAAACGGATTTAAGTCTGATATTGTCAAAATCACGTCTGGCGTCCCGTAGGCCCCTTGTTATTTGTCCTGTTTATTAACGATATTAATTCATGCTTTAAACATTTTAATTACATATCTTAAGGTCTACAAAAGAATCAATAACGAAAATGATTGTTTGCTTCTACAACAGGACCTAGACCGTCTCACTGAATACTGTCAATTAAACAAACTTCATTGAAGTCTTCCAAAGTGTAATTATATTCATTTTACAAAAAATAAGAACATTTTCAACTTTAATTACCAATTATGTAATAGAACACTAAACAAAGTTGACTCATTGCGGGACCTTGGATTAGAATTAGACGTTTAGCTACATTTAGGTATTCATGTTCAAGAAATTATTAACAAAGCACTGCAAATGTATGGTTTTGTCATGAGGTCCAGTAAGAATTTTAATCGACCGTCTACTTATATTTATCTTTTTATCACACTCATTAGGCCTCAGTTAGAATATGCCACTTGCATCTGGAACCCTCTATATATTAAATATAAAGACTCTTTGGAAAAAGTGCAGAATAAGTTTTATCGAAGCATTCATTTCAGGTGCTGTCTTTGCTATCCTTCGCATACACAAATTCTTAGCAAATATAATATTCTAACGCTGCAGCAGAGACGTCTGCTTTTGGGAGCAGTAACTTTATACAATTTGTGTCATAATAAATATAATTGTATTGATGTCAATGACAAATTGTGCTATAGTGTACGTGTACGAACTATACCAATTTAGAACAAGACGTGCACAGCAAGCAAGCACACACAAGTTGGTTGTGCATTAATTACTGTTATCTATTTCTACTAATATTAAACTTATTGTAAAATTGTTTATTGTCCCAAATAAAATAAAATAAAAATAAAATCATGCCCGCCATTATCCTAGGAAAACTATGATCTCACTTTTCTATTTATGTACTTATAAGCCGCAAGTCGTAAATGTCATTCATTTATTTCCGTTTCATGCTTTTTTATGTCAAATATACAGTATGTGATGAAGGTTATCACAAAAACTGAAAATCCAGATAACACGGTTCAATATCCGTCGGTTAAAATTTTTTTTTTTACTTAAATACAGAAATGGAAATTTAGAACAAAATAAATACAATAAAATAATTGCCGAATTACAACACCATTGTGAACTGTACACGGCAGCGTCGCAATGTCGGCGAAATCAAAGCGACGCCGCCACCACGACGAGCCGGCGAACTTCATTTATTTATTTATTGATTTATTTATTTATTTATTTATTTATTTATTTATTTATTTATTTATTTATTTATTTATTTATTTATTTATTTATTTATTTATTTATTTATTTACAAATTTATTATATTTTATTTATGTACAAATGTGCTAATTGTACTACCAACAGCATTATCCACTTTTTACTATACACAATGTTATAATAAAATGGTGCATGCTACGTGATAATATTTATAATATAATATAATTTTTTTTTTTGATATAAATTATTACAACTCTTATTTGCACAACAAAAATGTAGACACACGATGTGTGTCTAAATTAGACATAAATTAAATTAAAATGGTAAATAATTACCTAAATTCAGAAACCAACCCGGAAGCAGTCATATCATTGCACTCTAGTACAATTTTTTTATATGTGATTGCTGAATGCATGAAGATATCCGTACTGTTAAAATAGGTATTGTAATTGTCTACAAGCCGTCGCAGAGGTGTTCTTACGCCTGCATTTGTTTTAGGGACCTGGTAAGGCGTAATCGCTAAGAGACGATGTGAGCGAACCTGCCTTCGCATGACTGTTCTGGGAACGATGTAACATAATCTATTTGATAATTCCAGACAGTCATACTTGTTATGAACAATGCCATGTAAGAACATAGTTCCAAGAAGGAGTCTCCTGCTTTCCAAGGTAGACAAATTGTATTTCAGGAGTAGACAATCATATGCCTGATAGCCATGGCAACATCTGTAATGAAGCGTGCGCAAGAATTTTTTTTGGACATTTTCCAATGCCCCGATGTATTTTTTGTAAAACGGATTCCAGATCATGGTAGCAAACTCGAGACAAGATCTTACTAGCGTTATATAAAGGTATCTACAAGTATTTGGGTTTTTAAATTCTTTAGTGTTCCGTATAACAAATCCGAGCATTCTATATGCAGCCTTAATGATATTTTCGATATGAATGTCAAAATGCAATTTAGAATCTATAACAACACCAAGGTCTGTAAGCGAAGCTACTTTAATCAAAGGTTGGTCATTTAAGAAATATGTGCAGTTGAATATCTTTTTATCTTTTGTGAAGGATATAGCATTACATTTAGGCAAGCTTAGGAAAAGTTTATTTTCACTACAATATTTTGCCAGCCGATTTAAATCACGGAAAAGCTGGCAGTCATTAAGATCATTGATAGTTTTATAGATTTTGAGGTCATCTGCGTATAACAAAAATTTAGAATGAAAGAAACAAGTGTCAATATCGTTAATAAATAGAACAAATAATAAAGGACCCAAAATAGAGCCCTGAGGAACTCCAGATGTTACGAAAATTTGGTCCGATTGAAATCCATTAATAACTACTTTTTGTGTACGGTTGGTTATATAGGAAATAAACCATCTTAAAAGATCTCCACGAATGCCATTAAAAGCTATTTTGTTTAATAACATCTCATGGTCCACCTTATCGAATGCCTTTTGTAAGTCAGTATACACTGCGTCAGTTTGACAACGATTGTCCATATTTTCAAAAAGGTAGCTTACAAAATTAATTAGATTGGTAGCTGTTGATCTATTTTTAACAAAGCCATGTTGCTGTTTGATAATGATCTTATGCAAGACTGGATAAATTTCGCTGTGAATCAATCTTTCAAAAAGCTTCGACAGAGCGGACAAAATAGAGATTGGGCGATAATTCTCTACGACATTCTTACATCCTTTCTTGAAAACCGGTGTCAAGTTTGCCTCTTTCCAGATAGCTGGTAATTGGCCCTCCTTTAGACACTTGCGGAATAATAGATGAATTGCTAAATAAATATGATCAGCAACATTTTTTAGAAACGATGCTGGTAGTCCATCAGGACCTGGTCCCTTTGTCGGATCTAATAACTTCAGCTCCTCACGAACCTTGGAGGCGTCAAAATCGATATCAGAGATTATTTCACAGTTAACATTATAATCCAGTGGTGGGACCCACATATCTAAATCCAATGCTGATGGTTCATAGACAGAATTAAAATATTGACAGAAAAGCTGACATATTTCATGAGGGTCACTACTAGAAATATTATTATAACACATGTTATGAGGAATTCCCGAATTGTTTTGCTTATTAGCAATGTAACTCCAGAAATATTTATGGTTCAGATGGATACTTTGTTCAACATTATCAAGATAGTTAGCATAGCATAGAGCGCATTCCTTACGGAAGCGACGGCGATATAGGGAAAATTGCTCGTAGTCAGAGAGATTTTGATACTTTTTTCATTTGATCCATGTTCGAGATTTGCTTTTGAATAATTTAATAAGGGGTTGACTGAACCAAGTAGGAAAAGTAGAGTTTTTACAGTTAATTCGAGGGACATGTTGCTTGATAACACCAAAAAGATGGTCGTAGAATGTATTTATAGCTTCTTGAGCCTTTAAATTACTGAGGATGTCATTACAGTTTATCACAGATAATTCATTTTTGATCGAATCGTAATCGGCTTTTTTATAATTTAATTTAATAATCGGGCAGCGTTCAAGTAAGGAAAAATCATAGCAGTGAAAGGAGGGTGATAGGAATCTATAGGGACTAAACAGTCGGCTGCTTGAGATAAACTACAGTTATCATTTGAGATTAGTAAGTTGAGTGTTCTGTTGCTTATATTAGGTATATTAGGTATACTTTACATTCTTATTACCTACCTACTAATCAGATTACTTCCTTTGAAAAATCTATTTATTAAAAATACGATTTCATTCACGTGTTTATTTTGGGAATGCTCGGCTAGCTTCGTACCCGGCAGTACGTGTCACTCCTTGAAAAAGTAGGTACTTTGGTTGTCTCGTAATCTTTGTACCGCCCTTACAAAAATTCGGCAGTCCGTAGGACATACACGATTGATTCCATGCCGCGGTTTGTCCGTATTGCTAAAGATGCGTTTTGGTAGAGTTCCCCGTAAATTAACATGACAAGATATAACGCTCCTGCGAAGATCACTCACGGCATTATAGATGTTGATACCGATACCCCCCAAAATAAAATACAAAAGACTGATAATTCACTCAGTTTCACACTACACTACACACAACCTGATATTGACACTTTTCAAAATAAAATTAGCAGGACTCGATACTTTACGAAGTCTTGCGCACAAGATAACATTAATTGTTCACACCATTGTCGTGTATTATGACGAAAGCAATAAGACTAAACAATTATTAACACAAGAAAACTTTTCTAAACAAATATCTCATGAACAGCAACAATATTACGATTACGGTAATTTGTCGTGAGCGCATCTACAAGGACACAGAACAGCATAACACTCGCCGATGGCCAAGGGCCGACTGACTGGACTTCCTGGATGAACTAATTAAAAACGCGTGTCTTTCATCCTGATGACGCAATAACCAACAAATTTCGTTCGATTCGAGTATAGTAAAAGCGGCAACGCGTGATTACCGCGCAGCGTATACCTACAGCTGATCGCCGCCTGAGGTCAATGTATTATGACTGCATTTACACATGATGTTGCAAATTACGAAAACAAAAAATGTCCTGTTTCTAAACCACTGGATATTTTTTGTTCATATTTTGCCAATCGTCTAGAAATAAAGTGCAGAATATGTGGTTTACAGATTCGTTAAAAGATACATCATAGTCTGTATACAAAATTTTCAAAAACCGAGGCTGAGAATTGGTTACATTATTTAATTTCATTAATCTTATAATTATAAAGAAAAAAAATTGCCACAGAAGAATAAGGGAAGAAGACATTGTATTTTATTAAGCTAAGTAGTACCAATACAATAGCGACAGCTGTTGTGGCCGAATACCCCAAACAGGATATCGGTCTAATTTTGAGGCCGGATATCGGGATACTCAGCTCGGAATGATGATTAATGAAAAACACCAAAACTACTTTAGCTCAGATTTTTTATTTTGCACAATTTTAATGTAAAAAGGCGATCACAATAATCAGAAGGAGGTAACGTCTCGTCTCTCTACTTTTAAAAGACGGTGAAACGACCATGATTAAAACTTCCGTTGAACCATTTAAATTTAAAAAGAAAAGCGTTTATTAATTTCAATGAGGTTAATGCAGAGACCTCACAGACGCATGAGTGACCAGGTGACACATATCAGGCCTCTCTACTTCTTGGCAGGTAACATAGACTTGAGAAAACAAAGTGGAAGGGTTTGTACCCTTTTCACATTCTCTTCGTTTCATCTCTTGATTGTTTTGCAGCGCAAGGCATTTTATAAATCCGAACGTAAATTTGAATATTTGTTTGTTACAATTTTAGGCATTGACCACTCAATCAATATGTGTTAAAAAAATGTAAACATTATCAGGGGTACAGTTAGAGACATATGGGACCTTCCATGTTCAAAAAAAGTTCCCGAGAGGTAGAAATATAACATTAAAGGCGCACATGATATTAGGCACGGGTAAAAGCAAGGTATTCACTAGCATAAATACGGGTTTTACTCCGACTTCGTTTGGTTTTTGAAGTTTTCTAATTTCGTTTTTCATTTTAATTTATTGTTAATTCGTTGTGTTATCTTTTCATATACTTGTTCAAAAAATTTAAAATCAATGGTGCAACTTTCTCTGGATCATTTAAATGAACATGATGCGTTCCCAGCACTGTATGTGATTCATATTTTTCGTTATTTTTCTGAAGCTTGTTCTGGAGTTCTGCAGAGGACTTGTCGTTTTCATAGGGCGAGTCCGTTGCCTTGATGAATAATGTTGGACATTTTAGGCGCTTTATGAGATTTTCAATAAATTCATTGCGTTCATTAGCGAATAAAATATATTTTGTACGTGGGTCACGCGTAAAATAGTACTTAGTGGGGTTATGCTCTGACTGTTTTATGCCTCTTTCCAACAAGTAAGGAATTCTTTTTAAAGCTACAGATTTGTTTGACCCGAAGTATTTAATTTTTGTTATCTCATTTAATGTGTAAAGAGGTGGTTCATTTTTCAGTCGAGTCTGTGAAATTGCAGCTTTCTGTATTAATGTAGGATACATATCCATGACTTTATCTAGATTTTCGTACAAGTAGCCGTATACAAGAATGTCTATACCTATATACAAGTCAACGTCATCTGGAAATAAACCCGAGTAACGCCTAGCAGCTAAAGAACCCATGGAATGAGACAGTAGAGAAACTTTGTCCCATTTAAAGTACTGTTTTATATATAGGATAACTTTTATCCATTCCCAATCGCAGTACATCATACCTGAAAAGAAATAAAATGAAATTATAGTGGTAGTTGAAAGCGAAAAAATAACAATGATTGATTCAATAAAGTTTCATAAATAGTTAACTTTTAAAGAAGTATCACGGACTTTAATGTGATATCAATACTGATGAATTTGTAAACTTCATTCTTCATCCCTTAATCCAACCCCTTAGCGGTGAGCCTTTTAATAGGGCCAAAGGGAAAGTATACTCTTTCAAATAAAAAAGAATTTAACAAAAAAATACAGCTGAATTAAGAAACCTCGTCCTTTTTTTAAAGTCGTGAAAGAGAAGTTTTGTATTATACGTTAATCAGTAAAAATGCTTTTTTAATGCATACGAATTCAGTTTTTGTTTGATGATGGTTTCGCCCTTCGTGTGAGAGACCGAAACGAGCTTAGCATGAGTTAGCTAGCTAGTTTGACACTACCGTCGTTGGATGAAGAAAAGTGTAAACTTGATTTTTTTATTTTAAGATGAGAACCGCAAATATTTTCGACTTCTTGGTATTATTTTTAATATAATATAAACTTCAGTTTTATTTATTTTCTTCAGATGAATGCATATGCATGTATTCGTCAATAACTTTTTCGTAATTAGTTAGGTAGTTTGACATAGTGAATAATTATTCGCACTTAGTCTCGACGTCTACAAAAAAAGTGTGTACCTACATTCAATTGTTTTTATTTACCATCAGGAATCCACGAAGACAATCCATGACCTGGGAAATCAATTGCTAGTATAGATCTGTCTTTAATTAGCATGGGTGCAAGTGCATCCCAGGTGCCTGCATTATCCTGCCATCCGTGCAAAGCCAGTATAGGCCGCTTGTCGCTGCTTCCCCAAAGCTTACCTGATATGTATCCATACTTTAACGGTATCTGAATTTCCTGGGTTGATAGCTGTAATCTTTAAAAAACAGATCTAAAGCCAAATTTTTTGCTTCTAGGAGGCAAGGCATAGCATCTGCAAGGCCTTGCCTCCTGCTTGCCTGCTTAAAATATCTTTCTCACAAAGGTCATCGTCAGACGTAATGATTATGGTAATAGAAGGGTCAAAAGAGCTCTTTGCGTCATGGTGCTGCAATACTATTGCGTATGGCGACTAAGTATGACTGTGCGTTTAAGTTTTAACTCACAGATATACTATAAGGTGAGCCGTGCACAAACAAGAGCAGCGCAGTTTTATACGTGAGATTACGCTTATGCGGACGTAGAAATAAAAAACTGTTTTTTAACACAATTCTGAAAAATGTATATTCCTTTTTAGAAACTTATATGTACTATACTTATAAATGCATAATTGATAATAAGCTCGCCAAAGAAAAATAAACTTGAACATTGGACAAGGAGAGTCGTAAACGAATTTGTAATTTATCTATGCACAAATTCTATGAAAAATAGAATAAAATGGATAGATATTCTTTAACTACACTAACAGACCTAGAAGTATTAATTGAAATGAAGATGTGTGAAATACAAAGATAAAACTTAGCTCACCTTAGTATGTAGTTTTTACTCAAATTTGCTAGAGGCTTCTTTAAATTCTTGAAAATCAGAGAGTAGCTCAAAATGCTAGACATTTTAACTTACGTCACAAACAAACAAAATTGTTTACTGTAATTTTCTTTCTAAATTGTTACCACATAAGAGATCTATCACAGTCAGCTCTTTCAAAAAGTAACTGTGTAGCAGTTGGAAGAATACACTTATTGTTTTTTGTAAAAGTAAGGAAGTGCTTATTATTAGAAAAAAATATATTTATAACGTTGGAATTTAAATTCAGTGGTGAAATAGTAGGCCAATGTTTAAAATAAGGCTTGAGTTTGCGTCAACTTAACACAACTATATACCAAGTAAAAATAACATTACTAAGTACGCGAACTAAGTTTTATAAACTCAAGTCGAGTGCAAAAAAAACCTGAACAGTGTAACGCTAAAATTTAGTACGATAATTTGTAATTAAAAATCACGATTACAATTATAGTCATTATTTATGTACTTGTACTTAGTGAAACTTAAATTGGCATATAATTATTGATTATTAATATAATTCTCATTTTGCTGGTGATTCTTATTCTTATATTTTTTGTGGGAGTTGTAAGAATTGAATATATTCCTTGGCGAAATCAGAAAACTGTATACCTATTCATAATTTTTATACAAAAAAATATTTTAATATCAAATGCGGGCATCTAACACGGTCCGTGACATTTTGGACTTAGGGTTCTTTTTAAATGTCATTTTAAAAAAATTATGACAAAATTTATTTTGTACTTCGGGCATACTGAAAGTTTCTGGATTCTGATAAATAAGACTAGATATGAGACTTACGATACATTTATTGTTTTACAAAGTATATTCCCTCGCCACTATTGTATTTTTATATTCGCTGAAACCATTGTACAAAGCAACTTGTACAAAGCAGTTGGACCAGTATTCCTTGGGACTTCTTCAATGGCTTCATGGTACGCATTCGACGCCGATTCCGGGATCGAAAAACCTGTGCCTCTAAGTTTGTCGTTGGGTGCGAGGTCCGGGCTGTAAGACGGATGCGTCAGCAGTTCCACATTTGAAGCCTTCAGCTAGGCTTCTGTTACCTTAGCGGAATGTGAGGATGCGTTATCGTGGTGAAGGAGGTCATTGCTTCTAGGACGCTTTTCTAAGATTGGGCAAGCAAGTGCTGACATACCGATCTGCTGTCACTGTCCTTTGATTTTCAAGCGCTGCAGTAGTGTAATGTCCTGATTTGCCGAAAAAATAAACCAGGTTACGCAGTACACCCAGGTTACGTCACCTGTCACGATATTATATACAGCCAATGACTGTCCTCCGTTTAACTTTTTTATCATTTTACAGCATCACTTGACACGCAGTCATTTCTGGTCCTGCGTTAAGCCATGATAAACATGTAAAATGTTTTCACTTGGCTCATTCCAATGCCTAACAAAGCACGAATTTGCTGGCAAGTAATTTTTTGTCAGTTTCAATAAGTTGTCGTACGGTGTCAATATTAGAGTCTGTAACCGCAGTCGCCGGCGACCGTCACGTACCTCGTCATGGGGGTGATCAAGTCCACGTCTAAATTCCAAGGTGCTTCATCACCAAATGCCAATTGAAGTCTCTGGCAACTCTCTCTGCCACAACGAAAATCATAAAAAATCATTGAACGAAAATTTTCACGAGTTAAATTGATTTTGATAGCGACACACAATTTTCAAAAGAACGTCGCAATGAAAAAGCAAATGACAGTCTCGCAAATTAAAAAGTAACATGTTCCCAAACAGTTCCATTTTCGAATTCCATAATTGTTTTTTTATTCTTTTGTTGTAAGTGGCCAGATCTAGACACTTTCAGTATGCCCCACGTATGATACTATAAAAATGCGTTACTCGGTAGAAAAGCATCTTGGATACCGGCAGTCCTTTCTAAGAAAACGTCAACACTGTCTTCTTGTCAGATTTTCATATGGCTGAATGTAGATTAAGAGTGACTAGCAAAAAATATTTTTTATTTATTTTAAAAAAAGGACAACCTTAACAAGTCAACGTCACGGTACTATTATAATATGTACCGTGTCAACGTCGTGCACGAGTTTTGAATATAAGTACCAGTGTCATGGTGTTATTTGTGTTCAATATACCTACAACGCCATCAAGTGGCAAAACGGCGCAACTGATTTCATCGCGTAAACATCGTGCGATCTGCGGTGCTACCATCAAGCTCCACTTCACACACTCTTTTTTTTACGATGCTTTGTGCTGCCGAGTGCATCGTTTTTTTTCTCACAAATTGTAAATTATAACAAATATCCGTTTATATTTAAAAACCGAAAAGTAAATCGTTCATTGAAGACGTCCTCGCTCCTCAATCGATAGGAATAGGGATCAGTCCATACAAATGAAACATAATATGTACCTCATATGGTGTAGTTTAAATGATTACTTAAAATTTGCGAAATCAACACAAATTTTTATGTTATATACCGAACACGTGTATAATTGTCAAGGCCATGGTAAAAAAAAAAACCGGTCAGGTACGAGTCGAACTCGTGCGACGAGGGTTCCGTACCTACCCAGATTTTACGTAGATTTTCGCGAAGTAGTAAGTAGTAAAAGTTATCTTGATTTCAACTTTTTTTATTTTTTGGAATTATACCTTTATTTGTGCTGTAAGACGTTTCTTTTTGCCAAATTTCGTATTTCGTAAGCCCCATTTCTAAAAGGTGCAATTAAATAAAATAATTTACCATAACAACAAATCATTCCAATGGAATATAATGTCACGACCACACATTATCTATGTACTCAAAAAGTCCGTGGTTGTGTCGTTTTTAGGGTTCCGTACCTCAAAAGGTAAAAAAGGAACCCTTATAAGATCACTTTCTTGTCCGTCTGTCCGTGTGTCACCACCGATTTTCTCAGGAACGGGTAGACCTTGCAAGACCTTGCAAGTTGAAATTATATATATTATCTATGGTCTCTATTAGGTGTATAAAAATCAAGAGTAGGGACTTCTGGTGGCAGATTAACTCCTGCGGTAGGCGATAGGATGGCGGCCTGGTCGCAAAAATGCGATCGGGCCGCAAATAATATTATGACAAGTATTGGCCGATAGGCGGGGAAGCCTTCTTTCCCTGGGATAGGGTCGGGCTAAGCGCGGCGTCGATCCGGGGAGACCTGAAATAACATGGTCCGGGTCCTCCTCGGAGTAGGGCACCTAAGTCCGGCCGTCGGGGTGGTTTTTAGTAGAAACACGACATATTCCTGGCGCCTACATCCCCACGGAGCCGGAGATCTGAAGGGATTTTCCACCCCGTCAACAATAAAAAAAAAGGAGTAGAAAAATCAAGGTCCTGAGTCAACACGATAAAAGATATGGGCAAATTTCGATTTTCGCGGAAATTTGTAAGTACTAAAATTTACCTTAATTTTCAACTTTTTTTATTTTTCAGAATTTTCTCTTTACTTGTGCTGTAAGACCTTGCTTTTAACCAAAATTGACAATTCTAGGTCAACCGGAAGTACCCTATAGGTTTTGGGTCTAAAACCTATATGGTAGTTCCCGTAGACTCCCGTAGAAATGAAGATAAATTTTGGTACTTACAAATTTTCGCGAAAATCTTCGTAAAATCTGGGTACCTACCCGGAACGGACGGAACCCTCGGCGCACGAGTTCGACTCGTACCTGACCGGTTTTTTTTTATATTTTCTACGTTTTCTCTCTGTTAAAGACCCTTGTCATGACAGATTTTATAAACGTATTGTGAAAATTATGAGAGAATGTAAAATCATACACTGCCATATTAGATTTGCAAGTAGCACAGTAACGATTTATGCAATTGCGTTATCCGTTCAATGAAACAATCGCATGATAACAGCTGCGCTATGGAGTGTGATAAAAAATATTTAACATTTATTTATAATAAATGGGAGCTACTAAATATAATTATGGCGATTGAAAGCTACTAAACCTACAAGATTGGATGCTACGATTTATTAGGACCCGGCCGGTCTGTAGGGTTATGCAAGTTTATATGGAACACTTGAGTTTTATATACAAGAGACTAGAAATTATGTAGGTAGGTAGGTAGTTTTTGAATACGCCGCCGCAGCACGCCAGGTTAACGAGGTCTTGAGACCGGCGTGCTTTCGCAACTTCAGATGAATGTTCTGATGATTAGGGTATTTGACCACTTTTACCATAATTTTTGAACTTGTTTATTATTAGGATTATAAAATTGCGATGTAAACTAATCTCTATAGACATTAGTTGAGCCAGTAGGTACCTCTTACAATTCTATGCTGCTGTTTGACTTTAAAAAAAGACGAACGTCAGTAAATTTATTTCTACAAAAATTATACTTATACGTAGTTTTTCAGTGTTTTGCATTTTTTTAATCTAAGTAATTCACTATTTAATTACTTTATTTGAATAATAATTTATGTTTAATTTCCTTATCTATTATCATTTTTATTGGCCAGTTGTATTTTATTTTATTTTAAATTCAGAACTAGTATAATACTAGAGGAATCTGTTCTACATTGAATAATATTGTACCTAAAATAATAAAGAAAATAAGAACCAGTGGCTGTGTTTGAAATTAAGTTAGCTAAATAATTAAAATAGCCAACTTAAACCTATCAATAGGTAGCACATACAAACAATAGTATTTTATTAATATTAAAGGTTTGCATAAGAGGTGTATTAAATTTAATCTTTATTAAGTTATTTTATACTTTTTAGTTTTTGAAGTCGGTTTTTTAAACGTAGTTTTTTTTATTTTTTACTTTTTAGTGTCTGAAATAGGTTGTTCTGTTAACTACAGTAGGATTTTTCTAGATTACATCAGGTAAACTAACTAACAGGTAAACTATAACATTTCGTTGAACTTTTCAGGCCAATAAAGGTTACGGTGATGTCGAGAGATTAATGCTTCCACTAATTTTAAGTTGGGCTGTCACCGTTCACAAGCTCCAAGGTACGACATTGGAGAGGGCGGTGATAAACCTCGGAAAAAAAAAATTGCAAAAGGTCAGATATATGTATGTGGCTTTAAGTCGAGTGAAGAATTTAGATGGCGTGGCATTAAGTGATTTGGAACCATCTAAATTATTACACAAACCACATGATGACAAAGCAATACAGGCAATTAAGACAGTTAAATCTAGATTAATTTTTTACTTATTTAAAAAAAATCCTTTTTATTTATTTCTTCGTGCCGAGATTTTATATGCCATCGTATTGGTTATAATATTTCTCAATTTCTCTACTCCGCAAGCTCGCTCCGCTTCAATGACAGGTAGCCTAAGACCCACTTACCGGGACACGGGTTAATAGTAATATATAATCAACTTAAATGAAAACTCCTAAAAAGGCCGTACACAAACTAAAATTATATCATCCAAGTAAACAATAATATTCATTAAAAATGTTCATAAAATGAAAACTACTGGGCCTAACTATGTTAAATTTTTATGGGACCAAATGGCAACTATTCCGCATCAAACTAAAGAAGAATCGCGTAAATCGGATCATAAATCTCAGAGTAATCGGTGTACATACATAAAAAAAAAAACCAATCGAATTGAGAACCTCCTCCTTTTTGAAGTCGGTTAGAAAACAATAACCCGTCCACCACGGACTAGTGCGTGCGTAGGCCTCGAACTGATCCGTCAAGGATGTAATGTATAAATTCATCACCCTTGGGTGGGCCTTTAGATGTCCCCTTTTTTTTTTTCCGTGCGGAAATCCCCTCGGATACCACCTCGGATATCGGTGGCATGTCGGACTCGAACCGACTAAAACCGCACGCCGTCTCGGGTACTAATAGCCGGGGAACCAGGTATACCCTAGAAAGGAAGTCCCTGGTGCCCCGACATACCTCGGGTCATCTACAATAAGTAGACGTGTGGAAACCCCATGTTCCCTCTGCTCCCTGGAAGCGAGCGCGCTCGCCGCCACCCTGGCCTGCTTCTGCTAGGGTGACAGATGGCCTCACCTGTCACCCCCAGGCCTGCGCTTATGGAGGACGAATTTAGATGTCCCCTAAATAGTAGAGGGGCAAACGAGCAGATTTGTCACCTGATGGTAAGTAACTATCGCCGCCAAGCATCTGCAATGAAGAGACAAAAGTGTTTTACTGCCCCCCGAGTGCTACCCCCCCACTGTATACATAGATAATGTCATAAAAAATAAAAAAATGCCTTGTATATTCATAATTATTCGTTCGGCCATGAAGCCTAAGCAATACTGGCCAACAGAATGTAGATACATATAATATAAAAAATAAAATGAAAAAATTATGTACAAATACACAAAAATATAATTCAATAACTTTTAATAACTTGCTCCAGTAGGTAATATTTTTAAGAGACATAATTTCTTGTTTAAACAATAATATCCAAATCAATTAAACGGTTGGTTGGATCAAAGAAGCACTAGATGTTAGTATTGTTCGACCTCGAGGAGCTTAAAGATGAACATGAAATAGTAGCATGAGCGATTGGGCGTGAAGGCCATGATTAGATGCTTTTTGTTTCATTTTTCTTTAAGTATGTAAAAACCGGTTTATATGTAGGTCTTCAACCAGAAGTAGATACGATCAGGGACCGGCACAGATTAGGACCAGCCTATGAAACGCCACTTCAACTAAGACGCTATTCCGACCTTACATCCTTAAATATTGTATACATTTTTTAATTGTAAGTTCAGTTAGAACTAAATTTTGGAAACCCATACGTGATAGACTGTTTTACTTAGTGGGCAGCATAGAAAGGCAGATAATACACGCCGCATGATATTATTTGCCTCTCTAAACATGAATGGCAGGCATGGCAGCAGACTTCTTTAAATATTGGTTTAAGGTGTAAGTTTCCCTGAATAAGTGTGATTTTGATGATTAAAAGAGGAATGTAAATTTCAGTATTTTATTTTTAGACATTTTCGTAAGAGTTACAACTAAGTAGTTTATAAATACACTTTTTATTTTATAAGTATAAAATATCACTTTTTGTATTGTGATGCGTGGTAACGTTACGTACATTATTCTTACAGCTAGAAATCAGTAAGGTATTTTTTTTACGAATGCCTATAAAAAAGTAAACTATTTGTTAAGCTATCATTGTACAATAAAATATATAATTCCTTGTACTTTTACTTAAATCGAAAATATTACTTCACGTATGAACGTTTTATGTTACATATAATATCTATTTATAATTCTAGTAAACCCATCAAGTAAAAATCAAGGAGTACAAGGATGATAAAATACATCTACCTAAGTATGTAGCTATCAACACTATATCACAATGAAGTCTTTTTAAGTATTCACTTCTAAATACTCCCTTAAATAATCAGACACTTTACACTTCTTAAAATAGATTTTGCGACACCTAAATTTACCTAATGTATCTAAATGCCTTGATACTCATACTTTAACAGTTTTCATAACTTTGTCAAATTGAGAACAGTTCAATTCGCTCCTTTTTACAGAACCTTTGTAGAAAGAGTAAATAATAATTATTTGGCTATATTTATCAATCTTACAAATCAGTATCACGGCGGGATAAGCCACCCTCGAAGCTTTACAAGACTGAACATGTTTCCAGATCTAATTCTGGCTCAAAGAGACCACGTCTTAGAGCAGTGAGTAAAGAGCATTTAGACCTTGAATCCAAGTCCAGAGCCCACAACGCTACTCCTCTGCAACCTGATCGCTGTATCGCAGCGCCAGCACCTTGAGCTTCATTCATACTTACGTATGATGCCCACTGATCAACGTGCACACTGTAGGTACCTAATGGCGTTGTAGTTTCCTTCCAATCACTCGATGAGAGTCCTTCGGCAATCTATAAAATGTGAGCATGTTAGAAAAGTTGTTGAAATACACGTTACACGTTTAGCTTATCTATCTGTAACTGATATTTATTCAGGCAATAAATAGTCGAGCAGGCGGTAGTATTAGTTAATGATAACGTAACACCATGATAAAAATCTAATGTTTTTAACACCGTTATAAATAAATTTGCCGGTACTACGAAAAATGATAATTTCAAATTTGAAGCGTAGGTGACTCAATTTCTTGTCTAAGAGAGTTTGTTAAGAACACAAATTGTGCTCTAAACAGATTTTAAATTTATTCTTTCCTTGCAGTTGCCTAGACATCACAGAGTAAAACTTCTATGTAGCACAGATCTACTACTTTTCACCAAAGATTGACTTGATAAAAAAAAATCAGGGATTCCAAGAGAGATGACAATAGTATCTATTGCCAGTCATGGGTACTGTTTTGGCTGAACGGAGTTCTGTGTCAGATAGTGAACCAGCCCACCTGTTCTGTTTCATTCTCTACGTTCAGATTAAAATTGTCTTCAAACTCGACCCTATTAATATACTTTCTTTATGAACCACCTTGAGCGTATACACATAGAAAGTAACAAAAATAGTATACTAACCTCCTGATATGATAAGAAGCCAGGTATTTTAGTGTAGGGTCCAGGTTCTCCCGGTCCGGTCACAGGCGCACCAAGGAAACTGTTTGAAGAACTTCTCAATGTGTAAGAGCGTGCATAAGCTGGTACTCCCAGGACGAGTTGTTGCGGAGGCATTATACTTGTCCAGTATGATAAAGTTGCATTCTGAACAAATATAAGACATATTTTTTTTACACTGGTTAATGTAGTCACAGTTTTCCTAGTATTCATAGGACTCGGCTTAGAAAAGACTGAAGATTATTTATATACTTTAAGCGATATTTTGTTAATTCTTTCATCGTAATCCATAGAATAAATTATAGGTTTCAATGGATCCGAGCTTGGGCCTAAAACCGTTTTCTTTATAACCACTAACTCTTAGGTTACTTATATCCCGTTTGTTGAATCACACGACATCGATTCAACAAATTCGATTCTAAAAAAATCGTTGTAACATTTAAAAACTTTGTCGAAGGTTTTTTATCATACTCATAGAAATTTAGTTTCAAAACTTACCAAGCTACGGCTGATGATATCATGAGTAGACTTGAGAGGTGACAATAACGCTGTTTTTCCTGTAGATGTAGCGTAATAATCGTTTGCAGCAATGGATACCCAATCTAATTCAGTAGTTAAAATATTTGCCTTATATGCTATTGCTGCTATTTCTGGTTGGGCTGATACCATTGCTGACAACTCCAAACCATACGGTTTCAGTATCCTTGAAAGTTCAAACAGTAATTCACCATAGTTATCTCTTTCTGTGATATCGATGGTAGATGTTGTGCAAGGGGGCTGAAATAAGAATATTTCGAATATATTAAATGTAATGGTTATGTGATCTCACTGTGTACTATATTCTATTTTTGTTATTACGAGTACCTGTTTACAAGCAGGATATTGCCAAGCAATCTGAACACCATCAAATTGCCATCGTCGAATGAATTTCAATACTGATTCTATGAAGATCTTTCTATTTTCAGAGCTTGCGACCATCTCGCTCCATTTGCTATCTTCAGAATTGGTTAAGCCTCCAACACCTATAATAATTTTTATTCCTGTCTGACGCAGCTGAGTCAGCTTGCCGTAGAAATCTAAAATACATTAAAAATTTAGGCATGAAAACAATTTGTGATTGTCTTGTAAAATATGATATAATTGTGGTAGCCTTCTCAATCAGGTTATAATTACCATTTTCTATATCCAATTCTGGGTTGCCTGGTACTATTTTAAAAGTTCCGCCATCGAGATGTGCCCAGGCGTAAATGATGTGTGTGCAGAGAGTAGAAGGTTCGTCCAATTGTTCTGGTCCGTAGCGTCCTTTGCCTGGCCTGGATTTAACAACATTCATTTCACTAATATTATAGTATTTTCACGTATTGCTGTTGCCTTCCGATTTCGGATTTAAAATTAATACAACTCTTATTTTATAACTGTACACGTGGTTTATTTATTTATTAATTATTTTTTATAACTTTTTGCACAAATACATGCATCGGCAGACTTAATGCCTAAGGCATTCTCTGCCAGTCGACCAATTGGGCGATGCTGAGAAAGAATTTAATAATATTTACTAGTAGACCTCTGTACAAATTATACATACATGTATTCGCTTTTCATGTCCTTCATGTGAAAAATTACTGCTTACAATTTAGCGAAATTTTAGAGAAATTTTGTTCAAAATAATTTCATTTAGTTACAATTGATTGAAATTTTGACATTTTATGTTTCAAAATGTACTAGTACAGTACTCATCATCATCACATCAACAGCATTTACTAGTCCACTGCTGGACATAGGCCTCTCCTTAGAAAGGAGATTTTGGCCTACTACACCACGCTGGCCAGACGGGTTGGTATAGGGTTTGTGTCAAGTTTTCCTTCTTTTTGCAGTGCTGGTGTCCTGCGTTGTTTTGCGCCCTTAGTCGGCTCTGACGACACCCAGATACAGTACAGTACTATCATAAACTTAAGATGTTATAAAATTCTAGACTATGACCACTAACTTCTGCCTGTAAGTGCACTAGTTTCTAAAAATGAAATTTTTTCACATTTAAAATGTATGTATTTATTTTCATAAGAATGTTAACGTTGTTATAAACTGATAAGATTGGTGATTAGTATGACTCGTCAAAACTCAGTTGTCTATAGATAACAAGCAGTTATCTTTTCATGTCTTAAAAGCGTGAACAAAGACAAGATTGTGTAATTCTCTGTACACTCACGTTAACGAAGTTAACATATTATTGTTTTTATAAAAATTAACTCTACCTGTAATATGCCCAATTGGTGAAGTAACATCCTACGATGGACTTGACCTCTATCGGCACTTCTGGCAAATCGATATCCCCTGTGAGCCTCAAAGATGCTTTCGCCTTGCAACGGGCCTTCTCGGGCCAATCACAATGATTCTATAAAAAGTACATTTTAACTTTAAAACCCATACATAATAACATACAAAGAGGGTATAAGCTGGTGTAGTTGTTGTTAACAAAAACTCAATGTGGCTGTAATCAATGGCAGGCTAGGTGATTAGGAGACCTACTTGGTGGTGACCTATAATTTACCTAACTGACCAGAGGTACTTGTTACCATCCAGAGCATATTATAATGGGGTAGATGGGCGTCAAATCAAATTAGTGTCTTTTATTAAATGTTAAAATAATAGACGCGGATTTTTTTTTTGTCAAATTTATAATATTGTCAAATCATTCATATTTAATATAGATTTCAAGATTTCCAGGAAACAAGAGTAATTAATTGATCATGGAGGGTAATTCAGACTGAAATTTAACATCTTAAAGTTTAATAATAAATTAATTTGGGTGAATAATTTAATGTAACATCTTACTCATAATGAGGAGGAGAATTTGTTTATCTGAAACCTATTCTATTGTGTAATCAGTAAGATTATTTGTTTTGTATCAGGGAGTAATTTATCTATGATATGTATGTATTTAGTAATACAATATGTTTATAATAGTACAGACTCAGTGTTAGTCTCGTTACCACAGTAGGCTACTATAGGCTAGTTTACTAAGGTATTATTACTTTATATATGTATCAACACTGTATTTACAGGGTTACTGGGTAAGTCGACTTAAATACTTTAAGGGGTTGAAGTTGGCATCATTTTTGATAAATTTCACAATGAAATCCCATATCCCAAATATAACCATTTATAAGATATTGGAGTTTCAAGATTTTCTATAAAAATTTCAAAAACTAAATTTGTAGTTAACTAAATAAACTGGGCTGAAGTAGATGATTAATAATAGCAAAAAGAAAAAAAACTATGACCGTTAAACTCCAGATTTATTATTTAAATAGGTATGTATTCTCAGCTATCTAACAAGGTAAGGTACTTGATACAAATAAGGCCTATGCTCAATTAAGGCCTGTAGTCGCGAAAGTCGTGGAAAGGGTGCTGTGAATATTACGTGCTTAAACCCATAGCACTATACGGTACTGGTACAAGTTATTAAAGATGGAGATACTTTGAAAAGGTTGGATTTATGCAGATTCATGCTTAATTTCATGGACATGTGTCCAAATTTAAAAATGGTTACCAAATACCTCAGCGTTAATTATTAGGCGTCAAAAGCACTGATAAATCCTAATATAACGCGGATAAAGGGGCAGCAAAGACGCTTTAATTTGAATGTGTATTATCAAATCACTGGATTGGATCTTTTTTTCTCCCCGAGTAGTTACCCTGTGCATTACAGGAGAAGTAAAAAAGAATGTCTGGACTCTAATTATCGTAATAAGTGGATTGGAAAAGGTGATTCGGTGGCTCGTGTAGATACGCGTTGGCAGTACACATAAGAAATCAAAATATGAACATATTCCTCGTTCGTACAGGTCATCATCTCCAACAGTATCAGAAGCACAAATCAAAGTCCACTTAGCAATAGTTAGTCAGGAAAAGAAAACTAAACAGTCCAAATACAAGCCACATTTTTAACTAATCTGCAGTTTAACTATCATAGATATTATATATATATATATATATATATATATATTACAGCAATTTACCTGAGCCCATTGCAGGGGTTCGGGGCATTTGAGTTCCACCCAGTTCCCGTTAAGACACAAGTAATACTTGCTGCAGTCTAAATAGTCTCCTTTAAATACAGTGCCCGTACATGACGTGCCTTCAAGGCTTGGACTCTGTAAAAAATATTTTAGTATTTATTGCCTAAATAAATTCAGTAAACGGCAATATCAACTACGTATATTTCAATCAACCAGTTATTACTTACACTGAAGTCGGTGTCTGTCTCCGTGTCTTCCATTGGATTTATAGGAATCTCTTCTGGGTTTATGTCCGGTTCTGGGTTTGACTCAATTACATCAACTTCTTGTTCTTCAATCTCAGAAATATCCGGAGTATCAGGAATATCTGGTACGTCTGGAATATTGGGCACATTGGGACTATCTGGTGCTTGTACTGTAACATAAACACTTTTATGAGCATTACTGAGCATTACTTATTCACGTTTTGTATTATGTCAAATTCAGTGGTATCTTTGAGGCGAAATGCCGTTCATAGACTTTTTTGTATTCTAAATATTATCCCACTTAGGGAATGTGTGGGTACGAAAAACGATATTGTAATTAAGTTGAAAGTAAAGATCTGGCGCTAAAACTCAGTCAGTAATCTTACATTTTTGTTGATCTTCAAAATACTCGTTCCAATTAAGTCTACTGTTTGAAGACCTCAGATTTTCTAAGTTTATACTATTAAAACAACTTTTAAATAATAAACGGTTTCAGTATCAACATTACAAGTATTACCTTACAAGAGGTGTTCGTTTCGTAAAATATTTAAAAATATCAAACAACCGGCTGTGGTAGTTATTCATGAGGCACATTGCGCACGACTTTAAATATATCGAAGGAATCCAAGGAAACTTATACTTTCGTACTTATATATACGTAAACAGTATACATGTATTCTGTTACTTGAGAATTGTGTGTGTGATAATTCAAATAATTAGACTTACTATCTTCGAGAGAGCACCTTGGAGGTTGTTCAAGACCACGAAGCACATAATTCATGGTGGCCAATAGGGGTGATTTTCCACAGCCACAATATCTGCCACTGAAGTCATCAAGATCAAGAGCCCATGCCATACCACCTCCAAGACCCATGGCACGAACATATTCGGCTTTATGTCGGATCATAAAGTCATCATCAAAAGACACCCATTGGTCTTCAAAACTGGCATAAGGACCCATACGACCCCCAGGATCTCGGGTAACAGACCAGCCATTTACTCTAACACGTTCACATATCTAAAATAAATAAATACATAATCATTTTTTGTTACATCTTTTGGGAAATTATTTATATTATTATTAATATTGACCATTATCCAATTTACCTCATAGAAGGATAAAAATCCTCTAGCTCTAGTCTCGTCTCCAGCTTCTCCACCTGCGTAAGATTCAACTTCAAGTCCTGTACCAGCATTTTCAACCAAAGAGAAAGACTGACCGTAGAATGGTACACCGAGAATAAGCTTCTCTGGTGACGCTCCTTTATTCATCCAGTAATGTACCGTGAAGTTCTAAAAATTCGAGATTAAAATATTTAAATGAACGAATAAAAGAAAGATCGAATATCCTTGAGGCTTGTTATACGTAGAAAAACAATGTTGGAGTATAAAGTCAGGTTTTTTATTTTCATGTTTAGTTTCTGGAGTGGAGTCCTTTGTTTAATGTTAGGCATAAAACAATGTATACTTTCAGATTTTGGTCTTTTAGGGAGTCAAAATCAGATGTCTAATCTCTAATCTCTAAATTTCTAACCGGATGATGTCCATAAAGGCTTTGGTCCAACCATTCCTTTATTTGCATCTGCATGCATTTTATTTACAGTCGTATTCGCCATTGAGTTGCTCAAAAGCGTAAGTTAATAAAACACGAATTATGCTACGAGTATATTTGTAATTTAAGATGTCCCTAACATTAATCTTATTACCGTATTCAAAGTGCTGTCATCATCACCACTGCGTGCGTACATTGGAGCTAAGTGGCCCGTCTTTTTGTCCCATTGACCGTGATAATCATACGTCATTAGCGAAATCCAATCAAGATTTCTAGATAGTGTTGGTATATCGTATGCTGAAAATTATGAGACATGGTTATAAGGAAACCAACAAAGCAACACACAACACTTCTTTTTTTACCGCGTAGTCATGCCAAATTATCAGTCACTTAGCTAGATTTTTGTTTAAGAATAGCAGAGCAATATTAATAAGGTTCAAAGCGAAGGGAAGATATTTTCTAAATCTGAATTACCTACTTTACTGGCTTTTGACTTTAGAGCATTAGTAGTAAAAAAATCTTACCAAGATCAACAACAGTTTTGCTGGCAGATACTGCGGCAGAAAGCAGTAGTCCTAGAGGTTTAAAAGCTGTATGCAACTCCCTTACCAAATTAGCGAATCCTTGCTTGTCAGATTTTGGACCCTTTTCACAATTAGCCTAGAAATATACATAATGATCATCAAATATCATCATCCATATAATACTACATTAACTAATTTCGAAAACGCAAATGCACCTAAAAGCCAAATATATCGACTATGTGTTATATTGAATTATACCATACCATACCATACCACAATTCAGAGTTTGTATAAAGGTGTATATACTAATATAAATATCAATTAACTTGAATGATATCATGGATTAACTTTTAAGCGCAGTACTCACTTGCCAACATTTAGGAAATTCCCAATCCAGATCCAATCCATCGAATCCAAATTGTTCAATAAAATCAACAACATGTACAACAAACTTTCTTCGCGCAGAGGCACTATTCACCATTCGTGAATACTTGTCACTCGCCGAGTCATCCCAACCACCTAATCCAAGGACAACTTTAACACCCTTGCTCTTCATGGCAACTACTTTCTCATAGAATTCTGAAAGATGAGTAACCATTTTATTAAGAATCTTGTTTTGGTAAATGTTTAAAAATATCGTATGAATAAAGAAATCAGTCGTTTACGGCAGCTTGTCTTGCAATTAGAGTTAAGAACAAAACACATCAAATCTCCGCCACCCCATTCTGCAGTCGAGGTTCATTGGGAATACCTTATGTTTCTATGCGGACATACTATCTTACCGTAAGTCCTAATAAGTACTGGTACTGTAAATACTTTATCGAATCAAAAAGCGCTTTTACACCCCTAAAGAGTTTTCATTTTTTGCTTTGCTACCCTGAAGGTGTAACAAAAGAACATCCAGACTTGGAATCAGTTTATAAATCACATATAATTACAGTGTACACACAAAAAACGCCGATAGGAATTTCTTTCTTTTTAAATCATTTTAAAACTTTATACGTACTGTTTTCAACATCCAACCAGATGTCATGTGGCTTGATTACAAGTCGTTTGGTATCAAGAACTGCGAATGCGTACACTATGTGGGTACACAATGACGGGTCAATGTCACTCGGAGTGAACTTTCCAGGGCCCGGTCTGTATAAAAATATAAGTCAGTATTAGATGCAATCTTATGTCTAATCTTTTTGTATAACCAAGTTTCTAGCTCAACAGCCCACTGCGAAATTTTAACCAAATAGATATACTGCATTTTTTTATTGCTGGCAATTTATATTAAGTAGATGAATAGGTAAGTTTTAAAAAGTTTACCTGTACCAAGCCCAGTTGGTGTAATAACAAATAACTTTGTATCGTTCCTCCAAAATCGTACTGACTGTGGTCACTGGTCTCTTCGTCGTATGGAATATTTCATTCCACTGTGTTGGCCTTTGAGTTGTGGGCCGATATGAGGGCCGTTGTGTTAAAATTGGTGTAATGGCTGGCCGTTGTGTTGTTTGTTTTGTTGTCCATTGTGTAGTCGGTCTGTACGAAGGTCTTTGTGTAGTGGTCTTGGGGGGAATCACTTGAATGTCATCCACATCGTTATCGATATTATTTCCTGGTTCAATAATAGGATCAGGTAAAAGTGTTTCTTCATTAATACTAGAGTCAAGTAAACTGTCCTTGATGGCGTTAATGAGGGGATGTCTTCCCTGACCGCATCTAAACAATTATCGTAAAATAAATGTGTTAGCTTACTTACTCATATAAAAATTCATTTATAATTAGTGGAAAATACGTACCTATTTTGGAAATCATCAAGGTCAAGAGCCCAAACCATACCGCCCGCAAGATCCAAGGACTTAAGGAAATTCATTTTCTTTTTGATAATATGAATGTCATCAAATGATACCCATTGGTTACCCTTGTATGCGTAAGGACCCATGCGTCCGTAAGGATCCTTGACAACAGTCCATCCATTGTATCTGATCCGATCACAGATCTGTAAAAAAGTATAGCTTAAATTAACTTAAAACAATTGGCATGGATTTTCTCATGAACTTTTTGAACAAGCAACTGCTTACCCATAATATTAGAAAATACTAAAATCATATTATAGGAATTCTTACAACTTTTTCATTTATATTACCATGATCAAAGGTCCAGCTTCATGCATAAACAATATTTGATAGAAAATGTGATACGAGTACAATATCATTTCATTGAATCTAAAATAAGAACAGGTGTACAAAAAGCGCCATTGAAGATCGTTCAAGTGGTCAATATAGTTACTTACCTCGTAATAAGATAAGAACCCTTTAGCTCTTGTATATTCTCCAGCTTCACCACCAGCAGAAGCGGGGCTGTTCAGACCAGGTGCGTCCTTGGAATATGATGAATCATTGTCTAAAGTGAATGTCTGTCCATACATTGGCATTCCCATTACAAGTTTATGTGGAGGTGCTCCCTTCTTTATCCAATAATGCATGGTGTAGTTCTGAGAATAAAATATGTAATTTTTTATCATTTAAGTATTATATATATAGAGGTACTAGCTTTTGTCTGCGGCTCCTCCCGCGTAAATGTCTGTTATCGCGTTACAAAGTAATATAATGTCTTTCCTCAAGAATCAAAGTATCTTCATACCAAATTTCACCTAAATAGGTTCAGCATTTCTTATTTCCTTATTTTCTATAAGGAATCAACCACCCTTTTCACCCACTTTAAGTATGATTTCTGAGAAACAAACTACCCTTTGTCAAGGGACTCGGACTATCACTATAAAAAAAAATAGGTTTAGCGGTTTATGCGTAAATAGGTAACAGACAAACATACACATTTTCGCATTTATAATAGTATGGATATGGATTAGTTTGGATGTATATACATTTTTAAAAATTAATTAAAAATTAACTTCTTAACATTGTAATGGAAGGAAAATGTCGTTGTCATGCGATGATATTTGAAAGTAAGGTACGTCCAAATACACACTTACTATGCCTATATATATTATATATACCTTAGTTTATGGTAGTATAGTTATAGGTTATAGTTTAAGGTAGCAAACGAGTCGATGCGTTATCTGGTGGTAAGTGACTACCATCGCCTATGGACACCCGTAACTCAAGAGTCACAAGTGTGTTGCCGCCAGTACCGCTACAATCTAATATATTGGTAAGTGGTAGGGACTAATCCCACTCACACGCCCACCACTGTAACTCCTGTACATCCACAGCAGTGACCCACGAACACACCGAGTTATGACACTCGGCAAGTCCCAGGAAGAAATTAAACTGTCTTGGAACCCGCAACGAAATTAATCAGAAGAAAATTGGAGGAGTTGGAAATACACTAAATCCACTTCCCTTCTTAGCAAAGCGGGAGACAAAATGAAGTAAAATGGGCATACACCCTTTTAAACAGGGCCACGGCCACAAAATATTACGGGTCCTACGTGAGCTATATTTGATTTCTATAATATGAATGGCAGAATCGCCTAAACGCACGGAAATACACCCATCATTGACACAAGATCCCCATAGTATACCGCCCCAGATGTCACCTGCAAGGTATTCAGCATTATATTACGTTCATTATACCAAAGACTACATTCCCAGAGGATATGATGAGCAGACTGTTCATAGCGAGAGTTAGGTGTTGAGCATTGACACAATGGTGACTCGACTAATTTAAATGAATAAAGCTTGTTCTTAAAGTTACCATGACCCGTAAGAAATTGAGCGACACAGTGATCCACCTCAAGCCATGTCCTCGACAACCGTGGTAAGTGGTAGTGGTGGTTTAACATACCGCGTTAAAATAAGTATTATCGTCATCGGGATGATAATAGAGCGGAGCGACATGTCCAGTCTTCTTGTCCCACTGGCCATGGTAGTCGTATGTCATCACGGCGATCCAGTCAAGATGTCTTGCCAACACTCGCACGTCATAGCCTGCATCTATGACTTTCTTACTAGGTGACACTGCTGCTGATAAGAGCAGGCCCTTAGGTTTAAATGCAGCAGACAGTTCAAGAACCAGATCGGCAAAAGCTTCTTTATCAGAATCGGGACCCTTTGAGCAGTCGACCTAAAAATCGTACATGTACTTATTAATACCTTGTAGATGTCAAGTGCAATTTTAGTGAAGAAAGCTTATAGTATGAACATGCAATTATATTTACTGATATTGCAAAAAGAGCAATCATAGTCGTAACCTTGCATTTTATGTTTATTTTTTACTTACTTGCCAACACTTGGGATATTCCCAATCGAGGTCCAAACCATCGAATTTATATTTCTCAAGGAATAATACTGCGTGTCTCACGAATCGTGCACGAGCTGTGGGGTCATTCACCAATTTGGAGTATTTGTCTCCTGCTGAGTCATTCCAACCACCAATAGCTAGAGATACTTTGATACCATACCTTTTGTATTCAACAACTCTCTCGTAGAATCCTTAAGAAATTCAGAAAAGTTAGAAATATGTCTCATTTTCATGCTTCATAATCTAATATTTAGTTTGAAAAGTTCTTACGATTATCAAAGTCTGACCAGGAGTCGTGAGCCGTGATGAGTCCATCGTCATCCAAAACAGCAAATCCATATATGACGTGGGTACAAAGAGTAGGATCAACATCTTCTGGGCTGTATTTACCGATACCAGGTCGATACCAAGACCAATTTGTATAATAACAAATTAGTTTATAGCGGGCTAAAAAATATTAAAAAAAATCATAGGTTGATAATGCAATGCTTAATGTAACACAGTAAAAATTTACGAGTATTTACTTAGTTTAATCCAGGCCCTTAACAAGTGAGAAAGTTTGTTGCTATAGTGACTTATGAAAGCGACGTGTGTGATGATGTGTTTAATATGTATCCCTGAGTAGATAATAATCACTTATGTCATGACCCATGAAGCCCTTAAACATCTATTATGTTACTTGATATTATCATGATATATGGTAGACTCCCAAACTCAGGGCTCGGGTTTACATTCAAATGTCTATGAATAAAGTTGTAAGAATTCAGTAGGGTAGAAAAAACATGTGATGAAGAGTCTTCTTTTGCTAAATCATCCTATCAAGTGACTAATAATTCTAGAAAACGTAAATGTGACTGTTTTATGTTTTTATACCTTTCTTATAGAAAATAATGAGGTCATGCTACATAATCCTAATTGTTCATTCATTCTAACAATAATTATAGTATAACTACATGTAAAACCAAAAAATTAATGAATAGCTACTAAAATTTTAAAAGTAGACTATTCAAACCGTATCTTCAGTTGACTGCTGTAGTCTGAGATGCCGTAGAATTGTGAGGAGGATAGTGATACTTACAGTTCAATAATGCCGGTTTTGAGCTTAGCGCAGGTAAAGTCCCGTAAGATGGCAATGCAAATGGTTTGTCCGGCTTAGGATACGCATGTTCACTGTGATGATGTTCGCTGTCTCCGTGGTTTGGAAATTTGATTTCATCCATAAGAATCGGCTTTGAAGTAGATGTAGTGCTGGTACTAGTAGTCGTTGATGTAGATCTTCGTTTACATTGAGCGTTTTTGGGCCAGTCACATATTTGCTTTTCCTGTAGATAAAATAATATTTGTTTTACGATAAAGTTAATTGTGTCCCGTTAGATTTATGTTTGTACTAATGTACCTGTAACTAAGGCAGATTACCTCGTGACTGCTGAAATGATTTGAACGATTAACGGCTAATCTATTATACTATAGCTCATCTCTTAATTGTTAGAAAATGGTGAATTTATATATTTTATTATATATTTACCTGATTCCAATGTAATCCAGAACTGCAAGCGAATTCCTCGAATTTGCCGAATAAGCAATGAAGATAGCGCGTACAATCTGTTGTTAGAGGAGCGTAGGCACCACTTTCACAGTATTCTGTAAAAGATGCAGTAGAAGTTTAGTTTCCATGTTACTTACTATCTATGTACACCTCAGAGTATAAAAACTAAATATACAATTAAAATTAAACGAAAACGGTATATTAGGAGTTGAGGGGATAAAGCTGTGAAGAACTTCTATTTGCTGCTCAAAACATTGCAAAGCAAGTCATAGCATAGTCGTGACTGTGACGTCTGTGTCGACTGTGACGTTTACAAATTTTAGTAAGTGTAGCTGTCCTCCCTGGCCCACCCCGCGGCGTTGACTTCAACTCCATGTGATATCTTTAACTTTTCGCAGATAAAGTTGTATTATTTACATATACATCATTATTTTTAAACTAACATATAACTGTAGTACACTTACTGGGTGGTGCCTCTTGGATCTGTAACATAGTAGACTGTGAGTTGCTGTTATCTATGTCGGATGAAATGGTTTGTCGTTTATCAGTACATGAACTTGCAGTAGGGAAGTCACATTGAGAATGGTCAGGTCTCCATACTAATCCAGGAGCGCAGCTTTGAGTGATCAACATGTTATTCACGCACACGTAGAATTTCTCACATTTTGGATGTGGGTGGTAAGTGCCTGTCGTACAGCCCTGGAAAAACAAAGGTTTGTCATTCACGACATCACCAAGTTCGTATTTATATTTTTAATGGTTGCCGAGCAGACGGCTCACATGATGTGTGTGTCTGGACTAGCCCATGGACACCTAGAACTCAAATGCTACAAATTTATTGCCGCCCTTTGAATCCTCCCCCAGAATCAGGGGAGGGGAGGAATCGGCAAATTCGCTCACTCGGTGAAAGGTAACAAGAATTGTCCAACACCGGTTTTCTATGAAGCCTCACTCACTCCGGTCGCGCCCTCTCATACGTGTTAAAGCATGGCTCTCTCTTCGTTTGTGTTTTATCCCTTAAAGGGATTATCATCGCTTTATTGAGTTTTTTTTTAAACTGACTTATGGATTTTGTAACTAGTATTTAATAATTTTCGGAAAGCTTTCCTTGTTGTGGTTAGTTTTATGGGAGTTTACCTTGCTAGGAACTTGTGCTTGATCCACAATAGGTTTCTTAGTGGTAGTGGCCGGCCTTTTTGTGGTGGTAGAAGTAGTTGTAGTAGTAGTAGTGGTAGTTGTTGTGGTTGTTCTCCTGGGGGTTGTGGGTTTCTTTGTGGTTGTAGTAGTTGTTTGCGGCATCGGTGATTTAGACGGTGTACCAACTGAAAATGATGATGACTAAATTTAAAACTGTTTAAACCAAGTTGTATAAAAGAATTAAAGCTAAATGCAGCTTTTCGCAGGGAAACAAACTCACGTTTATAGGAGCGATAATTCTTTAGTCCTAATCGGTGTGAATGAAATCATTCCATAAAAACTATATATACTTGGCCCTCTAAGTTATGTAACTAATTATTGGTTATTAAATACTTTACTATTATTGTCAATATACCGTCAAATTAAAAATTTAAAACTATATCGTATTTTCTAATCAAAATTTTGATTAGCAGTTTGATTAGCAGTTATGACAAGAGTATAATTGAAGACAGATTTCAACATGCTGGTATTGCTGTGTCGGTTTAATCACTGACGTCTGTATACCTTCACACATGGCGAATTCCATCCAATCACAACGCTTGGTACGCGTGTCCCAGTGCAGTTTAGGTGGACAGAGTTGCTTGCGCCACCGTCCACTCACACACAGTAGGTAGGCGTCGCAAGTTGAGGCCGAAGCGTGTACATCGTTGCCACCGCACTCTGATCCTTCTTGAGGGGAATTTGACGGTGGTGCTGCATGAAAAGTATTATTGTCATAAAATTAAGCATTCATAAGATAAAATAAAATAATTACGAATAAAAAATATCGTTATAATTAGTTACGACTAAAAAGAATTCACTATTCAAAAAGTTTATTGCAGCTAGCGTTTACTCTTTTGATCTCCCGTGCAATAACTTAATTGAAGTTTGACTGACTTATTCCATTGTTTTACAAAATCGCTTGAAATTTTTTAATTTATGGCTACAATTAATTTAATTTAAGTTAACCTTAAATTAATTACAACAAGCCATTTATTAAAAAATTGCGGCAATATCAACAAATGTCTCACTTTTAGTTGTTGTAGTAGTTGTCGGTGAAGGTTGTATAGGTCTTGTCGGTTTAGGTGCACCAGTGGTAGATTTTGGCACTGAAAGCAAAAATAATATACGATCGTAAAAAAAAACAGAATACTAGCCAGTAGACTACACGAGGCGATCTTATTTTTTAACTATTTGTATACTTTATATGTATATCCTAGATTTTTAAAAGTTTGCATTAACCTGATTTCCAAATTCCGTTATTTTATCCTTATGTAAAATTGGTTCATTAATATTACGTACGTCACGAATATTTTGTATGGACTTAAAGGTTTCACGCAAATTGCGTGGGTGATACGCGATATGTCGTTGTCATTATGAATATTTATAGATTCATTAAATTATATTGCTATTTCGATATCCATGAAATATAGATGTCAATGACTTTACGATATTATTAGGTATATATTTTAAATCTAAAAGTCGATAAATTGGATTCCTTGAGTTTCATCAATAAAATAACAGTCAAGTACCGTTACTATCGTTTGTAGGCATTAATGCCGGCTTTTCTTTAGAATTATCTTCTATCCTCTTGGCAGAACCCGAAATCTTTCTAAATTGTATTAGCAGCGGTGCAGCAGGGGTCAAGTGAAAAGTTTGAATGGAATAAAACAAAGTTGTAACTGTTTAAAATAGTTAGAATTAAACGATCGACTAAATACAATTGTAAACGTGGCCTAATTCTTAAACAATTTAAACTCATTCTTTCTCAGCATCGCCCAATCGGTCGACTGGCAGAGAACTCCTTAGGCACTAAGTCCGCCGATGCATGTATTTGTGTCACATCACATCAACAGCCTATAACAGTCCACTGCTGGACATAGGCCTCTCCTTATAAAGGAAGTTTTGGCCTACTATACCACGCTGGCCAGACGGGTTGGTACAGGGTTTATTGGCGGCGGACGGCGGGCTGTCCTACGCGGCCGTCTTCAAAAAGGCCCGGGACAGCCTCGCCAACGATTTTGGAACGGTGGGGGTCAGAATGCGCCTCGCCCAGACGGGAGCTCGAGTCCTCGAGTTCCCTGGGGCTGAAGCCGCTAAAACGGCGGACACATTTGCCGAGAAGCTGCGGGGACTCTTTACAGCCACGGATGGTGTAAAGATCGCCAGGCCTACTAAGTGCGCAGAGCTGCGCATCTCGGGCCTGGACGACTCTGTGACGGCCGAAGATGTCCGCGCTGTAATCCGGGAGAAGACGGGGTGCAGCGCGGACAACGTCAGGGTCGGCACCATCCGCCCCGGTCCAGGAGGGCTTGGCGCCGTGTGGGTCAGCTGTCCCGTAGCGTCGACCAAAGTATTGGCCGACGCCGGCAGGCTGCTCATCGGTTTCGTGAGCGCCAGGACCACAGTCCTGGCGGCGAGACCGATGAGATGCTACAAATGCCTAGCATCGGGACACACGCGCGTCAAGTGCGACAGTTGTTTTGACTGCGGCGGACTGTGTTTCCGCTGCGGTCAACCGGGGCATAAGGCGGCAGAATGCTCTGCCGCCCCTCACTGCCCAGTGTGTGCGGCGGGCAATAAGCCCGCCAATCACCAGATGGGGCAGAGAGGCTGCAAGCCTCCCCGCAGTTCTCGGCAGACGTCGGGGGTTAGCCAGTCGACCCAGGCTGCCTCCGATGTAGTTCGTGCGTCGACGTCGTCGCCCATGGAGGAGGTTGTAGAGACGATCCAGTAATGGATCAAGTCTCCAACCTCCTGGTCCAGACGAACCTGAACCACTGTGCCGCGGCGCAGGATCTCTTCCTGCAAACCATGGCACAGTGGTCGATAGGTGTTGCCGTAGTCGCGGAGCCCTATTCTGTCCCTCCCCGTCCAAACTGGATGGGTGACTGGGACGGCTCCGTGGCAGTCGTCGGTTCCACGACGGCTCATTCCCCGCCCTTGTCGCTAAGAGACAAGGGCACTGGATATGTTGCCGTCGAGTGGGGGGGGATCACCATATATGGTGTATATTTCTCCCCCAACCGGAGTTTGAACGACTTCGAGGTTTTCCTAACCAGCTTGGAGACCTCGATACGGCGACTAGCGTCTGGGCACGTCCTTGTGCTGGGGGACTTCAACGCAAAGTCCATTGCGTGGGGTTCCCCCAGGACGGACGCCAGGGGCGAGTCCGTAGAGGAGTGGGCGGCCTCGGTGGGCCTCTGTCTCCTAAACAGAGGCTCCACCAACACGTGTGTGCGACAGCAGGGGGGGTCGATAGTGGACCTCTCGTTCGCTACCCCTACCCTCGCCGCACGAGTAAGGAACTGGCGTGTCCTGGAAGAGGTTGAGACGCTCTCGGATCACCTGTATATCCGATTTGAGCTCTCCCGGACCCAGGACTCCAGTAGGGGTCACGTGGCGCGGCGTTTATCCCGCTTTCCGCGGTGGGCTGTTGCCAGGCTGAACCGGGACCTACTAGAGGAGGCAGCCATAATTCACTCGTGGCTGTCTCCTCAGGCTCCGACCGAGGAGGTCGACGTGGGGGCTGGCCGCTTTCGCGATGCGATTACGCATGTATGCGATGCGGCCATGCCCCGCGTTCGAGGTCGTCGGCCTCCAAGGAAGGAGGTCTACTGGTGGTCCCAGGAGCTGGCGGACCTCCGTGCGGCCTGTACACGTGCCCGGAGGCCCTACACACGCAGTCGGCGGCGTCACCGTGGAGACGGTGAGGAGGACCGGCTTCATGAGGAGTACCGGCGGGCGCGGAAAACTCTGAAGCTGGCCATTAGCCGCGCCAAAGAGGAAAAGAGACAGGAGATGCTGGAGGGTCTTAATCGTGACCCCTGGGGTCGCCCTTACCGCGCGGTGCGACAAAAGCTCCGCGCGTCGGGCCCCCCCCTTACGGAGACTCTCCAGCCCAGCTTCCTGCAGGAAGTGGTCGAGGGCCTATTCCCGCAGCGGGCGGAGCACACACCCCCGTCGATGGCTGCATCAGCCGGAGACGACGGGGGCAGCGAGGTCGATGTTCCGCCCGTCAGGGAATCGGAGTTGGGGGCGGCTGTTCTACGGATTCGATCCAAGAACACCGCCCCCGGGCCGGACGGGGTTCCAGCCCGAGTGATGGCCCGAGCCCTCGACTACATGTCGGACCACCTCAGGGGGGTGTTGGACGCTAGCCTGGCGTCCGGACGCTTCCCTGAGCGCTGGAAATGCGGGAAGCTGGTCCTGCTGCAGAAGCCGGGACGGCCTGCCGATTCGGTCGCGGCCTATAGGCCCATCGTGCTGCTGGACGAGGCGGGCAAATTGTTTGAGAGGGTTCTTTCTGCCCGCATCGTCCGGCACCTCTGCGAGGTGGGCCCCGATCTGTCGGACGCCCAATTTGGTTTTCGGGCGGGGCGTTCGACAGTCGACGCCGTGTTGCGCCTGAGGGCCGTGACCGAAGAGGCAGTGAGCTGTGGCGGCGTGCTGTTGGCGGTGTCATTAGACATCGCCAACGCATTCAATAGTCTGCCATTCAGCTGCATCAGGGAAGCACTCCACTATCATGGGGTGCCAAAGTACCTGAGGCGGCTAGTGGCAGACTACTTAGAGGAGCGTACCGTCGTGTACGAGGACCGAGAAGGTAATTTGAGGAGTCGGCCCATGTCGTGCGGTGTTCCACAGGGGTCTGTTCTTGGACCCCTCTTGTGGAACATAGGGTACGACTGGGCCCTTCGCGCCGATTTCCCCCCCGGGCTGGGTGTAATCTGTTACGCAGACGATACCCTCGTGACAGCCCGGGGGGCAAACTTCCAAGAGGCGGCGCGCCTGGCCACAGGGGGAGTCTCCCTGGTGGTCGGGCGCATTGAGGCGCTGGGCTTACGGGTGGCCCTAGATAAGACGGAGGCCCTGCTATTCCATGGGCCCCGTCGTGGTCCACCCCCTGGCGCCTCCATCGTGGTCAACTCGGTCCTCGTACCGGTTCGGGCCCAGATGAAATATCTGGGCCTGATCCTCGACGGGAGGTCGCTCTTCGACGAGCACTTCCGACAGCTTGCTCCAAAGCTGGTCGGCGCTGCGTCTGCCCTAGGGCGACTCTTGCCCAATATGGGTGGACCCAGCGTCGCGACAAGACGGCTGTACACGGGGGTTGTCCGGTCAATGGCACTGTACGGTGCACCGGTGTGGGCGGCGGCTCTGACCGCCCAGAATAGGGTACGCCTCTGGCGCCCTCAGAGGGTAATGGCGGTCAGAGCCATACGCGGTTACCGCACCGTTTCGACGGAGGTGGCATGCGCATTGGCCGGAACTCCCCCGTGGGATTTGGAGGCGGAAGTGCTCGCCGAAGTTTATCGGCGAGTGGCTGACTTCCGGGCGGAGAGCGGATTTCGCCCTCCGCCCGAGGATGTGCGCGAGTGGCGCGAAGCCGCTCGCCGAGCCACGATGGCTCGTTGGTCGTTCCGGCTGGAGACTCCACGCGCTGGCTTCGCCGCCGTGGAGGCTCTCCAGCCGGTCATCGCCGAGTGGGCAGGGCGGCAGCACGGGACCCTTTCCTTCCGACTGACGCAGGTGCTTTCCGGGCACGGTTGCTTCGGAAAGTACCTGCACACGGTCGCTAGGAGGGAACTGAGTCCCGCCTGCCACCACTGCGACTGCAGTGAGGACTCGGCCCAGCACACGCTGGCGGTCTGCCCCGCATGGGCGGCGCAGCGCCGGGCCCTCACTGCAGTCATCGGAGTGGATCTCTCGCTACCGGCCGTAGTACGCTCCATGGCCGGTAGCGACAGTTGTTTTACCGCGGTCGCAACCTTCTGCGAGGTAGTAATCTCGCGGAAGGAGGCGGCGGAGAGGGCCCGGGAGGACGACCTCCACTCGGACCCGATCCGCCGCCGGCGAACCGGGCGGCGGAGGCCCGCCTACCACAGCCTCATGCCGCCCTGAGTGTGGCCGCGGGTGGACGGGGTGGGTTTCCCCTCCACCCGCATTAGTTGGCCAGCCGCGAGGGGGCGGCGTCCGCGTGTGCCGGACGTCGCCTAAAGAGAGGAACATCTACAATGAGACGGAGCCCGCACCAGGAGCGGGCTGGCGCTAGGAGGGGTCCGGATGTCTTAACAACAGCTGTTCCCGGATCCCTCCTGTTACAGGCGCAGAGTGGCACACCGTGTGGTTTTAGTCGGTCCGAGTCCGACACACCACCCCGCCGCAAACCCCGGAGGGGTGACGGTCCGAGGGGATTTCCACACGTTAAAAAAAAAAAAAAAAAAAAGGTTTTATTTCAAGTTTTCCTTCTCTTTGCAGTGCTGTTGTCCCGCGTAATTTAATTTGTATTTGTGTAAAAGGTTATAAATAAATAAAGTATCATGGTAAAGAGCATCTAATCCCAAAGAATCGGTGTTTTTCATCGTTGCAATGAAAGTGGTTTATTTTATTTCATTACTTCTAGAGAAAGCTAACAGATTAATAAATATACCTATATATATATATGTATGTATACAGTACTAACTACATTACACATAATATATTATATAATAAATAACAATACGTACTACATATATTTTAAATAATAGTTTGAGCACCGCCGCACCGAGTTTGATAAAAGCTGCCTCACTATGCCTGCCAGAGCACAATTTCATTAAAGCTACAGATCAAAACTTAAGCGTCGATCTTATTAGAGAACGCGTTTAAAGTTTTACTCAGTTGAAACTACTCTCAAGTATTGATTTGAATTTACAGCCTGTTCTCAATTACGGTTCTACATGATCAACATTATTATTAAGTATTATGTAGCTAACTATTTAAATAAAACAGTCATTTACAAACATAATTCAGTGCTAGCTAGTGTAGTAATGTAAACATATTAACAAACTTGTTGTTGGTCCAAAATAAAAAAAAAAAAAAAATGCAATAAAAAATAATCACATTGTGTATAAGCTATAACGGAACGTTCAAGTTATTTATCAACACTAAACTTGTCATGTTGGATTGTCAAATAATGTTATTATTTTAATATATTTTATATATTTATTTTTAAAACCTCCTTTCTAAGGACAGGCCTATGTCCAGCAGTGGACTGTTAAAGGCTGTTGATGATGATGATGATGATGATGATTTTAATATATTTAAAATTAATATTACTAGAATAATATTATACTTTTAATACAAACCAAAAGTTTGTGGTAATTTTAATTTAAACAAGAATTGCGTAAAATGTGACTTTCAGTGAATTTAATGTCAATTAAGGTAAATGAATGTTAATTGAATATGTTTGACAAGTAATTCTTTCATAAATAAAGTAAAGTAAATCTTTCGTAATTATTCAGAAACAAATTATCGTAAAACACATTTATTTCCCTTAAAATGCCCTAGCATTCGCCGATTGAGAGTAGTTTAATCTGATCTCTCAAATTCTATACCTGAGTAAAGATTTCTTTTTCGGTTTCGATAAATATCGTTCTAAAATAGGCTATCACTCACTTGATTGGTGAATCTCGTTCGTGACGTTGGTGAGTCAATTGTGTCATTTGCGATGCTAGTCAAATAGCAAATATCACTTAAAAGGCACCTATATTCTAGTGGAAGGAAGTAATACAAGCGACGATGATATAATGAGCGCGTGTGGCGTTGCGATTGGGAAAGATTTCAGTTCGAGCCAACTGGTACGCCGAACGTGGTCAATCAACGTGACGATCGAGTTGATGTAAAATAAAATCACATTAGGCTTTCTGTTCCACGACAGTTCACGACACTCACCTTCGCATTTGGCGTACTTAGGCCAGTCGCAGTGCTTCTGCGCGTTGCTCCAATGTAAGCCGGGCGCGCAGTTCTGTAGTCGCCACACGCTGCCGTCGCAGTGTAAATAAGCGTTACAGTCGCCTGCTACAGCACTATATTGTTCGCCAACACAAGGTGAACCGTTCGTCGGTCCGTCATCTATTTCATCTGTTGATCAGATAGATGATCCACATTTAATTAAACTTACTTAAATATAAATTATTAACTAATGTTATGACGCCTATTCAAATGTTTGAAGCAAAACGCTGCCTCACTTAGTAAATTGTTATTTTTTTTCCAATATGCATGGACTTATTACTAGAATATTAACCATTAATTTTATTGAAGCAGTGGGTTAGGTTCTTAAATGAAAGGTATTTCACTTATCTATGTTTGAAATTTATCAATGCTTAGGAGAAGGTCATTAAAAGAGATATGAAACCTGGTGAAATTATTTGGCTCACCTAGTTATAAAATACTATTACGTACCGACTTGAGGTGCATCTGTAGAAGGTTTGGTTGCTATGCGCTGTGTCGTGGTAGTGGTGGTTGATGTGGTGGTTGTCGGTCTCGGCGGTGGGCGTGAGGTTATTGGGGCTAGTGTGGTCGTAGCTATACTAGCTTCACTGCTAGTTGTTTCTGTGGTTACAATATATATTTAATGAAAAAAAAATCAGTACCGAATTGTAGGTTTTACCCACATACTCCAAACTAAAACTAAAGAGTTACGATATTCTCGTAACTCTTTAGTGTTTTTCTCTTTCGTTTTTTTCATGAGAATATTTAGTATAAATAACCATATACTTTTTAAACAAAATAAAAAGGAATACAACAGTACTTCACTCAAAAAATTGTCACTTTGTGTTTACAAAAAGTACAGAATCAAAAGTTTTTAAGCAGATGTAGTTTTTCAGTTTCAACGTTTTCGCGATCACGAATAAAACTTCAAATCGATAATATTCGACATTGAAAAGAGAAATCTTTAACGTACCTGTGCACTTAGCAAAGCTAGGCCAGTCACAACGATTGACGGAAGTTGCCCAGTGAAGTCCAGGAGCACACCGATGTTTACGCCAGTGCCCACCTTCACATTGTAAATAACCTTCGCAGTCTCCAGGAGCAGAGTGATACTCGCCGGCAGTACATGGTGATCCTTCTATACTCCCTGTAATGGCAGATTTGTTTAAAAAACTCATCCTTCTTGTTTTGAAGAGAAGTTATTTTCTTTAGAAGAAAATATAGTTTTTATCGTCTCTGGTAATAGATTTTACTGTTTAGTAGTTGTTGACAAGATTTATTGTTGTTATTAAAAAGGGATCATTAGGTTGCCTACCCTATCAAATTTAACCATTAACGCTCGTATCTACCTTTTATATATAGACTTTAAACATAGAATTTTGTGAAAATCAAACAATTGTCTTATGTAATGCCGTAAGGTAAGTTTTTTTTATTAAGCGCAAAATAAATTCAGTACAATGCATAATATAGCATGCATGATTTTATAAGTAGAGTTACATGCTAACGTATTTTTTTAAGAGATTGAGTGTGATTTAAACTGGTCACCATTAAGGCTACTGAAAAAATAAAGCGTGTAAAAACGTAATGTTGTTTGTTGGTTGTTGTTGTTGTTGAATTTAAACAATATAATATGTTACCTGTATCTGCATTAGGTCGTTTTGTAGTAGTTGGACGTTTTGTTGTTGTGGTGGTGGTAGTCGTGGTAGTAGTAGTAGTTGTAGTTATGGGTTTTGTAGCTGGCGGCCACCATGTCTGGCTGGTGCTCGGTGTTGTGGTAGATGGGCTCCAGCTAGGCCATGTTGAAGTGTGGTGGTCATGGCTGCCACTACTACCACCTAGAGAACCTGCAAAGATGCGTATGTTTATTGTGCATGTCTAATTAATAATAAAATCTAAGTGAAGAAGTGAAGTTAACCGTGTGGTGACGGATTAAGAATACGAAGTGTCACAACCCCTATTCATCCCATGAATGCAAACTTGAAACAAACCCTATACCAAATTGTCTGGCCAGCGTGCTATAGTAAGCCAAAACCTCTTTTCTAAGGAGAGGCCCGTGTCCAGAAGTGGACTATTGAAGGCTCTTGATTATTAATGATAAAAGTACCTAAAATTCAAAAATCCTTTATTTTACCTTTATTGGTTAAAACAGTAACAAACAAAGCGCAATAGATATTTAGACAGACTTACATTTATTTTGTATTTATCATATTTTGAGAAAAAAATACAAATGTGTAATATGTTTCATACCATCAGACTCAATAGTAGTTGTGGTAGGGGCTGGTGGCGTGACGGGTTCAGGTGGTCGCTCACAGGCCTTAGTTGGTGGTGATGGAACGCTACGGCCAAGGGCTCGACCAGCAGCGCGTAACAGTGGTGAAGGTTCTGCGCAACAACGGTTACCGAAGTCATCCAAGTCTATTGCCCATGCGGTTACTCCGCCCATGCCTTGTCGAAGAGCCCATTCCACCTGAAGGATATAGTAAGTAGACTGTAAAGGAATTCCTACTAAAAACTAATTTGTACATTTTTAACGCTATGAGTGTACTTGCCTTTTCGGTGATAGATTTTGGATCATCGTATCCTACCCATTGATTGTCAGAGTAAGCATAAGGTCCTGCGTTTTCTTGACGACCAGTCTTCCATCTTAACTTATTAACTGTAAATAAATAATGGATTACATAAATCCCCCACTAACTTACATATAATAACGATGACTTGTATGATAATTCACTATAAACAATATCGGCACTAAGGGTTTTAATAAGATCTAAAAGGAATTAAGCCTATTCTTCAATCACTCATTACACCCCATTTAATTACCTATGCAAAAAAAAAGTATTTTTGCCGTTTATAGTTTTAGGATAACGTAAAAATGTTAAATGGCTACAGTAACTAAAACAGCCTGAAGTTTGATTATACGTGTTATATTACTAACCTCTATAGCATATTTCGTAGTAAGCCAACATGCCGGGTTGTCTCGTGAATTCGCCCGGCTTACCAGGTCCTGTGGCAACTGATCCTGGGCCTTTAACACCGTCCATGTCAGATAAGCTGTACGATTGACCATAGAAAGATAAGCCAAGCAACAATTTCTTAGGATCCACTCCACCGCTGATTAACGCTTTCACTGCATATTCCTAAAATATAGAGAATGCAGTTAAAATATTTTAGGGGGTCTTGAAGAAATTCTTGGGAATTTCAAACGTATTAGAACTAAAATAATTCGGAACTAAAACTTACGATCGAATAATACGTAAGTGGTTCTTTAGGCGGAGGTACTAGTGGTGTATGGTGTCCTGTACTTCTCTCCCAGCCCCCATGATAGTCATATGTCATGGTACTGAGGAAGTCTGCAGCATTTGATAACGCCGGCAGATCATATGCACTTTCAATTACTTCTTTATAACCAGATATGGCTACTCCAAGCTCCATGCCAGCATCGTGCAACGATTTCGATAATTCCTGGGAAACAACGAAGACTTCGGCGTTATTTTAGTTTTTTAGTGACTATATTAAGTATATCATCATCATTTATAACACTTACTTGCACGAATTTTGCATAATTGCTGTGGTCAGAAACAGCGCCCTTTTTACAATTACTCTGCCAACAAACAGGATAATTCCAATCCAAATGTAACCCCTTGAAGTTGTGCATGAGCAAGAACGGTATCAAGTTTTCTATAAATTTGCTGCGAGTTGCTGCTGATGATACTAGGCGTGAATACTTATCACCTGCGGAATCTGTCCAACCTCCTAAACCGAGAAGAACTTTGACATCTTTCAGAGACGTTACACGCTCGTAAAGATCTGAAAAATAAAACTTTTTCTGTATTGTTACTCCAATGTTAAAAATAATACGTTTAATAATTTTCATGTTTCATTTACTTAATTACTATAAGATATATACTACCATTTAAGTACAGAAACAATGATCGACACCGAAGGAAAGTAAGTAAATATTTTTGTATACTTACTGTTAGTTAAATCCGCCCAAGGATCGAACTCCTTAGCAATGAGATCGACTGGTGATAGAGACGCGTAAGCATAGACGACGTGAGTACAGAGTCTGGTATCCACATTTTCTGGAACAAACTTGCCATCACCGCGTCGGTAAAAGGCCCAGCTTGTCATGTAACATACAACCAGCTTGTCGCTTTGTTTACCTTTAAAAAAAGAATTCAGTTATTAGCATGTTTATATAATCCAATACATATTCATACATACAAACAGAAATGCTTACTTTTTTTGCCATCCCACTTAGCAACAAATCGCTCAGGATCTCTACTTGATGTGATTTCTTTTACGCCACCATCATTCCACTGCAAAATATTTCAATTTAAGTGCAAGAATTAGTGTAAAGGTAAAGAATATAGGATGAACTAAAAATTTTATTATGAACTTAATTTCTTGTGTAGGTATACAAATTCTTGTATCTGTGGGAATCCCACAACACTTGTCGTTATCTAGTGGCGGGGTGATCACTTAAACCATTGCTTCAAATTGCTCTATCCAGAGCTATCGCTTAATATTAATTATGTACTCCTAAGAATTAGTGTTAACAATTACCTTTAACAATTTACCTTAAAATTTAAATGATACCTACATTGTAGGTTCATAATCGATAAATAGAAAAACTATTGTTATAATAATATAATGACTCACTTCGAAGTCAATTTCATAAGCTTGCGACAGAAACCGAGCTGCATCTTCGACGCTAATTCTTAAAGCTTGTCCTGGCATACATTTTGTTACATCTTGGTGGCTGGTTGAAATAAATATGATCAGATAGATATAACAGATAATCAATAAAAATACATGAATGCTGTGATTTTTTTTACATTAAGAAACTCAAACATACCCACAGAAGCCTGTGGAGGGATCATAAAGACGTCCATCCTCACAGACCATCCTGTAACTAATGCCGCCGGTACAGAAATGGAAGTGTGCACACGAGTCTTCATCAGATGCCAGGTAGGCCCTCTCAGAGTCACAAGCACCAATTTTCAATGATGATTGATCGGTTGTTACAGCTTGACCTAAAAAAAAGATATATAAATATTCCTTAATATAAAAACAGATACTAGTTTTAATAGTAAGGAATAATATTCAGAGAATTAATTAATACAATAATTATTTTCGTAATTACCATTCAGCGTCGTTGAAATAGCACTTAGTATTGGAAACGGTTGGCCGCATAGCCCACGAAAATCATCCATATCGATAGACCAAGCTGCTGCTCCTGCTAACCCTTTACTTATGACGAACTTCATCTGGGTAAATATAATTTGATCATCAGTTATATGAGGAAGGAAAATCTTTCAGAATTAATAATAAGACAAAAATACATGCGTTACTTTGTAGTTCTTAGACAAAGAATTTATCGATGTAACTACAATATTACACTGCTGATGCTTCGATCAGATAGGGTCGCCGGCGGCAAGCGCGTATTATATTCATAATAGTATCATGAGGTGGTTGAAATTCTAAGAATAACAGTTGCCTCACTTACCTTTTCAAAAACTGTATCCGGAGTATCAAAAGTTATCCATTGATTATCAAATACAGCGTACGCATTTCCCGCTTCGTCTGAACTGCTTGCTCCTTTTTCATCACGATCTGCCATGCATATCTAAAATTTCAAATGAATTATTACCATAGGTACTTTTCCCCAAATAACAGCACAAAATTAATTTCCTCATTCTTACTTCAAAGAAGGCTAGTTTTCCTCTGGTCTGTGTGTAGGGTCCTTCATCACCCCACCCGCTTATTGAAGCTCCAGGAGCTGGCAGAGTTGAAGGTGCTAGAGAGTAGCTACGGCCAAACAGGGGAATTCCAAGTACCAATTTTTCAGCATTCATTCCATGACGAAGAATGAATTTCACCATGAACTCCTGTCAAAAATTAAGTAAGTCAGTAGCAGCTAAATCAATTTCAACAGCAAATTTTGACATTTAAGGTACCTTTTGGTTTACTTCATTCACGTTTAATTTAAGGTAATCAGTAAATGTAGTAGTTACTTACAATATTATCATAACGCTGGTCACGTGAAGCTGCTCCAGGGTCCTTATGCAAGGAACTATGTTGAAGTGCTCTGGATGGAGGCTCATCGCGTTTGGAATGTGTCATGTCCCAAGCTTGTAATATCGTGTAATCAGTTACACCGCTAACAGCACTTAGGTCGTAGCCATCTTCTATTTGGTACCTATTAAATACATGTCTTTTAAAATAGTACATAATTATGTTAAACGAGTCGAAATATTTTTTTATTGTGGAACGATTACTCTGAACTTAAAGTGAACATTTGGTTACTATTGTGGAAGAACGGGTGTCATGTCCCTCCAACACAAAGGGAGGACCTCCGACCAGGCGAGGTGATCATGCCTGGCGGGCCGCGGCCCAACGGTTGATGTTGGGAAGTTGTATATATGCTAATCGGCGAGGGAAATCTTTATATCGCGATACAGGATTAGCAATTCCTATTTTTAGTAGATACTCCGTAGTTCGGTGTGTCTTCATTAGATGGCGCTGTAGTATGTTTCTGTTTTTTTGTATGTGGGAGTCGCCACACTATTTTTCTTATTTTTGAATAAACAATTAATGGATAAAAAATAAAATAAATCATCAACAGCCTTTAATAGTCCACTGCTGGACATAGGAATCTCCTTAGAAAGGAAGTTTTGGCCTACTATACCACGCTGGCCAGACGGGTTGGTATATGGTTTTTTTTTTTATTAAAAAAATAATATAAATGGTTAATTAAATTGCCACTTTGCAAATACCTGTCAGGAGGCAGAACAGTAGAAAGCAGGAGTCCATAAGATGTGAACTTCTCACGCATTTCGTAAAGTAGAGCTGTTAGTAGATCCCTTTCTTTTTCGTCTTTTTCTCCTGTAAAAACAATGATTCTAAGTGCTGACTGAAATTGATAAGATTGTTCCTGTAGCTGAACGAGAACTGAAGTTCATAAAATATCTGTTTAGGCACCACAATACGCAAAATACGCAAAAACCTAGTTCTGCTCAATACGTTACTAAGGACGATAGCGGTGAATAATAGCTTACCTGGATATACCCAGTGGAGGTCGAGGCCATCAAAATCGTTATCCTGTAGGAAGTTGAGAGCACTATCGATGAACGTGCTTCGTCTGATAGGGTCTTGAACCATTTCGCTAAAAAGGCGATCGGTACCTTCACCCCCTACGCTGATCATTACTTTCAATCCAGGGATACGATTTTTTAAACCGGTTGCAATGCGATATCCACCTGTAAAAGTAAGTATTTCGTTTTGTGAAAGATAAAAAATGTTTACCTTGCATTCGAAACCGACATTTTCAATGTTTACAAGTTTTTTTTCTACTAATTTGTTTGCTAACTTGTGTAAAAATGATGAAAGCAAAATAATTAAAAACACCTTCAGTGTGATAAAGTTTTAAACATATTTTCTATATACTTATAAATTTATACATGATCTTTTTGTATAAATACAATACGTATCAACTTAAGCGCTATTGTTACTAACATAAATATGAACCTTAGTCTGAAATAAAAAGTTTATTTTTATTATATTTTTTGTTTTTATCGGCCCATAAATATTTTTTACGATTTTCCATATTTTTATTCCATTTCTAACATTTCGATCACTCATCAAGTATAATAAAGTTTTTCACATACCTTTAACAAGGTCGTAGTCCTCATTATTAGGAATTACAGCATACGTATGTGGATGTATAGTTGCAAATGCATAATGTAAGTGTGTGCAGGAACGTGGAACGAGCCCAGCAGTAAACGCTAGTGGCGGTGCTCTATACGCTGCCCAGGACTGCATATAGCACACCACTAGGCGACGGGTGGTTGGACCGATCATTGGTAGTGGCATTTCTATGAAGAAAAAAAAAGGTTATTTCTAATTTTACAGAAGCTGATTTTAGTTTTCAAATTACTATCGACCTACCTTGCAAATTGGCATTTCCCTGCTGTAGTCTTTCATCAGTTCGGGTGCTGCTATCATGAAAGAACGTTTAATCGATTAAGCTATATACTTTGTGGTATGCAACCAAATAAAATAAGTTCATGTGCGAATATTTAAATAAACATACTTATTTAAATAACTGGCAGCTCCATAGTATTGTTTGAATTCACCAAAATTCTCCCCATTAGAAATATCTTCAGCATCCTAAAAGGTAAAAAACAAACCGTTATTTTTTTTATTCTGCGGCTTTATAGGTGCTAAGAATTGTAAAATGTGTACCTCGAGTAATTTGAAGGAAATGTCTGGCTCCATGAGCGATATCGGACGTTTCTCCACTGCGTCACGTAATGGCAGCCTTTCATCTCCTTCATCTCGAATACTCCTGTAGAAATTGTAAATTGTTGTATAAGAAATATGTAAAAAGCTCAACCTTAATAAAGTTTTTATAAATGATTTCTTTACCTTAATGGTATACTTTCAACAGATGCACGTATTGGTGCGGCTAAAGGATCGTGTTCTGGTATCGTTTCAACGATACTCCTTTGGAAGGTAGTCACGCTTCCACGTGGAGATGCTCCTGTATACGCGCATAGCACTAATGCTATAGAGAACTGTAAAAATTAACATTTTAAAATAGTAATATGGACTGTATCTTATTGCACATTGTGCTAAAAATATGAATAGCTGCGCATTTCGTAGAACTTAGGTTAATTTTTATTCTTAAAAAGAACCGACCATCGTGTTTCGTTTTAAATTCATGGAGCAGATGGCTCGGAGGCTGTCGACCTCATATAAAAAAGTTATGTACATCTATAACAATACGACTAGGTATCAATTATTTGGGGACATTTAAATAAAGCTAAGGATACCGTTAGAGAGAAGATGAAAAAGTACCGTAAAATAAATGTTTTAGTCTTCGATGTTAGTGAATCAATTGTTGATGTACAAAGCATCCATTAGCAAAGATTGAACGTTTCTTTAACAGGCAGCGCCGTAACTGAAAATGTTATGTTGAGTAGACGATGGAGGTCATTGACTTATCGATTAAGTATCGCACTACGACTTTGTGTAATTTACATAACTTGACAGAGAGAAGATCAACACTTGAGACTGGTCCATGTATATTTTTAAGTATATTTTAGTTAGTTTTTATAATGTGTGCATACATTGGCAGGGACGTCAATGCCCGTAATTTAATGACGTTTTCTATCCTTACTGCTTTAAATTATGTGACAGAAATCAACTTCAAACCACGGAATATTTATTTTTACTGATAAACTTGTATGTACTCGTACTAAACATATTATTGTAAGAGTAAAGCTACTTTAATGAGTTTCTGCTTAAAATGTTTTAAGACTAATTTATTGTTGATATTATTGTTACACAAAGAACAAAATATCTAGTATAATTCCTTAAATGTTAAGAATCCACTGGAATTAAGTATAATATTGTTAATGTCACATATAATGTCAGATTAAAAACTAATAATATGTACAATAAATAATGTTGATATGGGATTAGACGTTACATGTTGTTTTGTGGAAAGCGCTAATCTCAGGAACTACTGGTTCGAATTGAAAAAATATTTCAGTGTTAGATAGCCCATTTATCGAGGAAGGCTATACATATCACACTATGGCTAAAAGAAGCCGAGCATTACTGAAAAATGTTGCAAACACTTTACAAACAACACAACAGTTTCTGAGATTTACACTTACCGTCGTCGATATTATTACAACGCATCTTTTAATCTATACAACGTCTGAACTGGTATGAAAAAGTAGTTATAGCTAAAGTTGTAGTTATTAGTTTGTTAAATACATTAACTGACAGTTAAGCCTATTAAGTATATTAATTTTGCCGGAAAGTACCTTTTTAGTAAAGATTAACCGCTTTTTTATACCTGCTTATCTAATGCCTTTATCATGTATTTTAGGTGCGGAGAGATGATCTAATAAATTACTATTAAACGATTTCTAGTACATTGACTCGAGACGTTCGGAAAATAACACAATTTGCATACAGGCAACAGAGGCAGGTAGTGGCGCGCCTTCGGGGTCATCGTCATCATCCCAACCAGTCCAAGGTGTTTTCGCGTGACATTTCGCTGGCGATTAGGACACGAGCTTTTGTTTTTATATGTTTTTGGATCTCCATGGTCAGATAATAACGACTAATATTATTGCTCTAATCTGAACATTTAGTCATTAGCTTTGTGTTCGAAAAATTAAGTGCATTAAATTGTTACTTAAGTGGCAAATGGAATGTAAACAATAATTTTTACACTTTGAGTAAACCTTGTCAATTGTACTCAAACAAACATGAACTCGGAAATTTTATTAGCTTTATTTAATTCTGATTGGTTTTTAAATTAGCAACAAATGTTTTCTACACGAATAGCTGCATCTTTAAGGCAATGAGATAAATAGCATTTGTTGACCTTTACCGCTGGATGTACCTTTAGATTATTGTTTAAATTGATACCTACATTATATAGGAAACTAGAAGATTAATACAGAATGACATTGTGTTGTGTGAAGGCCATAAGAGCGACGCACGCGTGGTTGTCCCTGTACGTGCAGAGCATTTTACCTATATTTATGTATATTTATGAAATGGTAATGTTTTACATTAAACTACCTATATGTGAGAACTTTAAGACATTGCTGTTATTGTCTATGTTTGCATACAATAAATCCTTCATTGAACACTCTAAACATTAGATATTCCAAGACTTTGCATTAAAAAATTGGCCTTAGTACATACATACTTTGTTAGGTATATTTAAATTCTGTTAGGAGAGTTTGAGCCCGTTTTCTGAATTTGATTTCTTTTCATTTTTCTATCATTTTCGTCTATGCTATATGTATGGACAGCAGAAAGAGAATGCTTGAAAATATGCTTTTAGTAATAAGGTATTTTTAGTATTGTTTTCCGTTATATTCTGTTTTTGATTATTAGATCTTTTTGGATTTTGGATGGCTACTGTTTCTATGTATAACTTTTAGTGTTAATCAGGCGAGGTTAATTCAAATAAGTATGTTTAAAACTTCGCCTTTTACTAATGCCACCTATTTTATCCCACTTAGGGCAACACTCAATACTCAAAATGTAATTTCATCAAACGATATGTTAACGTGGTACACTTAAAAATATAAATCATCATGGACCTATAGTTCGTAGTGATCCAAGGAGCACAGTACTGGCGGATTAGGACATAAGAAGAGGCCTTAAGCCTTTACTAAGCAGATCACATTAGCTGCTTATGTTAAGATTCACATTATATATTCGGCAATGTAATTGTATCTAGATCCTAGTGATATCTGTGTGTTTTTGTTAAAGTCAAAAACTGAAAAGATTTCTAATACGACATGTTCATGAGACTGAAAAAGGCGTAAAGAGCAATTTGAAATAACCAAATGTCTAGAAAACGCGCAAAATTATTTTACCTACTCTACACTAAGGAGAGGCCCATGTCCAGCAGTGGACAAGTAAAGGCTGTTGATGATGATGATGACACTATAGGTGCTCAATTTAACTGCACTTAATATTTTAAATTTCATCCAAAGGAAATAAGAACAAGTTTTGTCGTAATAATGTATAATATTAACCCAGAAAATAATTATTTTTCTTCCACCTGTAAAGTTTTTTTTTAAGGGGTTTTGCAAATTTACCTACGTGCATTTGCAATCGCAATGGCGATATATCATAATTTATGAAATTATCAGCTGCAATATTTTAGATTAACTAATAAACTTAAAATAAATATAGTGTATGAGCAAGTTTCATCATTTTTTTTTGTCCCCTTTAAAGTAGATTAAGTGAAATCTGAACAGACCATCAAAGCACACATTGTAGGTCAAAAAAGTACATTAAATTAACAGCAGAATATATGGCAGCCAGTGTACGTAAAAAAATTTTTTTTTACTAAAATCTTTAACTGTATCTTTTATCGTGTAAACATTGCTCAAATGTTTTATCCTCCATTATCAAATGACCAAAATATTAAAAATGCAGAAAGTAGCAGCAGTTTAAGTACTTGAATTAATATTTGCAAAAAAAAATCTAATTAATATTACAAACATGAAAATGCACCTGTTTCTTTTTTACGCTGTCAGGCCTTTATTAGTTTATGAAGTTCTTCATGTACGTTATTAAGGATACAGAAGAGAACAGAAGGTACCTGTCATCCAAAAAATATTATTCTTATAGAATGGAAAATAAATTAAACCGAAAAGAAACCTCGGGCAAAGCTAATAATATTGCTAATATTATAAGTTGAAGCACAATAGATACAATGAGTCATGAAGATATCAAACTTCACTTTAAGTACTTTACAAGAAATTAGTCATTGTTTAATGCATGCTTTTAACAACCACAGTTAACCGGCTTCGTCAATAACATGTCTATTGACAAAGTTTATTGTCGTGTTTTGGGTACTTTAGTTTTTTGCCACTTTGGTTCTAATACCGCTACATGGACGAAAAAAAGCGTTGCAAATCTAATAACACGTTAACTAAACATCAATGGATACTGTTAAAGAGTACCTGACCTATTAAATAAACTTTGTATAAATCGATAATGATTACGTTTTCTTTAGAGTCATTATTCAATTTAAAAACTACCGCTATTCGTAGACCTTAACGCGATATTCATTAATAAGTACTATATTCGTATAAGTAAAGATTTATAAATAACGAAATAATATTATTTAAAGAAACGATATGTGGACGCTTCGAAGCGATAGGGATTAAGAAACTATTTTCTGCAATGAACATACCGGTTTTATACTAAGTAGTTTGTTTTGTTGATCCCGGTTGGATGGCCTTCCTCCGGAACACGTGTGTCCTACTGCCTCGTATACATACAGGTGTAGAGCATTTAGCCACTTAACTTTCCCATATGACTTTATATATTTCTAACTTGTTATTCATGCCGCGAATAAGTAATGAGCCAAAAAGACAAACTTATTTCACTAACATCAATTTAGGGACAATGTTCAAAGTACTCAAGTGTATGGAATGGTGTCGTTATTATAAATAAATTAAAAAAAACAGTTTGTAGCTTAAAACTTTTAACTTAATTTAGTTTTAGTTGCCCAAGAGAAATTAAAGCTTATCTTATTTATCTTAAACTTGAATAATAAAATGAGATCGACGTTAGAATATTAAAATCTATTATCATTAAATGGTCTGTAGAGTTTATTGGAATTGAAACACAACCGTTAATTGTTCATCCTATTAACCGAAGTATGCTATAATTCATTTAATTATATTAACCTCATTTTCCAATTCACGCCATCCAAATTAAATAAATTAATTATCAATTATTTTATAATAAACTACGTAGAAAAATACGACATAAAAGAGTTAACAAGTATCAACAATAAATTACGAATAAAAATATATATTTTTAAAATTATTGCAAAGTAATAGTAAATTCAGAGTCAAATAAAATTATTAGAGGCAAAAACTTACCCATAGGGTGAAGCTGCGCCCCATGACGGGGACAATCCGTTTCCTTTTGCCAACTTTTCTGTAAAATTAAATATTATTTATTTGAATAATATATCTTGTATTGGATATGCTTTTCAAAAAAGGGACATGTCGTTAATCTTAATAAACTTATTACTTACGAATATTTTTTTTTAAATAGAGCTTTCTTGTTCAATTGTATCCAAAAAAAGGATGCTAGAGCTTATATAAAACACTACCCTTATGTGGTCGAAGTGGGTGCGCGTGCGTCGCGGGTCTGGTGCGACTGAGCGGGCGGCGCGCACGTTACCTAGTGTTAAATACCCCGGTGTCATCGAGCTTCACGTCGTACCTCGCACCCACGTTTGCACAGTACTAGTGGTGTTTGGGGACAAACAAGACTGGAGATGAAATTAGTTTATATTTGATTTTCAGATTACACCAAACCAGGTACAAAGATACCTTACCCAATACATAATGTATGTACTTCGCTCACCAAAAATCAATTGAAAAAACCTATACTAGAAGTACTACTTAATCGTGTGAGGCAAAGAAAACAGTCATCAAAAATCGATATCATGCGTGTGTAACTTCTTTCTTTACATTGGATATTATAAATAAGTTATAAATATTAAAAAAAAAACAAAGCAATTGATCCCATTATAAGTATCAATAATTAAATAATCTATACTAATATTATAACGCTGAAGAGTTTGTTTGTTTGTTTGAACGCGCTAATCTCAGGAACTACTGGTCCGATTTGAAAAATTCTTTCAGTGTTAGATAGCCCATTTATCGAGGAAGGCTATAGGCTATATATCATCACGCTAAGACCAATAGGAGCGGAGCACCAATGAAGAATGTTTCAAAAACGGAGAAAATTTATTACTATTGAGACGCAGACGAAGCTGCGCGGGACAGCTAGTTTAAAATAAGATTATTTAAAACTAAAAATCCTTTCAACGATTAGAAAAGAGCTAGTTGTGTTCAATTTCCAGAACAAGTTTTCTTGAATAATAGCTAAGATAAGAACTCTTTCAATCAAGTCACCTTTGAAACAAAAACCGTCTCAAAAGATTTTTCAAAAAATAAAATTTTAGACGGCTAATGGTTGTGGACTACGGATACATTTTTGGAGATTAAAATTAAAAAAAAATGATGTAAGTTGACAAGTGTTTGACTTTAGTCCCATATCTAAAAAACCGGACATGTGCGAGTCGGACTCGCCCACCGAGGGCTCCGTACAAATTTATAATCGAAAACTAAGCTTGTGCCAATGAACCCTTTCACACGATACCCCACATGACACGGTCAAATTTGGACCGCCTTTCCTTGCATAAATACCCTGTTTTTAATTATGATTTGATTACAAATGTGTAGTTTTCAGATTTACCCTTTACTTGTAGTATAAGTATTACTTGCCAGTTCTAGGTCAATGGAATCAATTATCAATTTTGATTCCCTTGAGAGTGTAAAATACATGTTTTTTTCGGCATAAACGGCCGTATCTTTTTTAACGTTAACTTAGAAGTTTGATTTTTTCACAGCTTCAAAAGACCGTAGACCTGAGTAAATCGTTTAAATTTCAACTCGCGTTCCCGGGATAAAGGATCTTGACAGACAGACACACGGACGGAAAAAATAGTGATCCTATAAGGATTCCGTTTTTTCCTTTTGCGGTACGGAACCCTAAAAATGATATTGAAATTAGTTCAGGTAAAACGCTTGTCAAGTTGATTGACCCTCCGCGATATCTTATGTTCTTGTTATTTGTAGGTATTGTTTTCTAAATATATTTTAAGATTAAGATTGGCTGCATCAATTCGCACTAAAATAGGTTTTTACTTCTAACAATTTAAATATTTCATAATCCATTCTTCAATTTGGGTCCTAAGGGATAAATGAACTTGTGACAGGACTTATTTGTTTACAGCTATTTGTGGATAACCTATACTTTCTTACAGGTAAAAAGAGGTTAGTCAGGAGTCTATAGGATATATAATAGCTTCAGTAATAAATAACACCACTTGCTTATTAATAAAAGACTTGTTTACCCGATTGGTTTAAGAAAATAGCGTTTTCAAAATATCTTTTGACAGTAACTGATTTACTTGTATCTTATCTAATTTATATCGTTTGTTTAGATCTCTTCGAGATAATTACAATAATTTATTAGATATGTACGTGTTTTCACAAAGAAACGCTACTAAAAAACAAGGAAGACTAGTAACATTTTTGATGGTACATACATGAGACCAGGAGTAGGTACCCGAGGCATTATGATCTTGTTGTGAGGCTGTATTATTTGGATATTTCTTAATAAATCAAACATCTAACCTAATCAATCTAATCAAGATATACATTTATTTTGGAACCATTATTATATCACACTATTTTTAAGTTATATCTATACAAATAAATAAAATTGGAGTGTCTGTTTGTAATATTAAAATAACCGCTTTTTACTAAATGCATATGTATGTTTACACGGTACATATGCCAAAATAACATTTTTTACAATTTTTGTCTGTCTGTCTGTCTGTCTGTTTGTTCCGGGTAATCTCTGGAACAGCTGGAGCGATTTCGACGGGACTTTCACTGGCAGATAGCTGATGATATAAGGAGTAACTTAGGCTACTTTTTTAGACTAGCTCCGTCCCGCGGCGTTGCCCGCGGTTATAACAACAAACGCGAGTAACACCGCGGGTCTCAGCTAGTATTTATATAAATTTAGTTAAATAAACAATAAATTTTACATAAAAAAGTTGGTACCGTTATATTAAAAGTAATAATACTCTAACACACTATCATAAAACAAGAATGTCAGATGTAACATTTACATACAGAGCTTTTTGTCTTCTCGTTATCATAAAGTTACCATAAACTTGACATATGTTTTAATACATGTAGATAATAAAAAGAAAAATAGTTTTAAAATAAATTGGCCCTTGAATGATAGATTTCAAACCGTTAGATGACAAGTAGGGGACATAGTTTTTGTACCATCAGCAATCTAAGTCTCCGACAAATAAAATGAATAAAAAGAAAAAAATACATTTTATTCAAGTTATAATCTTGACAAAGATATTAGGTACCATGAACTAAATTATTATTTATGAGCCTGTTATGAATCCTGTTTGCGACACGTCTTGATTTCAGTCTATATTATAATGGGCTTGGTATTAAAATGAATGCTAAAACTTTTATCTCTAACGACATTGCACTTACACGGTATTTTAATCTTTATACTTTATCAAATGTAAACTGGTCATATTTTTAATTAAGTACATCAATTAATTGCTGAGCGAAAAAAATTATCGTCACTTTTACCTCGATTGTTCAAAAAAATATTATGGTGAAGTTATTCGTATTTTTCATCTAATCTGAAATTAGGTGATTAAAGAAATAAACCTATCATAACTACGTTTGATTTATTATCGTCAGAAAACTCGTAAATGTATAACTTTGAATTACCTAAGGAAGTAAATTAGATAGGTAAATAAGATAAAGGTAACTAGATAAGGTCAACTAGATGTGAAATAAAAGAGACAAAACGAGAACTGTAGTTAAACAAGGGTACCCCAGTGAATTTTTCAAGTCATTTATTATAAGGTGATGAAGTATAGCGCCTTAATATAAGAAACTGTGTGTTGCTATTTCAAATTCAATAGTGATACTCTAAAGAACAAAATCTACAATTACCTTTTTTTTTTTTCCTTGTGTATAAGTGTTCTGAATTCTGGAGACACGGTCACGCACAAGTACCAATTTCAAGGTTATTCACACTCACTTAGCATATCCTAATATTCAATTATGTTCCTGACTAGACTTTATTGAGTAAAAAATAAGATATTATAACAAATATAAATATCTGTTTATTCTTCGAGCACAATTATTAAGCACAATGATATTCAAAGGGATCACAGTTTTTAACTGCGTTAATAAAAATATTGATATACATTTCATAATTGACCTAGCAGTATCAAAGTTTTGACGGGTATGTATTGAGTGTATAAAGAGTTCGCTGGTGTTCGGCATGCGCCGTGGCTACGTACGTGGTGCCTTGGTGCGTTGGCGCAATGGGCTCTTCCGAAATTACTATGCACAAAGCGTCTCTTCCTTTCTTACCGCCAATGTCACTGGCATTGTTTACCGATACGCCGCCGCCGTCGTCGTCGACTCCACACAACCTAACTGTACATGCACTAAGTGGACCCTGAAATTGGCAATGTCCTTCTTTCAAATTTGACCTGAACAAGTGACCTAGCTTCTCAGGGAGCCATACATTTATATAATATACATACAAAGTTTTTCTTTTTATTTCGGTTTATGTCGGATACTCACGCTGTACTTTACGTTGAAGCAAATTTGTTTTTGTTTTCTAATGGAAAACTAGATTTGGAATCTGGATCATTCTGCCCTTTTAAAAGGAGTAAAGTCGAACCGGTATTTTTAACTGTTAGAGAGGACTAGTGTCCATGCATTCAGCCTTGTGTGTTTTTCTCAACGAGTGGGGGGGTTGGTGCTGGCGAGCGATGGCCGGTAGCATCTCGCGACTTCAAGGCGAAGTTCAAGGTGGGCCGTTGACATTTATTATATGATTCGTCATCATTTGATGTCAGATGAGCCCACGCCCGATATAGGCTTGCTGTTCGGAATGCAATTATGTTAAACATCCAAATGCTCCATTGTAATTAAGCTTCGCCATTCATAATCAATTTATTTTACATTTTTTGTGGGTAAGTTTTGTTTAAAATCATTGTTTCCCTCTTGTTTTGTGTAAGCCATATTGCAGGAAATATTTTGTATAATGTGTAAAGGTATAGTTTTTTTATGTAATAAAATATTTGTAACTATTAAATAAATAGATTTTAGCGAGTAAGGAAATAAAGGAAATACCTACTCATAATAATGATGTCTTTACGTGTGTCTAATGCGATTATTTTTGTTAAAGATGTATAATGTTTACAGAGTAACCTAGTCTGTAAAATGTCTCTTTACAATTTTGTGCCGTACCTAATCAATATTGTGATTTAGTTATGGCTTACTTAACATTTGTTTCTTATATAAATCGGTTTATTGTAGTCTAATGTATTTTTCAATCAAGAATTTGGAATTTAGTGTGTTTTATTATTTAGACTCGCTAATAATATTATTAAGACTAAAGAACACTTTTTTTTATGGCTCGGCACCATTCGTGCATTGGGCCAGTGTCAAGTTAAAGAACACTTGGTCTTCAATTTTCGAGTATATATATAATTAGTTTCCTTTTTAATCTTTGATCTGGGGGCACGGTAGTGCCCCGGCCAAGTCGAGCATTTTATTTATATAACGAGTCTCAGTTATACTGTTGCCATTGTTCTGATGTTGCAGCTGTTTTCATTTAATTTTTAACACATTATGATTAATAATTTTATCTACATGTGTTTATTCTACACGTAAACTTCAAGTAAAAGATTAATAACATTTGATTGAAAATTAGATTTGCCCTATTTGTAATCAAATTCATAAATAAATTTGTACTAACACATCAAAGACTAATTTTGTCTCAAAATTATAAAGTTTCGTTACTTAGAGTTAGTAAGATACGACTCATATTATAATTAATGTAAGAAACTTTAACTGATGGCTAACATTTCTGATTCCTAGATCATCATCAATGGCTTTTAATAGTCGATTGCTGGACATAGGCCTATCCTTGCACCTTGGTTTTGAGCTATTATACCCATTGATATACATTACACTAGATTAGCAATTGCCGCTCAAATGCGTTGCCACTGCACATCTGTCCATAGCCAGATGCGCAGCAAGTGTCGGTTCAGTGTTCAATGTGGCGCCAACCGAGTTAAACATAGCGACACGTGACAATAACAATCGCCAAAATAGGTCAAGGCGTAGTTAAAGAATGCGATTAAAGTCGCAAAACCATACTAAATCAAGTAGAATTACTTTTCACACGTGAGTTGATAGTTTTTGCATTGAAAATAAAGCAAATAAGGCTATAATTTATTTAAAAATTAATTATTGTAATTTAGATTCAGTGTTACCATTAAAACATCGTTTTGGTATGCTTCGTACTGTTTTTAAATATTTTGGCAATAATAATAAAATATAGTAAGAACGGACCAGGAGGGTAGTTGATAGGGCTGGACCGATATTCTTTTTAGGCACCGGTTTAAATTTCACCTCCTTCAAAGCTCGCAGTACCGGAGACTTTAGTACGAGAAAAATAATTCATTGTTTTTTCTTAATTAATTATCAATTTTATAATAATAATTCTACACGATATAACCATTGTAACAAAAAAAAAAACTAGTTGCTTTATTATTTATACCTATTCCATTCATTTAGATAAACATTATTTAAAATATTTAAATATATTTATTTTATTACTAAATTGTTTTAAAACCCTTTTTTCCGGGTTGTTTTGGGTAAAATTTCATACAGTTGTCGGGCCAGCCGCCATCGTAAAGTTATGTCTTTGTCTAATCCTAGCGACGGTATTGTTCTTGTAACGTGTGTAAATAAGACACAAATATGTTTACTTTCAAATGTTTAGTAGTATCAAAGCTACGTCGTCACAGTTCAATAGTGGGTGCTTACATTTTTTTCGACGTGTGGCAATGAGGTTTGCTTTTCTAGTTGTTGAACTCGATGACTATACCACGCTCCCTGTATAGTCCCTATCATAAAAATCGTAATAATGCCTTATTACTACGATTTCTATGCTCCCTATTAACAAATGTAATTTAATTTTTCTAAGTATAGAACGTATTTACAAAAAAAACATTGTCAGGGAATACGTTAGATACGTTGTGCATTTAATTTAGATTAAAATTCTATGTACAGCATATCATTAAAATGAATATTTTAGAAGATATTACAAGTTTAAAATGCGGCAAAATATTGGCCGTCGCCGCGTTCGCCGTCGGGCCGTACCCGGCCGTGGCAACGTCCGGTAGGAACGGAGCGGTATAATTATTAGCCCCGGCTTCGCATGGGTGCAATGTAGATGTTACTAATACTACTAATTTGGTGTGAGTGTGGAGCCACCCGGGACGATAAAAGATAAAAATGGTTACTGCGGGTTATTCTTAGAAAATAGCCATACACCATAGCCACCAGCCATCGCCGAGTTTTTTAACCGACTTCAAAAATAAAGGAGGCTATTATAGAACATTTCCAATGTATGTATTTTTTTATGTATGTTTACCGATTACTCCGTCAATTGTGAAACGATTTCCAATAAAAAAATTTATTAGAAAGAGCTTAGTCTTGAGGTAGTCTCATTGTCAAAGATTCAGGATCTGATAAGGGGATCCCAAGGAAATCAAGGGCACACGACACGAATTGCTTTGGGAATTTTAGGGTAGTGCCCTGGAGTTTATGCACCGTAGCCGCCCAACTGAAGATTAGCAGTAGCGTTCTTCGTTCAACATCCCCGTAGCTTTTAGTTAGTCGTAGTTTTAGTTAGTTGTGTAGTTTAGGCTACTGGTACCCGTGACGGCGTGTGGTCTTAGTCGGTTTGTGTTCTACATAACCAGTGGCAGGTGCTATCTGAGGGGATTACCGCACAGGAAAAAAAGGAGTTGCAGAATGTAATTCATCAACAATTAAGTATCTACAAATTTGATTTAATTTGATGAGGTACAAGTAAAATCAAAACAAATACTCACATAGTCATATTTATGCGTAAAACACAACTACCAAGATGAATTAGTCGTGGGAGAGCTAGGCCAGGCAGGCAGCACATATGGCCCAGGCTTGACCAGAATGTGGTGTCCACGAGTTAGCCGCGAAGTTAACCCAACGACCCATGACACTTTACGAACACTGAGTTTCGGTGCGGCCTTAAGTGTAGGCCGAGTTTTGCCGAAAGCGAAACATGAACCGATAATAGAAACCGTACCTTCGGCTGCTCACTAGTTTAAGGATACCTCCTCCTATGAGGTCCGTGTGTCCGTCTAGACGTGTCTAATGTTGCGTCTACGCCTAAATGATGAACTTAGCTTTGTCTAGACGGAGTAAAGTACACGTAGTTAAACATTTCATTTGTTTTGGCGCGTAGTGCAGTTGGTGTAACAGATGAATATTACTTATAAGAAAACAAAAGAAACATTAGTCCAATATTGTCTAATTTTTTTAAACTGTTCTTGCCGTATTTAATGTTTTATTTTGAAGTGTGCTTGTTTTTATTGTTACTACGTTCTAACAGTGAAGTACCTCTTTCAGGACTGTTGGTCAGTAGTACACCGTTCTTTCAACTTACTGTTTTTAAATCAAGTATACATTAATCAGCGTTGTTTGTTGCTGATATCGGACCGGACTTACGGGGCTGCGGCGCCTGCTCGAATTTCTACCGCACAAACAACTGTAGTACGCATTCGTCATGGCAGGCGTTAAAAAGAAATGCATCAATTCCATGAAATCGATACAAACCTCTATTTATAATTTAAGAAATACTCTTATTTACATTTAACTTAGCTGAGATTTAGATAAGTAGAGCTTTATAACCAGATTGTGTTATTGTACCTCTAATTATCACACCGCTCAAATCATGCGTTTGTTTTTAGAAATGTGTGCATCATAAATAAAAAAGTCTAAAATTTTAATTTTCTTCACCAATAATTTTTAATGCTAGTAACAAAATAACATCTTCACAGGCGCTCTGAATGTTTGTAATCAGACCGTGCGTCGCCGCGTCGTGTGTTAGATGTGCCAAAATAATTCACAAGATATAACAATATAATAGGGGTTAAAGTATGAAATAGTCGTTGTATAGTAATATATACTTTTTTATCAACGCTGCGTTTGGAGAGGAGACTGCTAATGAACGTACCGTGCGTTTATATTTAAACGTTTTCCTAATGGAACCTTCGACTTGAAGAACGAACCACGTGGAAGACTGCCTACACAGGTGAATAAGTGAATTGAAGGAGTTGGTGGCAGCCGATCCGAGTCAAACTACCCAGGAATTAGCGTCATGGTTAAATGTTACCCTTCTTACAATATTGACACATTTTCATCAAAACCAATAAGATAAAAAAATTAGAAATGGGTGCCTCATGATTTGACTGACCAATCGGTACAGAAATGAAGGAATATTGGATCGAATTGTGACATGTGACGAAAAGTGAAAAATGAAATGGCTGACCCCAGGTCAAACGCTGCAACAGTGCCCTAAACCAAAGCTTACCAATAAAAAGGTAATGGTAACTGTTTGGTGGTCTCTTCCTGGTGTTATTAACTATAGCTTTCTCAGGTATGGCTATGGTGTAGTGTAGTGTAGTATCCGTGTAGTGACGAATTAAGAATACGAAATGTCACTACCCCAATTCATCCCGTGGGTGTCGTGAAAGCCGACTAAGGTCGCATAACAACGCAGGACACCAGCACTGCAAAAATAAATAAAACTTGACACAAACCCTATACCAACCCGTCTGGTCAGCGTGGTATAGTAGGCCAAAACCTCCTTTCTAAGGAGAGGCCTATGTCCAGCAGTGGACTATTAAAGGCTGTTGATGTGATGATGTGATGTCATAATCAAAAGATTTTTAGAGCTTCTGGCATATTTAGAGATTTCATTTCGAAAACTGATTTTTACTGAATTCAGTACCTACAGTATTTTTTATTGAGTTTAGTATTCATGGTTGGTTGTTTAATAGGATACGATATTTACAAGACTAAGGGAAGATCCAAACGCACTACTAAGCCTATATCAGGACTGACAATATGCACACAAACAAATACCTAGGTATTTGTTGTACTGAATTCTATTAAACAAGCCGTAAGGTGCTGTTTATCTTGTTTAAGTGAGATAACCGTTTGGCTGACTTCATTGTACAAGATACAGTACAGATTCGTACATTTAGATTGACCACCAATTTATCTGTATAGTTTTGTACATTAGGTTATCAATTACTGCAAGTAGTTGGTCGATACCCAGGATCTTAAGTAGTGGGGATAATACGCCTTCGTCGTTTAGTTTTTTGTTAGTTAATTACTTTAGATTACGGACGATAGATAACTTTAGTTTAGCTGTTAATGCAATAGGCAGATATAATGATAATTATAAAAACTGTAAACAAATCTTTTAAAACATGAAGAATTGCTTATACCTACTAAAACACAATGCACCTATATTTTCTTTATTTATCTAAACATGATCTACGAATTAGGGTCACTCGCTGCAAGAGTAAAATAACAAAAAGTTGCATTTTCTGACATACCTATCTCATCTCTTTATCAGTTTCATGATAATGTCGTAAAGAATATATTTCATTGTTATATATTTTATTGAATATAAAAATAAAATAAAATAATTGAATATATTGAGAACTAAAAAGTGTGCGTTACCCCAGCAAAATAATGTCGAAAATGGTCATTTAAACTTTATAGATAATTAGTTACTCCCCTTCTGTAATTGTTAAGCACATTTTTAAATTTGTTTCACTTAAACTTTTTTAGTTATTTCAAAAAAACATTTCCTGCTGGAGTAACGTTTGAAACGTTACCGCAGCCAGACATTTTCTTTTTTAATTGTAATATTGAAATAAATTTTAGCTAAATAATTAGTTATCTGGACTAGGTAAATGTTACAACTTATTTGGTATTTGTATTTTCTTCGGCTGCGAAGTTATTCGAAATCCTGCTGGAGTAACGTTTGTGGGTTTGCTGGATCTCTGAAACGGGTAAGCGGATTGTAACCATCTTTTGTACATAACTTCTTAAGGATTAGTTTTAATTTGTTCGACAATAAAATAACAAAAATAATGGACCGTTTAAAAATTATTTAGGTAAGTATGAAAACACTTCAATACGTCCTAACACTTTAAATAAGACCTCTAAAGACTTACTTCAAACGTTATTCTATTGCTTGTAACTACCTTCAAATGTATACGAATTTTCGTAAGAATACTGTAAGTGACTAAAAAGTTATGATGAAATGTAGCTCTCCACGTTCACGATCACAATGTGTGCGGCCTTTTTTGGCCACCGATAAACCTGTTATGTGTATGAATAATATGTTATGCCAATAATTAGGTTTTTGGGGTTATTTTTTTAGAAAAATAGCCATACACCATAGCCACCAGCCATCGCCGAGTTTTTTAACCGACTTCAAAAATAAAGGAGGCTATTATAGAACATTTCCAATGTATGTATTTTTTTATGTATGTTTACCGATTACTCCGTCAATTGTGAAACGATTTCCAATAAAAAAATTTATTAGAAAGAGCTTAGTCTTGAGGTAGTCTCATTGTCAAAGATTCAGGATCTGATAAGGGGATCCCAAGGAAATCAAGGGCACACGACACGAATTGCTTTGGGAATTTTAGGGTAGTGCCCTGGAGTTTATGCACCGTAGCCGCCCAACTGAAGATTAGCAGTAGCGTTCTTCGTTCAACATCCCCGTAGCTTTTAGTTAGTCGTAGTTTTAGTTAGTTGTGTAGTTTAGGCTACTGGTACCCGTGACGGCGTGTGGTCTTAGTCGGTTTGTGTTCTACATAACCAGTGGCAGGTGCTATCTGAGGGGATTACCGCACAGGAAAAAAAGGAGTTGCAGAATGTAATTCATCAACAATTAAGTATCTACAAATTTGATTTAATTTGATGAGGTACAAGTAAAATCAAAACAAATACTCACATAGTCATATTTATGCGTAAAACACAACTACCAAGATGAATTAGTCGTGGGAGAGCTAGGCCAGGCAGGCAGCACATATGGCCCAGGCTTGACCAGAATGTGGTGTCCACGAGTTAGCCGCGAAGTTAACCCAACGACCCATGACACTTTACGAACACTGAGTTTCGGTGCGGCCTTAAGTGTAGGCCGAGTTTTGCCGAAAGCGAAACATGAACCGATAATAGAAACCGTACCTTCGGCTGCTCACTAGTTTAAGGATACCTCCTCCTATGAGGTCCGTGTGTCCGTCTAGACGTGTCTAATGTTGCGTCTACGCCTAAATGATGAACTTAGCTTTGTCTAGACGGAGTAAAGTACACGTAGTTAAACATTTCATTTGTTTTGGCGCGTAGTGCAGTTGGTGTAACAGATGAATATTACTTATAAGAAAACAAAAGAAACATTAGTCCAATATTGTCTAATTTTTTTAAACTGTTCTTGCCGTATTTAATGTTTTATTTTGAAGTGTGCTTGTTTTTATTGTTACTACGTTCTAACAGTGAAGTACCTCTTTCAGGACTGTTGGTCAGTAGTACACCGTTCTTTCAACTTACTGTTTTTAAATCAAGTATACATTAATCAGCGTTGTTTGTTGCTGATATCGGACCGGACTTACGGGGCTGCGGCGCCTGCTCGAATTTCTACCGCACAAACAACTGTAGTACGCATTCGTCATGGCAGGCGTTAAAAAGAAATGCATCAATTCCATGAAATCGATACAAACCTCTATTTATAATTTAAGAAATACTCTTATTTACATTTAACTTAGCTGAGATTTAGATAAGTAGAGCTTTATAACCAGATTGTGTTATTGTACCTCTAATTATCACACCGCTCAAATCATGCGTTTGTTTTTAGAAATGTGTGCATCATAAATAAAAAAGTCTAAAATTTTAATTTTCTTCACCAATAATTTTTAATGCTAGTAACAAAATAACATCTTCACAGGCGCTCTGAATGTTTGTAATCAGACCGTGCGTCGCCGCGTCGTGTGTTAGATGTGCCAAAATAATTCACAAGATATAACAATATAATAGGGGTTAAAGTATGAAATAGTCGTTGTATAGTAATATATACTTTTTTATCAACGCTGCGTTTGGAGAGGAGACTGCTAATGAACGTACCGTGCGTTTATATTTAAACGTTTTCCTAATGGAACCTTCGACTTGAAGAACGAACCACGTGGAAGACTGCCTACACAGGTGAATAAGTGAATTGAAGGAGTTGGTGGCAGCCGATCCGAGTCAAACTACCCAGGAATTAGCGTCATGGTTAAATGTTACCCTTCTTACAATATTGACACATTTTCATCAAAACCAATAAGATAAAAAAATTAGAAATGGGTGCCTCATGATTTGACTGACCAATCGGTACAGAAATGAAGGAATATTGGATCGAATTGTGACATGTGACGAAAAGTGAAAAATGAAATGGCTGACCCCAGGTCAAACGCTGCAACAGTGCCCTAAACCAAAGCTTACCAATAAAAAGGTAATGGTAACTGTTTGGTGGTCTCTTCCTGGTGTTATTAACTATAGCTTTCTCAGGTATGGCTATGGTGTAGTGTAGTGTAGTATCCGTGTAGTGACGAATTAAGAATACGAAATGTCACTACCCCAATTCATCCCGTGGGTGTCGTGAAAGCCGACTAAGGTCGCATAACAACGCAGGACACCAGCACTGCAAAAATAAATAAAACTTGACACAA